GATTGCAGCTATTTTTCAAATGGCAACCCTCAACTTTCTGGGGCACTTAGGACCATTTTTCAATCGTAGTTTTTAGCCATTCTGCTCTCATATGCATGAAAGCTCAAAGACCCAAGGAGTTGATCCTGGCAGGGATTTACACAATCTCACCATTTTGGGGGCCAAACAATCTCCTTTTTCAAAAGATACTGTGGGGGGAACTTTTAATGCTGATGAGCTAGCGAGAAACTCTCACTTGAATTAGTGGTCTGCACCGCGTGGCGATGAAGGCCATTTTAAAATTTCGATTTTATACGCGGCTGTATGTTTATATAGACAGTCTTATTAACGACAATATACAATTCTCAAAAATCTGATCTCAAAGTAAATACGCTTTTTTGTAGTTCAAGGTAGAGATATGTGAATTAAAGAACCCAAATTCGATGAAAAATATAATCTCATGAAAATGGAATCTAGACCGAATGGAGGCAAAGCCAAACTTTGAAAAACCCGAAAGTCGGCGGGGGGGGGGCTCTTGCCAAAATCCTTGACGTCTCTGCGTTGCTTTGCCGGTATCGTCAGACAAGGCTACCAGATTACCCGACGAAGCACGACGAGCGGTCTTTTCAATGCCAAAAAATTGTTTATTAAATTCTTGATTCATCGTACATGACATACATGATGGCAGAGAGTGATGATGACATATGGGAGTACAAGTCGCTTAAAAGGACGAAAAGATCAGACGTTTGCAGCAGTCAACCTTCATCACGGCAGCCACCATCGAAGAAACTACGCATCAGTAACGTTAGTTCTCAAATCCAGTCCAACGAGCATGGCCGTACATGCCGTAATACTAATATCCGTGCACGGGGAAATGTGCGGAGTTGTCCGCTAATTCTGAAATCAGAAGAAGAAACGTCAAACTTGGAATTGTTAACTCAGTCAAACAAATTGCAAAGTCTCAAGATTCCTAAGAAACCGATGTCTCAAATAAAACTTGAATCATTTTCGCCAGCCGCACCGTCCAGGACCACCAAACCTGCCAAAGACCATCATTATGAAGACCGGCAGATGAGTTCCAAAACTCCGAAAAACAAAAGTAGGTGTACGGCTGCTGTCAACAAAAGGGCAAAACAGCCAACAAAGTCAAGCTGCAAAATACTCAAAGAAGCAGAGAATAGAAAGAAAAAATCAACGTGCTGTGTTAAAAGTGTGAAGATGGAAGTGAACGATAACAATACAGACAGGAATAGGAGAATATTACAAGGCTACTGTCCATTCTGTCAAATGCCGTTTGGTGCTCTTGTCTTGGATTCACCAGAGCGACATGTTGCTGAATGCCTCTCAAAACCACTACAGGCTGAAAATGGTATGTTTCATCTTACTCCCAGAACTGTGATCGAGGCACACTCCATGTACATTGAATGTGCCTCACACTCACAGTTCTGGAAGTACATGTAGTTTCATCTCTTGATGAGTTGACATGGTTGATGTGATACATGTATGCCAAGAGGTTGCTTTTCCAAATTGCAACTATAAATTTAAAGAGATATAGGGCCAAGAGATACAGAAAAAAAACAATTTAACAATGAAGATATACTGTCATCTCAATATGGCTGAGGATTCTCTGAAATATCTTAAACATCTCAGGCTCATTTGGGTTGCAAGTTACTGCATGTGTGTCACAACTGATATTTCTCATAAAAGGTTTTGGGTTTGACAAGTATAAGAAAACGCTTTTTATAAAAATAGAACAAAAGAGAATGTTTTGTCTTTTGAAATTGATAAATTCAGTTCATACAGTGTTGTTTCGTAAAAAGTTGTTTTATTTGCTTTTAATTGACCAACAAACTCTGCAAACAGGAATTCATTTGTAAGCCTAGTTATAATTGTGAAGTGCAATACATATAGTTTGTTTTCTTTGTTGCAAGAATGCCCTCATGGAATAGCCTGTGATGTAACCATTGAGAGCCACTACAGGAAATTTAGGCATTGCCTGTTGGCTGAGGCAAGAGCCACGCTACCAAATGAAGCGAGGAGCAAGATGTGTGAACAGCAAGGTAGTGTTCTTGTTAATGTTGTAAGGAGGAGGGGTGGGATTACAATTCTGGTTAGTCGTTGTGTATGTTGCCTTTGAAGCTTGTTAAAGTCTTATTTTCATGACATCGTAATCAGTGAAGTGAAAAAACCCTAAAATGTGCGAAGCAAGATGAATTTAGGTGACAGTCTTAGGTTAAATGCCTCTCAGAATACCAAGTCTTTCCTTATTTATCTGCTTGGGCAGATCTGATTGTGGAACAAGGCTTCTCCTGGAGAGAGAGATTTTTATCAGGATTGTTTGTTTGGGCCTGTATCTTCCAAACAGAGTTGAAAACACAACATCAGAAGGGAATGACACAGAAAAATGAGCAGCAAGAACCTCTGTCTTCATCTCGGAAGATGTCAGATCCATCCTCTCATGATGCCATCAGCAGTCTTGCAAAAAGCCTTCAGAATAGCACAGCAGTGCGTCAACATCCAGTGACCAAGGGAGAAAAATATGCAACAGAAGGGATGTCAAATGCTACTGGAAACACATCTAGTAATGTAGTCTCATCACAGATTGGAAGTCTGAATTCAATACAGAAGAGTAAATCAATGGAGAAAGCAGTTCAGTTTGGTCTAAAAGCTGCTGCAGAGGAGTCTAAATTAGTCTCTTTGGAGCAGGGTTCAGAGCCCCAGAAGAATGATGGTACTGATCAAGTCCATTGCATCTCTAGTGATGAAGATATATTTGCGTACAGTGAGCATTCATGTGAAACACTTTCTGTAGCTTCCCAAGAAGATACCCAAAAAGGCTGTGAGCAGCCTGTTGATGACAATGATGACACACAGTCTAGTGCCATGAGTGAGTTGTCAACTTCTATCTTTGCTGACGCTGGACCTGTAGAACCCCAGCAACTGACTGCCGTGCTGACATCATGCTGCACTCAAACAGCTAGCAACTCATATACTCACTGCACTGAGTCTTCAGAATCAACTTCTTGTATTCAAGCCAAAGATCTTCTGCCGTCCACTTGCCAAACAAAGACCTCTAATTTTCCACTGAGAGTAGCCTCTAAGGGAAACAGACAAGCCCAGAACTTGAATCTTGACTTTGATCACTGCAGCCAGGTTGACATCAGCATCAAGGTCACACCGTGCGAAAAAGCTGATCACACGAAACAGTCATCTGACAACCTTTGCACCACACCATCATTCTTCAAGATGAAAGCCAAAAAGGCTCATCGGATACAAGTCATGGTGGAGGAGAATCAAGACAATGAGAGTGCTAACTCAGATGCAGATGATTCGTCTGTCAGCGATTCTGCCGTTCCATCTGTCTTGAAGACAAACATAAAGCATGAAGCAGAAGATCAAGAAAAATGGTCTCATGGTTGCCTTACAAATAAAAATGAGAGGGGAGGTGAAAGTAATGTTGACAGTCACCATTTCATGCAGAATGGAGTGGCTAGTGAAGTCCAAGGATCATCAATTTCTGCCCACTCAACAACAACAGTGGGTAAGGAATGTTCATCCGATAATGAACCATTAACAAAGCAAGAATCTGTTGCCAGCCAAGATCAAAAACGCTACTCTAAGAAAGTAGCAGAAACTTCCAAAGAGGGAACCCTATCACAACTGGTACGCCCTGTAATTAGTGCCTTGTCCAGTGCTGTCCCTTCCAACTCCCTTAGACAGTCTTCCCTGGCATCTTACTTTGGTTTGGGTGCTGTAAAGAAAGAAAACCTGTCCCAAGAAGGAAAACAAGAAAGATCTCTCCACGCAACTGAGACTGCTACAGCAAGCAATGCTATGCCTATGAACTCTGACCCCATGACCCAGAGCAGCCACAGGTCATATAAGTCTCATAGTAGATCAAGGAATGGACGTTGGAGTAAGTCTTCCTCTCAGTATGATGATGACACTGGACACCCACAAAGTCAGAGGGCTGGCAGTTCACAGAGACTGTGTCCATTTTACAAGAAAATACAAGGCAAGATCTTTACCCTTAATGCTTTGTTTTGGAAAGTTAAAAGTTTATCCTTATGTTGTTTTTGAGTGTTGTGTGTTCAACTTTGTTTTTCAATATTACCTGTCATTTTGCTTACTTTTTCCGTTGCAGTCCTGCTTTCTTGGTTTCTCCCAGGAAAAATTGTCTAACCTCTGGCAAAGAAAGCTACCTGTACTGGAGAACATCCAAAGCTTCGTCTACTTGTCGCCTGTTTTGCTTGCCTTATTTTAAAATATTTTTCATGAAATATTGCTTTCTCCAAATTAATTAGGAACCTCATTTGTTGTGGATGCTTTCCGCTATGGTGATATCCCAGGATGCACTGCCTACTTCCTGAGTCACTTTCACTATGATCACTACGGCGGTTTGACTAAACACTTCAAACATCTTATTTACTGCAGTCAGGTATGCAAACCCCTTCACTCTACAGATCCTACTGTCAAATCCCTCGTCTTATTGAAATAATTGAACATGACAGAGTAAAAATAAACCCAGAAATATCTCCTTATTCAGATCTGTACCAGATTATGGCATCAGTGAAGAAGTTGATAATTGAATTGTATCTGCTCGAGGTCATTGTGCTTGATTTTATTTCCAATTGGAAGGTGTCAGGTGAAGTTACTTGTCAGAATGTAGGAAGAGGTATAATTCTACTGACATGAGCTGCTTCCTCAGTAGTGTAAGCTCCATGTTTGTATTCATTCCTTAGATAACAGCTAACTTGGTCAGAGCAAGAATCAGGGTGGAAGCCAAGTATCTGCGGCCGTTGCCAATGAATGAAGCATGCGTGATCAGTGGAGTGGAAGTCACCTTACTTGAAGCTAATCAGTAAGTATGAGACCAGAAAATTTGAACAGACATTGAAGAGCATTTATAACAGTGAATCATGTTTCTTCTGTGCTCGTATTTTGGAGGTAGACTGTAGCTTAAATTAACCCATGAAGCTTTCTGCTTGAAGCGAAATAGCAAAAGAAATGATTCATTCCTGATGGATGTTTAATTTAATGCAAAGGGACATGAATGAACATGTCTCCATGGATGCTTGTACCTTTCAGCTGTCCAGGAGCAGTCTTATTCTTGTTTCACCTGAGTGATGGCCGAGTCTTCCTTCACACCGGGGACTTCAGAGCTGACTCTGCCATGGAACAACTCCCACAACTTCGCAGCTGCCATATCGATCAACTCTTCCTGGATACCACGTAAATCTGAACTTCTGAATTCAACTCTTTACTCCTTCACCAGAATTGTCCAGAATCCTCCAACGTGTCAAGGATTCAAGACTGTTAGGGTCAAAATTTTCATTTACAGGTTGAATTCCAGTTTTATTAAAAAAAATCTGTATTTGAAACATACCACCGTCATAGAAGATTGTTAACATGTCAGGCTGGATAGCCAGTAGGTAGAGCAGCAGTACAATATTCTAGACGTCAAAAGTGCAAATCCCACTCCGGTTTCCCGTTTTCTTTGCCACTCTTCATCTTGTTGTTTTCAGGTACTTAGATCCTCAGTATGATTTCCCTACCCAAGCTGAAGTCATTGAATACACAGCACAAATTGCAGTCGATGTGGTGAAGCGGAACAACAAAACTCTACTTGTGTGTGGTACCTACACCATTGGCAAGGAGAAAATATTCATTGGTAAGAACCGTTCATTCCAAAGGCAGTCAGTTGGTGGCTTTTCATCATTTGACTGCTCTCTCTGTTAAACTTAGTTACGTGACTTACCTGTTGATTGTCTGTCAGTATTCCCCCATTTCATCCACCATTCAGCCTGACTGTATGATTGGTGGAATAATTGTTTTCCCTTCCACCGTGATCCAGGATTGATTCCTTTCATCGTCAGTTTGAGAATCACATGTTGAAGGTAGTGAACACCATTGGTGTTTTGTCGTAATTTCACAAGATTAGCTGATTACGGTGTGTAATATTCACTGCGACTGACCTTCCACTGACTTGTGGGGTCATGGTGGGAAACGGGCATGACAGGATCTCATTCCCTTAAAAAGGAGCAGTTTTCAATGGCTAAGAGTAATCGCTGAATTTACCTTGGAGTAATACGCTTCCTCGACAATGTAGCATTTCAGATTCATGAAAAAACTTCATCCAGGAACGCAGTTGACTTGTGTCGGTGAAGGAGTAGGCCTTTAATAATGATATTGATAATGCACGTGCACGCGCGATCATGATTAATGACCGCACTTTCACATCAGTTTACACGTCGATGAAAGTCTAAAAACTCCATTCTTAGTTGATTCACTAATAAGCAATGAAGAAATTATATCTTGAAACACGGGAGGTTTAACGTGTGCAAATCATACTTTTTGTTGATGAAAATCCCATTCACCATTCTACATGGAACCACCACCATATTTGTATCATACCATTATGCTCTAGGGGTGATTTTGAATTTGCAAAGTTTTTGTGTTAAGAAAATCTTTTCCTTGAATAAAATTCAACTTCACATTGATTCAATTTATTTTCCACCTTACACTCAGCTTCCTATTATTTCAGTTTACAATGCTTTTGGTGCATTTCTGTTGCTAAATTTTTAGCTGCCATGGGGTTAACCTGTTCATTAGTGGAGACTCCCACAACGTCTGCAAACACTACACACAAGCAAATTGGCACCTGTTAAAGAATGTTTTGTATATAGAGACATGAACTCTCATATGATGGTCGGTTGACCATTGTAAAAAAAGAGAACAAAATTTCTTTTTTCTCAAAAATTACAGCATTCTGGTTGGAAATATTTTACAGACTGATTGAGGCTGTTATGTACTTTCTTCCGAGTAAGATATTTCAGGATTGTACAGTAGTACGACTTGGGGGATTTTACCAAGGGTGTACACTAGGCCTACCTTTAAATCCTGACCTGATTGAGTCAGTTACTCCCAAAATGTTCTTTTAAGTTTTCTTCCTGCTGATGCTGCAAGTATCCCTTTTCTGTCTTCTCTGTTGAAAGCTAACAGAACCGTACCAAAGCACTGATAAGGATGCCAAGCATAAACGATATCTGAATAAATAAATCTTACACATTCTTCTATCCAGGCCTTCATCTGCACATTAAGCTGGTGCTTCATTCTTGTGTCCAATCATTCATTTTGCCCAATCTAATCCTTGTTCTCATATCAATCTCTGAATCTGCCTCCCCATTTCTCACACTCTAACAGCCATTGCTGAAGCTGTTGGCTGTAAAGTTTTTGTTGCTAAGGACAAGAAGAATATCTTGGACTGTTTGGAAAACAGTCGCCTGCAATCTATGCTGACCCTGGATAAAAATGCTACCAGACTTCATGTAGTTACCATGGCAACACTCACCAACCAAGTAAGACTTTTTATTTTTTGCCACATTACAAGAGGTTTGGATAAAACTTAAGATTTCTTTTTGATATAAGTAAAGACAATTTGGGCACAACAGAAAGATCTTATCATTTTTGCAGGATTCAAGTGTGTTTTAGTATTGTAAGAAAGATAAAGAAATAAAAATGTGAGGTAATTAAAACAATGTTTCCAATTTATCCAGAAATGAGAGCCTCTTTTAGACCTAACTTACTGTCACGTGTCATAATGATGCTGCTAAGTTGACTTCAAAGTGACCATTATTTCTCATTATTTCCTTTGACCAGAGCTTGAAGGAATACTTGTCCAAATTTTCTGGTCGCTATGATGCTGTTGTAGCTTTCAAGCCAACAGGTTGGACTCATAGTGACAAGAAGACAAATTTACAGGATATCAAACCTTCTAGGAGTGGACCAGTTTCTATTTATGGTAAGAAACTCTTCTCATAATAGGCTTCAACTTCTAGAGATCTGCAAAAATCGTGTAATTGCTGTGGCTATGTTGGGGTGCCCTATAATTTAAAGTTTGTATCGTATTATCCGTATATGTCATTAGTAGTCATCTAATGACAATAGTTGGAGTGGAACTGTAAACAGATTGTTTTGTCTTCATTGTAGGAGTTCCGTATAGTGAGCACAGCAGCTACAGTGAGCTACGGCGATTTGTCCAGTTCATCCGCCCTAATCGTATCATACCCACCGTCAATGTTGGAAGTGCAGCGAGTAGGAATGCAATGAATGAACATTTCAAGACTTGGTTGAGTGAAGAAATAGGTTCATCCCAAGGACGACAGTTGCATCAACCCAGGAATTCCAGCATCTTAAACTGGTTTAAGTGATTATGTTTGGTGAAGTGAGACCATGGTTATGTTTGGGAATTGCTTTCGTCCTTTTATGTATTGCATGACACAGGCAGCATATAGAACTTCAAAGTTTTTAATTCTGAGGACAAATGAACAGTTCCTTTGGACCATTCATGATAACTGTCAACATATGCCTGGTGATAATTCAGTTTGATATTTCACTGGATGGAAGACTTGGTCTGCAAACAAAGGATTTGTGGAGTAACTGTTTAATCAAATTTATGCAACTCAGGAACTTTCGTCTTTTTCTACTCACAGTGGGAATAGAGCTTAAATCTGACTTTAGTAAATGTAACATGTTTTCCCTTTGAGTTGTGCGCTATGATATCTTCCTTTTAACTCTAACTTCTGTTATACAACATAGACTATATACATTTTTAGTGCAAATGTAACCATGGAGATGCAAATGAAAGTTTTCACTCACTACATGCATTGAAGATGTTCGTACATGTATTTTTGCAATAACAGTTTGTAACACTGTAGCACTAGCATATAACTTAAATACCGCTTAATTAACAGGATCCACCTAAGTGTTAAAATGAAATATCCTCTGCAGATAGCTGTCAGTAAAGCCATGGTGGAGCAGTTTATGAAACAGATTTTAATGCATGCATTTTTGTCTTAGAGTGAAACCATGATGTACATGTAATAGCATCTGGACTTATTGGAAAACATACTTAATTCATGTAACAGTCTATTTTTTAAACCAAGTAGCACAAGAATCCATTGAATAGTACTGTCATCAATGATTTGTGACTTAAGGCTGGAATTACTAAGACAACAATCAGCAAAAAATATTCCTGTAAGTTGTATCACTTGAACACAATATTCACAATGTTAATAAGGGATTGGATTTTCTCACATAAACATGTAGAAAGATGGTAAGGCAATTACTAAGCCAGGTTAATGGGCTACTTGAATGAAGCTGCTGATTAATCGAATTGGATGAGTGTTGAGCGCAGGAGAGTTATATTCAGGAAACACTGGTCTCCTTCCAGAAATGCCATAATTGGGCAAATGTTGATGTTTTCACTTATTGACCCTTACCTGTAAGATACATTGTAAATTTCATGAAATTTTGTTGCATCTGGCGTAAAGTTAGGGTTGAGTGTATGTTGTCAACATTTCTTGGGTGTTTCTTTGGTAATTGGGACTGTACAGTATCATGGTAATCCTCTCATTAAATGGATCATGTTAAAAGTGAAACAAGGTTGTTAACTGTACTTTGGTGAGTTCACGTACTTTATTTTTGTAACAGGATCTCATTAGATAACACACGTTTCTAGTGCATGTCCATACGATTATCTTGTCAGGGGCAAATTGGTTTCTTTTTTATTCACATAAAGGGATTATATACTCAAGTTTATGACAGACTTTGATTCAAAATAATTCTAGATTTTTTTTTTACTTTAAAATGGTGAAAGCCCTCAGCCATAACGCCATTGTCAAGTTAAAATATTTTGCTGTACAGGCCTGAAGGGCAAATTGGATTATTTTAGTAGAAACACACCTAGGTCACAGAATATGTTTATAGTTGAATTCAAGAGGCCTACGGGGTATCAATAACCTTTGACCTCGTTGTGACCTTATTGTGAATGTTTAACATGAAGGTTACTGAATTTAACTCAAAGAACATGTTTTATGCCATGAAAATGGAAGATATTGAATTTCATGAGAAGCTAGTCAGGCCAAAAGGTTTCACAGAACCGCAGCTTTCATAAATCTATTAGCTTTGAATGACCACTTTCATCTTAGCCATGAAGGGTCGCGTACTCAGCTCCCGATGATCATATTCGGAACTCCATCGACTTGTATAACTCTACCTCATTGCAGCATTTACATACAAAGGCTTACTTGCCGTAGTGCATGTACATGTACATGTACACCTGTACTGTACATGTGATATACATGTACATGTGTGGAATATGCATGTACATGTACATGTGCATGTACGTGCTGGTACTTGGCACTACCAGGCCAGGTTCGATAGCCGACCATCGCCCGATAGCGTGCCATTTCAGGATTTCCCAAACATATGACGCAATAAAAGACCTTTCGAGGAACTTCGAGGAAAAATACCCCCTCTGGATTGGAATGGACCATTTTAGTGAACAATAACACAGGCATACATATGAAAATCCACGACGTACAGTTGCAATTCACAAAAAAATATTTCTTTTTCTCGAAGGATGTCTTTATTCAATTATATTAATGAAACTATTTGTATCACATAAATTAGTTATTTCTTAAGCAAGATATTAGATAAAAATTTACTCATCATTTCTTAGGGTAAAATATGGTGCGGTCCTGGCAAGGCCAACAGCTCATGGCAGGTGCACGTGATTTAATGAAATCCTGAACCAGCCGGATCCGGCTCTTTTCTTTTATAAGAATTTTGCTATCAGGGTAAATTCAAAATACCTACTGACACTTTAAAACGACAAAAAATGAATTCATCGTATTACAATACGAAAGAAACAAATCTTGTTTTTGTAACTAAAATAGAAATATTTTAAAAATATCCGTCATTTTGTACGAAAACAACGGTAAAAAGGGTTTATTTTGAGTAAAATCTCCCTAAACTCGCACAATTTGCATAGAGGTATTGTGGGCGAGCCTTCATGTCCTCGCTCTGTGATTGGTCGATACTTTATGCAATCAATTCTGGGTACATCCTTGAAATGCATGTGACAGAGCCAAAACAACAGTAGCCGGGGTTTTGTGCAAGTCATCATATCGTGACAGAACACAGCTGAACTATCTGGAAAACAGTTGACGTGGATCTTCTATGGAAATTCTCGGGGAAAATCTGCAGCACCGTTTTGAGGAATAATTAAGTTTTCTGTGTGAACTACAGGATACATCTGGAGTGTGGAACGCGGATGTAGTGTGTTGTTTTTGTCTACATTTCATTTGCATGGACAGAATCGGATAGGGGTCTAACCTAGTTTGGACCTGTGTTTCTACGATACCCTCATCGAATTTCCAATTTGTCAGGTAATTCCAACATCGAAATATCATTGACTTGAAGAGCGGTTCTGTAGTGTTACATATGTCTAACATTTTTGCACGTCTTTCTGTGTTGACACTGCGGTACTTATTAACTTGCTAGTTGGTGTAAAGAAAGCCGTTTCAACTTACTACATGTATTTTAAAATATTTTTCAAAGACTTAAAATAAGTAACTTAATGCGAATCCATGTTCAGAAGGCAGTATGGAAGAGGGGCCTAGGTAAGAATTTTTAGCAGTAAAATTTCAAATTTAAATTTACATTTGTATCAGGGGTAGTCATACCGCACTGGTATGTGTACCGGGGGGTGTGAGTGACCACTTTAAATTAAACTGAAAAGAGCTAGCAAAAAGCTGAAATGTAAGAGTTCCCGTACTTTTGTTCAGACCAGGTGTCCAAAAAAGCTGAAATTCAGGGTCAACATCTAAACAAAAAATCCTGAAATCAGCTAAAAAGCTGAATTCTTACACCCCTGGTGTACAATCAGTTATGAAACTGAATAACTTTGAAGTGAAACATAGATACGTGTACATGTAACTGATTTTGTTTGATTATGGAGGAATGCTGGTCTGACTATGATAATAATAATAGTAATAGCAAGATTTATATAGCGCCATTCCATCTAGATCATGGCGCTGCGCAACACATGATAATGAAACTATACTGGAATAAGATGCTTTATCTTCTTTGAACAAGGGGTAACCCTTTCTCTCAGGTGCCTGTTTATGTATTCAACCACCAAAACTGGTAAGAATGTTACATTTTCTGGCTGTGATGTGCTCCTCAAAATGACTCCTCATTATGTACCAGATCTTGAGGCTGCAGAGGTAATTTTTGACAACAAACCTAAGAAGTTTTAAAAACAAGTTAAACAAAATCGAAGAGGTGTCCGAACGATTACTGAAAAATGTTTGAGCTGGATAGGTACTGTGGACATTTTGGTCATGATGTGCATGAACAAATTCATGAATCAATCAGATCCATGATGCATGAAATGTCACTGTCTTTTTGAAATTTTCAACATAACTATGAAAAGACTAAACTGTTTGATGTAAGTTAGATGAAGTATGCATTTGCAAACTTTCCTCGCATGAAATATACAGTTTGACAGAGTTTCATAAGTTCCATACTATACATGTACTGTACTGAAGAGATAAGTATGCAGATGTTGAAAAATTTTCGTGGTCAAAGCCCAGGCTTTCCCTGTGAAATGTGAAACAAGCTATAGGAATCATGCTATATACTGAACAGCTTGAACAGCTTTTGAAATAATACTGTCACATTAGCACCGGGTAGTCTTTCACAAATTAATCTTGATTTTGCATTGTGTACTGAGATGGGGCTGGATAATAATCTTCAGCCACGTTGCTTTCTAACCCATCAACCAGGAAGTTACAGGATTATCATCAAAACCGACTGCATAGAGGGTGGGATTTGAACTGGAAAAAGTACAATACACATGCACGCTATGTAGCACAGCTAGTGATAGCCTTGAAGATCATTGTTTTCCTTGTGTGAGTGTAGTAATTCTCGAGTTTACTGCCTCATATCCTTCCTTTGCCTGAAACTTTTCCTGAGGTCAACCACTGTTAAACAAGTAGCTTTTCAGCCAAGTGAACATGAAATACGTGTGTAATTGTTCAGAGCATGGACATTGGAAATCATCAGTGCGAATGTTAATTTTGTTCAGTAAGTAATCAAATGTAAACAATACTAATGGTATGTAGCCACATAAAATGGATTTGCATAGTCTTCAGTGGATAAAGGTGATAATTTGTATCTCTGGCATTGTGACAAAGCAGTTTCTTGAAGAACCAGTTGTGTTCAATGTTGCATCAAATTACCTTGGAGATTGGCATTGTTGACTACCCACACACAGACTGGGTGGACCCCCTGACTGTCAGAAACGTGATTGGCCTTCTACTGAACTCTAAACTTTTTCTAGTCCACTCACTGTTCCTTTTTATATGGTAATTGTGTTTCGGTACATGATATGAAATGTTCAGTAATTAATGTGAGGTTACCTCTTAAAATTACATGTCATTGTATGTGTTTATATACATTTTGCATAATTGATTGAATTAGAAAGACAATAATGTAGGGGAAGTAGAAATTTTGAATTCCTGTAAACATACAAGTACATAGATGTACATGTACATGTGTACATGTACATGTACGGTATTGCATTGCACCAGTACCATATTGAGGAACCGAACCATATGGTGGACAACACAGGGAAGTGATTATTGAATCAAGTACATACATTACAGTAGACACATTTATGTTTTGTTCAGCTAGTACCTTTAAACTATGCACAGAGACTTCCTACATGGCTTGTTTCCTGAAGGTGTATTCATGGACACTTTACTTCATGGTCCCTGTTGTGTGTCACATTATAATCATGCATTATTAAGAGCTTGTAGGAAAGAATGAAACAGCTGACAAACAGCTGTGGCGATATGTAGAGTCTGCAGTTCAGAGAAAAGGGTGTGGGATATGTTTGGGAGCTCAGTACCAGGTTGGTGCATGGCACAAGTACATAGATGGACCTTTCCCTTGAAATATGCAAATAAGGCAGGTGCATGGCATTACTACCACTGGTTGGCAGAGTTGGTTATTGTACATCTATGACAGAACAATACAAATCTCCATGTGGGCGCAACTATGAGCACATACACACCGTTTCTGTACTAGCAGAATGTGAGTGCCAAACTTAAAGACAAGGAATGTTACTTTCCAACCTCAGGACACTAAAAACTTCACTTAGTTTTGAGAAAAGCATGCTGAAGTATCGGACAAAGGCTGTAATTCAATTTCGATTGACCTTCAATGGGCCAGGTTATGGTTACAGCAGCTCTCCTATACTGCTGACCTGTTGACGGCTGTGCTTGCCAACCAGTGGTACATGTACAGTAGTGCGCATGCACATATCTAATTTCCATATTTCATGGGAAAGGTTCATTGTTCATGTACATGAATGGTACATGATTATGCGACCGTTGACCCTGGATATATAAAGTGTGAAATAAATCTCCTTTCATCGGAAATCAAGTTTCAACAATCCTTCAATCCATTTGGAAGAAAATGCATAAATTCCCCTGACAGCAATTTTTTGGGCAAAACTTGGCTCCGTGAAGCTGTGTATACATGTACAATGTATTTGCTCATCAGCAGCCCCATAAATTGGCCCCTGGCACAGTCGTATGTTAGAAGCCTGGATATATGCGTACTTGGCCTATATGCCATGGCATAATACATGTACATGTATCTGTAGATTGTTGGTACATTAGATCACAGAGATCAGTGCGGTATGGTTAGTTAAAACTTGGATTAAGTGCATGATGAGGAATCATGGAAACTAGCTGGATTCCAGGCTACAGGGTTTCCTGGTACTAGGGTATTAGTTGAGTCATAACCTCTGTAAGGTGGTATTGTTAACATGCATAATGCACCCCTTACTGTGTATAATGTCATGAGGAGGGTCTGTCCAAGATCACATGTACAGGATGTTGTCAATGTACATGCTGTGTGATGAAGAGCTGGTGATCTAATTTGCATACACTGGCATCGACATGCCAATGTATCAATAAGCAACCTAGATTCTAGTGACCCCAACCATGCAGCCCCAACTTTGTTCACCATATTTACATGTACAGTACATGTACATATGCAGTAACTGACATGTGTATACATGTACACTTGTACATGTATACACCTAGCTGGCAACCAGCCTTGTGTTCGTATGCGTGGGCTAAGGTTTTGTACTGGTACCTGCAACTGCCAAAGGTCTGTGCATCTTTATGATTACCCTCATGTCATTATGAACATCGTACAAAAGAAGTATGGTGCAATAACAATGGATGCTCATTGTTAGTGAACTGTGTTTCTTTTGTTAGATGTTCCTAGTGTACTTTCAGTGTATGTACATGGTCACATGCAAATGTGGGAGGTGTCAGTCAAACACAAGTGGAGTTTCATAGGGCTAAATTGGGAGATGACATCATCAGATATGATATCAAATATCAATATGCTGGCATGAATTGGCATAATTTTAAGAGGTCATTGAATTTTAATTCGTATATGAATAGTTTCTAGAAATTTAAAACTGGCTTCTACCATGATATGTACATGTACAATGTATTCGTGTACTCTGTAGGTTTTTACGTCCTGCCTACTAAGTTGCATGCATGTACTAGCATGCTATATGACACAAAGGTAATATGTTAATCACTTTGCAGTTTCTTAAATTGCATATTATTTCATACTTTATTTGTTTAAGGTCACTCTGTGCGGGATAGTTTCATTTTCTGAATAATTTACTTCAGCCAAGCAAAATGAAGTAATTAAGGAGCAGTGTGCGGGAATTCTGCACATACAAGACAAACATGTACAATAAAGTCAGGATGAAGTACCAAAAAAATCATTGAAAAGCGATTTATACATGTAGATACCGGTATAGCGTGTGAATTTGTAATTCAGTATTTCCTGTTTGTTTTCCTGATACAAAACACCATGGACCCAGAGTCATAATTAACAAGTGATATAAGTGTGTACATTCTAGATATGCTTTATCACCCAAATATTCATAAGATGTTTAAGTTAGATCAACATGCGTAGGCCTACGTGTAGTAAATGGTGTTTAGGTACATGTACGTATACGTCTGGCATTTCTGAGCAATTAAGTTTTGATCGCACGGCAATTCTGTGCAGTTGAGTTAGAATTATAGGAAAACAGTTCTGGTGAATTTGGTAGAGGTACAATGTAATGTATGTTCGATATGTTGCATTAATGGCCTTGGTATTGTTATGTAAAACCTGAATGGTTGAGGATTACATGACTGCACACCAGCCCTGGTCACCCGAGCTCTTTTGTTGATTGTACACACTGCAGTAACCTGGCAATTGTTACTGTGTTTATCCCTCATGAATTATTCATGTTTCCCCAAGGTTGCCATAAAAAAATGTACATTGTACATGTACATCCTGAATTCACCTGCACATCCCCCCCCTGTGAATTATTCATGACAAGGCTTTTAACCTGCGGAAGGTTCCATTAAGAGCAGAGGTTGTTTCCCCGTCGGTCCACTAAACTATGGAAATTTTTGTGTCAAGTCAGTGACTATACCAGGGCTGTCTTTGGAGTTGTGGGAAAGGGCTAGGAACTTGTAAGTTTCTTCCCAGCTTTTGATGTAATGCCAAGGGGAGAAAATCATCACCACCTACATGTACATGTGTACTTTACCAAGGATGATTTTTTAGTTCTGGCAGCAGTCAATTACTGATTTCTTTTCATCCATAAAACATCATTTTTAATATTTTAAATGTTGATATCAACATACGTGTATACACAAACATTCCATTTCTTCTGTTTTCTTTTTTGTAAGAATCATTTTGGTAAAAATGTTCTTTCTTCAGCAGAGGAAAAACTGTACAGTTTGCATAAGTTATTATCATGTGCCCATGAGTTGCACAATCAACTCAGGAACTTGATTGGATTAATGGTGCGGTGTATCCCCCTAAAGAGATATCTTGGAAATGCTGAATAAACTCTCTTAATTATAATTCTTTTTTTCCTTTGTTCCTCTGCCTCTTACATCACAGAGTTGTGAAGCAACGAACACAAGCACAAGCATTGGTTTCATCACATCAGACATAAGCCTCTTTGTGGCCTTATCACTGATTAAACCTCTGTACCTGGAACAAGTACACCAAGTCAGTCTCATAGGTCAGTTATCCCAAAGGTCAGCTATATTTATATCCTGGTTTGTGCTAACATTGACATATAACACAGTAAATGATGAAATGAGAAAAGATGATTCAGTTCAAGCTTTGTGTACTTTTACAGTGGTTTTAGATAGTCAGCCATTTGAAGTCTAAAAATGAACACAATTTGTTTTCATCCAGGTTTTCATTTTTCTGAGGGGGAGGGTGAATACGAGAGAAAAGCAGTGAAGCAGAGGGATGAGTGCTTAATGAACCTACACATAGTTCCACAGATATTAAGCATGCAATCTTGGTCAAGGAGTTCATCTTACTAGATTTTATTTGTTGTTACAACAGGGACTTGGCTGCTGTGTTAGAGGTCAGGGGTACGTTGTAGCAACCCTTGACATGGAATGGAGTGCGTGGTCACCCATCCATGTCAGAAATACTCATCTTCACCCTGAAAGCCTCCAAAAATTTACCCAAGTAGAAGAGTAAGAAGCAGTGTACAGACTGTCCCAGAAGCCAGGCCCATTCCTGCCATCAGCAGTAGAGAGTTCCGACACATTTGGTGTGTTCCTGTGTTTACATTGTACTCCATGCATTCCTATTCTTTTGACAAAAGATTTAGCACAGCTTTTCTGATACTTGCCTTAAAAGTCTCACTTCATTTTTAGGCCGGAAATTGGATTTGAATGTGTAAATTTACAAAGGTTCAACATGTAACTTAACATTTTTCAACTGAAGTAAATTTTGCCATGAATGCTTCATGTCATTTGTGGCATTTGTGGCAAGTATTATTTCCAAGTTAATCCAAGTTATTAAAGTTTACTTGTTTATTGGTAAAGTTTGAATAGTGAGTTTGTTTTGTTTTTAAAGCCTGTGAATGACAAGAAAAGCTGATTGCTTGGATTGATAAGAAATATTTCTTGATATCTTAATTCCACAGTCTGTTGCAGTCATGGATTTGTCATTCAATGACTTCAGTGGTGCTGGGTCAAGTTCAGACCGTGCCCTCTACTCACCAGACTTGACCAGCTTCTCCTCCAGTCCACAGTCAGCATTTATGTATGAACAGGATGAGAGACTGGAGCGGGGCAAAACCAGAGATAGCATCTTTGAGTTTCCCCGACCTACGGAAATCAGTGATTTGGGAGGTGAGCTCAACAACAGCTTTTGGAGTGAGGGGTCATTGCTGGAAACATCATTGGGAGACAGCGGCAAGGCATCCTTGTGGGACTTCTCTGGGTTCGATGACATCTCTAGTCCACTACAACATCCAGAGGATGACTTGAGTTACTCACCAACCCTAGCAGAGCTCAACAATGATGATTCACAGAGTTTTGATGCCATGTTGAGCTCGCATAATGCTTGCATTGCGTCTGGCCTCCATAAGAAGAAGTGTGAGGCACATGGAGACTTAACTGGTAACCCTGTCAAGGCAGAATGCAGTATGGCTGGACCTGCTGCAGATGTCATGCCGGATACTGGGAGAGATTCAAATAGAGTCTCATTAGTTCCTGAACCTCTTAGTGGTTTGGATTGCCCACCCATCAAATCACACTCTGCTCCTCTGTCAAGTAAGCTTGGAGCTCGACCTCTGAGAGACAAGTCAACAAGAAGCACTGATAGACTCAGCTTCAAGACATCGCTGGCTTCACACCATTACCCCCATCCAAGCAAGCTGTCCAGAAAGACAAGCAATCTCCTAGGGAGTCATCCTGGCATTTTAGACCAGAAGACACGTAAAGTGGGTCAGATGTGGCAAGAGGTACAATCTTTAAGTCACGAGGTGGAAATGGACACACATGCAAGTGTTAAGACTGAGATGGTTGGCAAAAGCAATGCTTTACTTGAAAGGAAGAGACTTGCTGTCAAGGTATGATCACACTTGAGATTCTTATCAGTAGCTGTCTGCATATTGATTGACAGTTCCTAACAGCTGGTTGGGTCTTACTCTTTCTGTAATAATAAACATTTATGAGCATTTCATGCACTTAATGACAAACTTTATTTTCTGGTTGCGCTTTACGAGAAATCACTTCTACACAGACACATCAGAGTATGTACATGTAGGGTACGTGAGTAAGTGACTTTAAGTTGCTAATCGAAAAATTATTGTTGGATGGACATTGGGTTAGCAAAGGAAATAAAAAAGCTTATTTTCCAACCTTAACTGCTGTTTAATAAGTAATAAATTTCTGTCTCGCTCATTTCCTGTTTGATTCATTTCTTACTTCCGTTACTCCAACCCAATATTCTAGCTGCAGGAACTGCACTAGCAAAATATACCATAGGAGATCAACTTCAGTTACAGTTAATTTGCATATTCATCAGTATACAGTAAGTTATGTAAGGTGTTGAGTGGTGATTGGTTAAGATTTCGTGGTCAGTGCTGTGTGATTTTTACTATAAATTTATTTGTGTTGATTACAGGATGAGTTTGACTCCTCAAGGGTATTCACCAGTGGATCTACAGATGGGTACGACTCACATGATGAAGGTCTTGGTAGCGAACATGAAGACCAAGAAGACGAAGATAATGATGACACCATGCAGGAAGGGGAGGGGCTTAGTGATGTGGAGGAGGAGGAGGAAGAGGATGATGCATGCAGTGACATGTCCGAAGATCATGGTAACTTTGAAAGGATTTCTTAATCTCTGTCAGACGTAAGGCTTGCTTTGTTAGACTCAGCTCCTGATAGATATTTGGTTTTGAAACGAGCCATCTTGAGAAATATACCATAGGCTCAAAGTTGCTGGAAGTCTGAGCTGTTTATTTGCTTAACCACTTGATGCAGTCATTTGATGAATTCACCACAAAATGAATTCCGAGCTAGTGGGTAATTCTACAAATTAGGGGTCCACAAGTGTGACATTTTTGTGTCCCTGTTACGTCTGACCTTTATTATTTGACATGGACATATCACCGGAATTGACTTCAAACCAAGTTACTATTTGTTTGGCAGGTAATTTGCTTTAATTTGTCACTCTTTGAAATTAGAAAATTTGCTCTGAATTTACAGAATCATGTGTCAGATGTGACAGGGACATGAAACAATGGACCCCTAGTTTCTGGAATGACCAAAGTATGGATTGTTATGATGATGAATCATAGAAATGACATACTGAGAGAGAAACTAATTGTTTATAGTTGATGAAACCAGTAATTGTAAAATCAGGTGTCTTAAATTGATTTATTTACATGTACCATTGTATTATGCAGCAAATAACAAATTGAAACGATAATACTTCAAAACAAAACATTTATATACATACTTCAACGTGCTTGTCAGTTAATAAAATCCATCCTTTTTTGTGGAGTTGGATTTTGCAATAACCATGAATAGATTGCCATTTGCCAAGTTTTTCCATCATTGTCTCATCATTCCTCTCATGGCAGGTGTGGCAACCACTTCCCAAATCAGCCAGGACCTATTTCCTCCAAAGGTCAAGTCTCGTCGGAGTGAATACGATGACCTAACCCCTAACCCCAAGAAACTCTTGTTGATTGGTAATGAGCTGCATAAACTGAACAAAGTCATCAGTGGTATGTTGCCGGTCAGTTCTTTGCCTCCAAGTGCCCGGAATCGATCCAGGAAAGAAAAGAACAAACTAGCATCAAGGTAAATTGTGGCATTCTGTTTGCCCCTCAAGCTTCCAGATTTCATAACCATTTATACCAGTTACAATTAATTAAAATCATTTTGCCATCTTGTAAGGGGAAAAGGGAATTCAAAAGTATTGTGTTTCCTGATTGTCAGAAAAATGTTGAGAGATTAAATAATGTTCCCGTCATTGATGTCAACTCTCTTTCCTCTTTAGGAAACGAAAACATTCAGACTGACATTTTCCATGTTTTGCTGGAAAGTTCAGCTGCTATCATTTTTCACTCTCTCTTTTTTGTTACTTTTTGTTGCAGAGCTTGTCGTCTAAAGAAGAAAGCCCAACATGAGGCTAACAAAGTGAAGCTGTACGGCCTAGAGAAAGAATATGGTGAGCAGTTTTTAACGTTGGTATCATTTGCTAGGCTTTTTCTAAACATTTTAAGAAAACTGCACTTGATTCTGTTCTTTTTCCTGTGTGTAAAAAATTTACAATCAGTATCAGCTGCCAAATTAATACATTATAAATACTATTTTTCCTCGCTTTTCATAAAATGGCATTGCTTCTTTTGATAATGTTGATCGAACTAATCCTCTCAACTTGAAGAATGAGAAGAAATATTCAAATGTGTTCTTGGATTATGATCAACAGATCGCTTGATGCAGGTGATCACCGCTATAAGGAGTGAGGTCCTAATCTACCTGAACCAACAACCTATGGAATCACCCTGTCTCTCTGAAAAGCTCAACACTCTTATCACAAATATTCTTGGTAAGGACAGAAAAACTACATCACAAGGCAAATATTTGCAAATTTATTATGGAATTTCTCACCCAAAAAAATGAATGATTGCATGCCAAAACTATGTTGTGGATGATTTTAGGTTGCTGATGATTTCTCTGCTGTGTATTTATTAGTAATTAAAGTTCGTGTAATGTGTAACAAAGACATGAAAATTATAATAACAAGACTTCAAAGCAGTGAATGAAATGGAGCCATGAGAGAGTACAGAGATCAAATGAAAACAGAAATAAGTGAACGACATTCAGAAGAGATCTCTTTTATTTTATTTGAAAACATATCGAGTTGTATTTGGAAGGGTTTAGAATTCTTGAAAGCAGCTAAACATCCTTCAAAATACATTTACAGCAGACAAGGTAGTATGTTACGCGGTGTAAGTAAATACTGAATGTGTGGTAACTCTGTAAGAATGTACATGTACATGAAGTATCCTTATTCAAAACATGCAGAACATTCAAGATTAGATTAGGATTAGCATAGTGTGTGTCATTCTAATTGGGGTCATGCATTGAGGAGTCTGACTTTTGGTCATGAGAATATCATTTTTGTCTAAACACAAAAACTGAAAAAACCCACATACATGTACAGAAATAATTTGTTGAGCGATTTTGTTAGTTTGAACTGTGTTGGTTATATAGAGAGATTGAGCAGCATATGCATATCACATGTGCAATGACTGTAAGTAGACTGCCAACACACTCATTTCTATTTCTCTGTCAAAAAGAATTCCTGTGCTAGAAATTTATATCCTGATCTCAAAATCAGAAACTGAAAGGGAGACTTTCCACCGTAGTTATGGTAAAAAGCATGAATGTTTGTGTTTGTACAGGTCAGAGGGTAGCAAGTCACACCCAGGAGTATGTAAGTAGCGTCTTAGAGAAGACAGCCAATGGTAGTAAGATGACTGGAGGATTGAACTTCCTGACCAATCATGATTGAGATGACATGGACTCAGGAGAATATCAAAGAGTGACAAGCAAAAGTCTTCAAGCATTCTGAAGATCTTGTGGTTGACAAGTCAAGTGGTATGGAGCCTTATTTTTAAATTATTGAATAGTTGCAGTTGTGGCAATAGGTGCTACAACCTCTTAATATCAAATTACCCCACCCCCCAAAAAAAACCCAAACCAAAATGCCACTGCCTTCCCTCTTTGCAATGAATGCTTCATTTTCCCAACTTTTCACACAAAAAAGAACCATCTTACAAAGAAAAGTGAAGTTCTGCTTGAAAAAAATGCTTACAACTGAGACTGATCAAAAACCCGTGCACTGTGTGTGTGTGTTAATAGTCTCTGCACTCATGTCAGAGCAGCCCGGTGTCTTTTTCTCAAGCACCCAGCTGATTAGTTCAGTGTTTATATATATATATATATATATATATATATATCATTACTTTTTAGCCTATTTACTCAAGCATGACCCTGCAATAATTAAAGCTATGTAAAATGTATAGTGCATTTCTTTAACCGATTGTTAAAATATGGAGTAAAGTATGCCCAATCATGTATATGTTGTACAGTGGTTACCTAAAGACCCCCCAAAAGCACTTATGAATAGGAATAGAACACAACGTTTTGGGGGAGGGGTTAAACTATGTAATCAAGCGAGAATATCATTCAACCTGATACTGCATGTGTTATTCGACTGGTATGTTGTTTTGCTGAATCCAAACTTTCTCCTTAGTGGAGTAATTCTCCACACACTGTCAATAGCTTTTGCAAGTTTTTGCCTTCACATTTGATATTTTTCTCTTTCTCACAAAATACATTATCTGAGAAAACTGGTGTCGTGTTGTAAATATGTAAATAATGACAAAGCTGTACTTATAGAGGATAAAAAGCTAATATATAAGGAATGTTGTATAAAGATATGCGAAAAAAGTTGTTTGGATGTATACATATTAATGTAGGAAACAGGCCTGATGATGTAAATCGGAAAAATGTCTAGAAAAATGAATGCCTTATGGTTGTTACTGAATATATCGGCAATCTGTGTAGCTGAGACGCAGAGATAACAAGCTATTCTTGCTGAGAATGACATGGAGATATGGTAGACTAGATTGCAGAGTATGAACCAAGTTTGTTGTAAATGTTCACACTGTTTGGAAATTCAGATATTACACACATTTAAAGTCATTTTATATTCATTGCAAGTCTCAAAAACTGTTCACATTTCATCCTTTTTCCTAGATGTGTAATTCTTGTGGTGGTTTGAAAGTCTTACGTAGATGAAACAACAGGTAATTGAAATTCTAAAAAATAAAAATAAAAAACGAACAAACAAATTACAGGGTTTGCAAACTTAAATGATTCATGAAAAATGGAATTTTTCCCCACGTATTCAGAATAAGACATTCCCATGGAATTTAAAGACTTCAGTACTGGGTGCAAATGCAGGAATGGATTTGTTTTGAAGCATCATGCTCCAAGAAACAATGCTTGAACTTAATGTGGTTTAAAGTGCCTCAAATTTTCTGTATTAAAAAAATCTTTAAGTGTTAAACTTTAATGGATAGAAATAGTTTCTTCTATATATATTATGTAAATTGAACGTAGTGGTTGACCAATCAAATTCATTTATTTATTTAGGTTATTACTTTTTTTTTAAAAACTTTGAAGCCACTGTGTCGGTGTGGTGTCATGGTCTTTAAATTCAAATAAGTCAGTTACAAATGTCAGAAAATATTTATCACTGTACAGGTCCTGTTTTTGTAAGCAAGAAGCAAGTTTTATTTTTGAGCGGAATCTGCAATAGATGTAATTCTTTGACGTGTACAGATACAGTATTTCAATAACCCTGATTGTTTGTGTGTGCACTTGATATTGGCCTTCCAACCTATGTATCATATATGCCTCCTGTGGCTCATACAGCATAACTGTTACAAATGTACATATAATGTGTAAAAAACATAAACCGAAAAGAGTTGTAAGGAGAGTTACATGTAATTAAGACTACTGATTTTGACATTGAGGAAAGGGTTTTGCCAGTTTAAGATTACAAACTTTTGAGTCTGAAGGTTTTTTGACTTTAATATTTTTGAATCTCAAGTCTGTCAAGATTGTTAAGACTGATCAATCAAGAAATATATGACTGATTTATTTATGGGGTATTGTTGATAGAATAAACAATCCAGTGTGTGACTCCTTCCTAAAAGGTATTTCTCCATCACTGTTCCGCATCTTTCACGTTCACATGAGTAATATTCTAGACAACCTGCTGAAACTGGTAGTCTTTTTGGTTGAGAAAAGATGCATTCTCTTAATAGTTATGTGGTTTATTTTATGTAAAGATCTGTTATGACAATAGAAAATTTCGTGTTTGTGCATTCCAGATGCATGCTATTCTAATAACACAGAAATATATAAATCAGAAATGGGATCATTGGGTGTTTGAAGGAACAACTTTTTGTTCTGCCTTTTTGTTGTTACTATATTTAAACTATATATAAGTATAAATATATTAAAACACATTAGCTCAGGACAGGGGGTGATAGATTGAAAGAAGTAACTATTGCACGTGTAGTGAAAAAAAATCTTCGAAGCTTTGAGGCTTGTTGTAATATAGACATCCTGTGTTGTTGAAATTACTTAAAGATGAACGACTTTTCAGTTTTTTCAATGTAATTAAGCGTCAGTACGGTGTAAAAAATCAATATATCTGCACTCATTTCAAAGGAAGTATTTTTGTACTGATATGCAAAGGAGATAATAAAATGCACTTCAAATGCAAATATTTTTTAAATCAAAGCTTGTGCGGTATATGTTCATTCATTTTTCTTTTCTCTTAATTTTTTTCATTATTTCTGTTCAAGCAAAGTGGCACAAAAAGATCAACCTGGGCAGCAGTGTGTGATATATTTGTATTTTTGCACTGAACTGACCTATAAATACATTAAACATACAAACTTGATTTTGACATCAAGATATATGTATGTAAACTTATGTGAAAAACTAAATGTTACTGAATAAACTTTCTGTTAACTATCAATCTAGGCAAACATCTGTTTTGGTATTTTATGTACAGAAAACTGGTTCTGCTCTGAAAAGAGAATGCAAGAGAAATGTCAAACTGAAATGAAATAAGGTAAACTTACCTATTTGGTATAGAAGTCCCCATGAGGATACTAGGCTCAGTTGAATGAAATCTACCTGTACGTTATGCGGATGTCATGATGTGGAATATTTAAATACTAGATGAGTGGCATCTCTTCTGCAATTATATTACTGATTATATTTGCTATGAAATGGAGCACGCCCTCATTGGCAAAGATGAGACAAGCTAGTGGGATTATTTCAACACACATGTATACACACGGAGACCCTACATTTCAACAGAAATAGCCTTTGCATGCTTTGTTTTCTTTGTGAGATACACGTACATCATCTCTTGTTCTTGCACACAGAAGACACGGATATCTCTTTGATCCTCACAAGCTTTACCCTGAGAGGTGTATTCTCACCATTTTGGAACAACATTTATATAACTTGTAGTTCATTCTCCTAGTCAATTTCATGCATCGGTTGGTTAGCTCACCAGTCTGACTGCTTGTGCAATCATTGTGTCTGCATTGGCAATATAAAAATTCTGTAAATTGAACAAAGAGAAAGTACGCTGATCTTTTTAAATTAATTTATTTTTCTCTATTTCAACCGACATTCCAGTGATAGCTTCAATATAATAACCCAGACCACTTATACATGTATATTTTTTCATTACAGAGAAATTCTAAAATTCAGAAAAAAGACACCAGAAGAACAAAAACACACTGAAGTCTTAATAAAAACTTTTGTAAAGACAAAGTAAGGAAATTGAAAACAAACTTTGTGACCTTAAAGACCAAAATAATTTGGGGGAATACCTACAGATTAGACACATTGCAGATATTGGTGCATTCTCACTGAGCCATTATTACAAGTAATGTTGCAATGGGAAAATGCAATTGATGAGTCTGTATGTGACGCAACACACAGAATGCGCCATGCGCACACCAAGTCCATAGGAGATTCTACTGGATAACTTTCAAAGAAATATGCATGTACATGTACAAGAAAATGGACGGGGGTGTTCAGGAAAATGAAAGTAAAATTTTAGAACACTATCATTGGAATCTATCATATGTTGACTTCTTTTGACTCTCCAAATAAAAAAGTATTTATGAATGGGTTCAGACCTTGCTCAGAAGAACAAACCCTGATAATGCCCTCACGTCCATTCTCCTGAGCCAGTCTTAACCACCCTTACTAAAAAACTGTAGAATATGGAGGAAAGACTAGTATTGAACATGAATGGGCTAGATCAGAATCCGATTCATGGCTGTTTTTATGTTAACCGATGAGATACATGTACTTCAATCTTGGAAGGAGGGTCTCTACTCACGAGTGTATGCGGACACTAGTATTTACCAGGAAGTAATCTGCAACGGACTGACATCTTAGAAATATTATCAACCCCTTTGTGAGAAGTCAATGAAAGATAAACATTGCCAAGCTGCCTATTTTCTCAATAACCTCTACACAAAGACCTTGTTAACTGTCTCAAATTCCAAAAGCTCAATAAAAACCACAAAATTTACCTCCAGCAACACAAAGAGCCATAGGTCTGACTATCCCCTGCCACATTTTGGCTTGGACTTTTCCTCAAGCCTCCTGAATTTAACACTTGAGATATAACATGATTTGGATTTTATGCATTTGGAATATGCTTATTGGGGAATAGTTAAGGTCTTATTTGAATACAACTTTATGAGGACAGAATGAGTCAAATCACAGTATGTTTCCTCTGAGAAGATGATCCAATTAGATGAGCCTGTGGCCATCAGAGCCAACAACCAATTCAAACGTTGTAAACGTCTGTTATCATTCCACTGACAAATTAAAAAATTCAACAATAATCACACAGTCACATGTATAACAACTGTAATTAAAACCCTAGAAACACAAAAAATAATTCTCCACATTTCCATTCTTAATATATTTATTGTAAGTACACAAAAGCCTGATTTTCTGTCCAAAATCTTCAAGAGCATTTTATTTGGGATGATTCCATTTAGCCAAAAGGGGTGATCCTACCATTAGTTGAGTAGCACAGCTCCTGTTTCCTGTATCCCTTCCTGGATTTGTCCCTCCTCTGTCATGAAGTAGGCCATAGTCGGTACCCGAGGTAGTGGTCTGGGTCCAAATATCCTCAGCCAGCGCAAGTAAAGGAAGATGAAGATACAGACTACAATGAAACAACTAATAAGGATGTATTGATTGGAGACTTGGGAGGCGTGAATCCAAGGAGGAGGAACTTGCTTCTGGAATACACCTTGCTCGATCTCCCTGTTCCAATGATGAGAAAAAAAAAGATGAAGCCATCTTCTTTTTAACTTCCATTCTTTCATCATGCTAAAGCTTTAATACTGTACTGCATCAAACCTTTCAGCTGGAGATAACCTGAATAAAACTTTTTTTCCTAGTCACTTCTTAGACTAAGGCCGTTTTCCAATACTCAACTTCGGCTCCGTCTCAGGCTTCAACTGTTTTTTTACTACCTGACGTTGAAGCTGTAAGCGCACTAATTAGTCTAATAGTGCCACAAAACATCAAATAAGATGCAAGAGCGCAAAAACCTACAGTAATCCTATTTGATTTAAACACTTCAGGCCCACAATCGGGGATTGATTTCAGGGACGAAGCCTGAGACGGAGACGAGTACTGGAAAACAGCCTAAATTTAACATATCCCATATTGTGATCCTGTATCTTAGTCTGGTGTTGAATTGTTGGTTACAGGTGGCTGACCTAAGAGGGAAAAAGCGTGTCCTGTGAAGTATGGCACCCAATGTCCACTGCACCTCTTTGTCCTGTATAAGGCTGGCAGTGCGCAGGTACTGATAGTTTTCAGGAAATCCAAAGCCTTTGTGTAGGACCGTAGTCATCCACGCTGATTTAAAGCATTGATACCTGAAAACATGACAAAAACAAAAAACTAAAGTCTGTTATAATTTTTGTGATATTTTCAGAGTTATATTCAGGAATGAAGTACGGCCTTTGCTTATCCATCCTTCAGATTCCTCTTGGTAGTCTTTTCGTATTCTGCCAAGAAGAGTCAACAGCTGAATACTAATAAGCCAAAAGTCATACATGTAAACTGGCCGGTACATTCTGTAAGTCTAATTTGAAACCCACTTGGACAAGTTCTTAGCCTTAGTCTGAATGCTAAAGTGGAATGCAAACAAAGCAATATTCTGCAGCAATCCATGGAAACAGAGGAACAGGCAGGTGTTATTTTGCACACTACGGCAGGTTCCTTATGGTTTTTGGAAGCCAGAAAAATAAAGCAACAATTTTTTCCATTTTTCAGTTAGATGTTTTTAAAGTTCACAGTTAAAAAAGCAGTGGTAAGAGGTAGGGGTTGGAATAATGAATAACAAATCAACGGGAGATCAATGCTAGGAAAAGTAGGATTTCTGGCATGGATCAGCAGATATTTCAAGTCACACAGGTGTCTTAATGAGGAACTAATGATGCAGCAACAAGCCCACTTCAGGATATACTGCAAATAGCCTGACTGCTTTGCTTCTACGTGCACACAAACAACTTGGCAGACTGCCACGTGCAAACTTTGAGCTGCTGTGTTATGCAAAGGGCTGGAAAAATTGTTGGACTCATTAAAACTGGCTGAAGGACAAGGACAATTCTGGTCAACAGCTTACTCTATGGCCATTGTCAAATACCGGTAAATCTGCATGTTTTTCTTTACAGGGAATACTGTAATATCACAACTTCAAACTGTCAAATGCCGCTGCCTGACTTTTTTCCCCTAATTACTGCACTGGCAGGATGCATTTTAAAGATATGAAATACAAAACTGCTACAAACTGCTTGCTGACTAAAATTACCTAAAATACAAAATATGGAGGGCCTGACGTTTCGATCCTAGCAGAATCTCTCTCAAAGGCAAAAATGATGCATGATGATGGATGCAAAAAGGATGCATTTTAGTTATAAATAGTTACAAATTGCCAACACCTGTTTGTGTACAGAATACATACACTGAACAATACCTTACACATAAAAGCTACAGAGCCTAACCTCATTCATTACATAAGACAACTTAATATTAAGGTGAACATGAGCACTGAAATGGTCCCAGCCATGAATTACATTCTTAATCTTTAAAAGAACATACTCTGTAGATTATTATAACCAATCAATATCCCCACATACAACCCAATTTATGGTGCTCCTTTGGTCTGAACTCATTCTTTTTGTTACTGAACTAAGGTGAGAATAGAACTACCACAATGTAAGCCCATCAAAACGATGAAAGAAGATATCTACAGGCATACTCACTGTAATCTGTGTGCATCAGCTTTGGTATACAGGCCTTTTTCATGATGCTCTTGTATTAATGACCACCGTGTTGCACAATAATCCTTGAAAAAGGAAAGAGAAAGAAACCTGGTAAATATCCCCCTTGAAGAAAGGTTTTAAAATGTAAAGTTTAGGCTCTGAGCCAGTTTTCAAACTAATTAGCATGTTCATATGGTAATATTCAATACACTACAACACTTTTCAGAAAACAAGCATGCAGACAGATTCTTTGGTAACCATCATGCTTGTATGCTACACTTCATAAATCTACAGCCCTAATTGACTCCAAAATCTCTAGACATACCTTGGCTGCTTTTTCAAATTTGACGTATTCGTACATTCCTCCCATGCGAAGCACATCCTCCATGCAGTACCAGTACTCAGAGAAACCATAAAACTCGCTGTTATCAAATTCAATCTCAGGCTGGAAGACACCGTTGAATGAACATGGCTTCTTGCTGCAGGGAATTGTTAGATTCATGAGGGGCAGCAGGGACGTTTGGCATTGTTTATAATCACCAGTTCCCTTCAGGTAGATTGTCCGACCATCGTGGGTTACTTTATCTTGTAAACTGACAGGTAAGCAAGGATCCAAAACTGGGGAATCTTCATTTAGACCCGGAGGGTTAGGAGTACTGAAACAACAAAAATTGAAAATTACTTCAAAAAATTCTTTGAAATTAATATACAGATATTTTATCCAAAAATAAAACATCTTTATATATCATCACAATAATGTGTGTAAAAGACCATACAACTTTTATTGCCTATCTTGAACGTTTTCTCACCTTCTCATTCTGGTGAAGGTGACATTCACTAGAGCTTTTTCATAACGTGTTCTGGCTGCATTGCCTCCATACCCAAGGAATGTTGTGACATACACACGGTAGATGTGCTCTGTCTTGTGAACATCGCAACCAAGGTTGAACTCAGCCAGCATACCTTTAGCTACATCTTCCTGGGAAAGAGAACCATTAAGAGGTCATTTTAGGGCAATTCAGCATCAAGCTATCAAGCAAAAGTCATATTTTCACTCATGAGAAATTTCATATTAAGGCTTTAACTTTATGGCATCTATAGGCTACCATAACAAAACTCATAAATTAGCAGGAAAAGCAAATTTTGTTAACAAGGAATGAAGAAATGAAGAATACTTCATGACTACGAAATATTACAGAGTGGAATAATGATGATAAAAAGTAACAGGCATTCCACTCTTGTGCATTATGGCATTATGGTTAATACTTCACAAAACTGAATTTCGTATTTTCTTTGCCAACATCGATGCAAACGCTGAGTGTTAGCATTCAAACCAGGCTGGTTAGCAGGTGAGGCAGTTAGAGGCAGTTAGAGAAAGGATCAACCAAAACTGGATTTATTGACAACACCTGAGGACCCGACTGGTCGAAGCTTACGGTGTGTGGAACTTCAAAGGCAATTTGGGCGGAGCCTCCTCCCATATCTAGGATTCCTACGGTGCGTTTACGAAGCACAGAAACTATACCATTCTCCCCAGTGACATCGACTTCAACCATGGCATCATCTGGGTAAATGAAAACATAAAGCAATAGTCAGATGAATAGACGATTTCTCGGGAGTACATATGCAGTTCAGATGAGCCTCTCATCTTATAACACTTATCAGAATCTACAATTTTGGCTGGAATAGCAAGAAGTAAAACTCAGAGTAAAGTTCTTTCATTTAAGACTTGATGTACTAATTGCTTAAAGTCCAGCATTCATAAAATACAAAGAATGCACCATTGGTTACCTTTCTGATAGAAATAAGTGTACTCCATGTTGAAAAAATGGCCCCAGATTTAAAGCAAAACTTGTCCACTTTAACATTTCAATAGAAGGGATTTATAAATATAAATTTATATTTATAAATCCAGTCATGGAATAATGGAATACATACTATCATCAGCATGATCAAATCTTCCCAGCACGTAGTTGATTCCAATCCATGCATACACTCCCTCTTGTTTACCACTGATCACCTCCACCTGCGTGTCTGAAAACAGGAAGTTGTAGTCCCGGGGAATGTCTGTCTTTAGATCTTGTAGAATGGCTTCTTGCTTGCTGTAAGATAAGCAATCGAAGCATAAGATATAACATCATAGGATTTCAAAGCTGATTTGAATTACCCCTCCCAGATATAATAAAATCCACCAGGTCTTGTAGGATTTTGCAGGATTTAGGAATGTGCAACCAAGCCACTATCTTATAAACCTCCCAAAATGACTTGAAAGGAGTTTTGGATTCTGTAACTTTCCGTTGGTGAATATTGAGACAATTCTGTTCAACTTTCTTTTAAAATTTGTAAGGCTAAATTTGAATGAAGTCAGGTGCTTATGATCCAAACAACTAACAACCTGAGGGTTGTATTCAAGAGAAGTGAATACCTGAGTGGTAGCATCCTCATGCCAGCTGTTGCCAAGATGTAAAGTGGAGACTCAGGATGCTTAGCTCTGGGAATATGACTGGCTGCATAGTCCAGTAATGGCTTCAGATAATCACTGGCTTCGGAAGGATTGTTGGCCATAGTGGCAAGACCTGTGGAATAAAATCACATTTGTCATCATCAGCAAACAACAACGTCAGATTAATTATATCTTCTTCTAAGAGATACAAATGTTCAATGGAAAATGTACACAACATCTGAGAAATCAAGACTGGGCAATTCCTGACTTTTGAGTTACTTAAAAACAATATATACTCTGTCACATGTATACCTGGCTTGATTTTCATGACCACTGGTTTCCTTCGTTTGTCTCTCATTTGATGTATCCTGAGGAGTTTGTTGGTGTCTCCAACATGCCTGGGCCAAAAATATACATAGACTCTTGTGCCACTACTACCAGCATCAATCACGACCCCGTAGTATAAATTCTCATCTTTGGTATCTGTGACCTCAAGCAGTTCATACTTATTGATGAGGTCATTCAAGGGGTCATGTATGACTGGGGGCATTTCAACCTCCAGGTAGAAGATAAAGATAAGTCCAATGAGAGTCAGAGCAAAAATGAGAAAGGCTGTACGTCGAAGGATGCTGCTGTTGAGACGGAAGTTGATGTGCCATGATGCAGGAAGACGTAGGCAGATTGCCTTCCATCTGAGGAAAACGACAACAGATCAATGTGATGAAATCTTTTCTAGAACGCCCCATGAAAACAGTTATATTGTTGAAATTCAAATCCGTCAGTGTGACCAGTAACTCATAATCCTGTGCAAATGCATAAACTTTGATTGATCAGCATGAAAAAAAATAAATAAACAGAGAAATAAATCAAATAGCAAATCAACAATTTTAACATACTTTCAATGACAATTTGGCCTGTATATATGGGGTGCAGATGGCATATTGAAAATACAATGGACTGAAGATTTTAAAAGCCAAATTAGGATACTGATTCAAAATCTGGACAATGAAAGTGGTTTGATGAATTCCACTTAACGAGCAAACATAAGTCTAGTTTATGCCCAGATCTGATGATTATTGGATTACTTACACTCAGCAACTTATAATGGAATCCTTCATAAATTAGTCACAATTAATTATTGCGATAGACAAGTAGAAGCAACAATATTAACGACAGGTTTTATTTGAAAAATGTAACAAATTTACATGTATTCCTATATCCCTACGTTGATGTCCCAAAGTTATAAAATTCCCCAGCTAAACCACTAAGATAAATTTCCTGTGCACTGTTTGGAAAGTTATACCTAACAATCTACATTTGAAAAGAGTTCCACAAACGGACACAACTGGACATGCTGCGCAGCTGTGGTGTGACTAACTTAGTCTGACATTGTGCTTAACCATTTTCCCTGCTAAATTTGACTTTTAAGGACATTTAATCATTTTCTGATGGCTTATAAACCACTGGATGGGAAAATATGAACTCTCACCCTACGTTTTGTTATTTACCGATGCAATGGCATGCATTTTTGTATGTCATGCATTCTGCATACATGATTAGCAAATACTGAAAAAGCCTGATACTTAGTGACATTGATATGACAAAGGCAGAAGGCGGACAAGTTAGGCCTAGTGCAAAAACTTGGCACCAGTGTGACATACCTAGCCATCTATAACTTGCACACGCTACAAACAAAACACATCAACAATAGTCTTGAGTCTGACGTTGTTTCTCTCCCAAAATTCGCAGCCAAAAGTCCTTCTGAAATAGCCATTCCACGTCAAATTTGGAACAGCTGTTCGCGTTCAGTGATAACACCGGTACGTGAAAACGCGGACAATATATGGTCTGGAACTTGCACCGTTTCTTCCTCAAAATTTTAAGAGCTTGAGCAGGGCACCAGACGGTAAATCTAGATTGGATCATTTTGACACGTGTCACTTTCTTTCAAGAAGAGCTGTAACAAAGTCGCAAACTACAAAAAAGATCTTAGCTTAAAATAAGATGTCCATTGGAATGTTCAGAGTGGCAATGGGAGCATAATTTAATTTTTTTTGCAATTCTACCCATTTTATTTCCAGGTCATTAACCTATCAGTAAACAATCAAGATGGCGGCCGACATAACTGATGCCCGAAATGTAGCGAAAGAAATCATTGCATACGACTTAAAAATCAACGGTCTTATTCAGGTAATTTCTAGAATTTCGGTTGGAGTGTCGAGGTATTGCAATGGAGCTGTTGAAATTAGAATCGATTGTGTATATCATTGTCAGGTTTTAAAAATCGAACGGCTGGTTTGAACCAACATGCGTGACCAATGTTTAGACGTTACACATTTTTCAACTTCGCCTTGTAAGATACGACGTGTGAGGGCGCACTTCAACTTTTGTGGATGCCCTGGTGTTGTCCTGGAGCCTAGTGTAAAGCGAAATTAACTCTTCAAATAAATATCTTGTATTTTTTGTTATTGCTTAATTTGCTTTTGATTAATAAAACAAGCAGACAGGTTTATTGATGTCCTAAACACTTTGACATGGTTAGCTTTATAATCATGGCCCCTGTTCTCCCAGTCAAGATCCCTAGAGGATGTTTCAGGAGGAAACTAACCATGTACCAAGTAGGGCCTAAGTTAGCCCCACTAGTGTGGCACGAACTATCACTCCCGATCTATCCCAAGGATGGATCGGGAGTGAGAGTCCGTGCTACACTAGTGGGGCTAGGCCTAAGTAAAGTACATGTACCTGGCCATATTCTTGCAGTCGGCATGACATCGGTCTTAACTGGACTTCAGTGGCGGCGAAGTGGCAAATTTACCCTTTGAGCTATTCCATTATGTACAGAAGTTTAAGGATGTCCGTCTGCGAGAATGCAGCTGACCATGCCCAGTCAATTCTGATAACATGTACAGTGTACATATTGACTCTGACGAGTTACTCCATGGAGGAAGACGGAATAGACTACCCCAAGTTGAAATAGAACTCGTATGGGAAATTTCTTCCAACAAAATATGCATGCATATATAGAATACATACAATATATTTGACTTTTTTCTCCCAGGATATCAGAAGCAATTGTCATTCTCTTCAAGATATGAATCTGGTGAACCAAAAGATAGAGGAACAAATGAAAAGAACACAAAACAGAATTCAGGTAATATTAGTAAACACTTGCTAAGTTGGAAATGACATCAGTGGCGAATAGTTGCTATGATAATGGTTACTTGTTATCGTTTCCTGTAATGTAGTTAAAAATTTATTTTAGATGGAGAGCATGGAGAAAATGTAGAAGTATTGGGATTTCTGCGCCAAACTAAAACCTTTGCCTGATTGTTTTAGAATAGTATTCATTTGAACAACATTGTATATCCGTTTTATTTACTAAATTTTATTTAATTTTTGAAGGATTTGGAACGGATTGCAAATGAACAAGACAAAGAAACAGACAGACTAGACATTCTCAAAGATGTGGAAAATTTCCGGAAACAATTGTCAAGGTAATTAAGGGGTTGCTTTTTAAGTAATTTTGTTTCCCAAGAAACATGAGAAAAATCAGAACTATCAAATATTGAAATGACGAACATTTACAAATTATTTTCTGAAAATTTCTATCAACTGTTGGTCAGTCAGTTGAGAGTATCAGTTTTCACTCTCCTGTCATATCCTCTCTTTTGTACTTGTGCATGTATTCTCTCATTTGAATATTGTTCTCTTATTGTAGTACACAGACATCTGTTAGAAAAGCCAAATTATCCTGCAAAATGGCCATTGACAGACAGGAGAGGGCGAGCTTGCTACAAGGTGGTACAGATCCTGACTTAAGGAAAAGGTTGACATATTTATATTTTTAGATTTTTAAAGTTCCATTTCAGTTTAGGTTCAACCATTATTCTGCACCTTCCTTGTTTATTTAGGTGTTTAAAGTAAACATCGATTTCCTGTTTTTCTTTTATTTCTGTCTGCTAACAGAATGAATAAAGAGAGTTTAGCCAAGACAGCTGGCAGCATCACAGATAATTTGATGAGTCTAAATAGGATGATGGCAGCCAACGTTACACAGAGTACTCTGACCAATCAAGTGCTAGGTACAGACCTCAGTTATCATAAGTGTGTTGAATAGTCAAGCTCTTCCAGCCAATCCTAAACCTGTATGCAATTTTTTTGAATATCACAAATCTGAAGCCACTTTGCTTTGGGGTAAGTATGTCATGGGCACCGTGTCATGCTTTTTAATTCAGACACTATTGCTGTTTCAAATCACACACAAATTGAAATTCAGTCTCTTCTTACTTTTTCCATTCTGTTTCTTTCCTCGCAGGCAACAGTTTTACCAAATAAATCTATGTTTGTTAACTTGCAGAGAAATCTTCAGCTACGTTGTCCGACACCCACGAGGAATTCAAAGGCATGGGTGGTGTGATTCAGACCAGTCGTAGTTTACTGACCAAGTACAACAGACGAGAGCTAACAGACAGGTTACTCATCTTCCTAGGCGTGGCATTATTTCTTGCTACAGTGCTGTATATATTAAAAAAGAGAATATTTTGATAAAGGTTTGGGTGGGGTAAGGGTGAGATGGAACTGATTAGATTTCTTGTTTGGTTAGAATAAGTTATTTGCTAAGAAATTTACTCATGTTTAATTCATGTCAGAGCCCTGAAATTGAATGCTGGGTAAATCTTTGTTCTAGCCTATTTTATTGACGTAAAATAGCTTTTCATGGTTAGTAAATGTATGTCCGTGTGATTTATGCATGCATTTTTAAATGCGAGGTTGCCGTATTGTGATTAGCATTTTTATGTGGTTTCCATGTCTTACCACATGCTACAGGTCACTGAATAGAAGGTAGAATCCAGTCATTTGACTTGCCAAACCATTTCCTCAAAGTAATGGACAAATTATATTGCATTCAATGAAGATACTGACAGGAAATGACGTAGCATCGATATTTTGTGATATGTTATTATTAAAACCTCATTTCTGTCTTTTTTTTGATGGCTTGCTGTCAGGTTGCAATTAGACAAAATGACAACAAAAATGTGTACCAAATAGGTTTAAACAAGTATCAAATTTAATCATTTCCTAGTACATTATTTTACATATCTAATAGCCACTGTATGTCTAGGTTTCAAACAATTTTTCAAACATTCAACTTGTACTGATAACAGCAAATCCAACTTTTCTCACACACCACCATCACAGGGATAAGATTCAATCGTCTTCTGTTCTTTCGAACCTTTTTACACAGTGATCCAAAACAATTGGAACCAGGTGATTTGGTGTTTATTTGTATTTGCTTCAAGTTATTTACATGGTTTTTTGTTCCAACACAATGGAAGATTACAAACAAGACAAAATTGTTTTTCACTTACTACAAAAATTTGGAAACATACAGGAACTGCCCAAAACCATGTCCTGTGTGCCTAGTACTGTCATCCAAGCAAAAAAAATGGATTTCATTTTTGGCAACAAATCGATGGTTCTCAGAATAAAATAGATCACACATGTACTTTGTATTCTAAAGGAAAGGTAAACAGTTGTGATAGTCTCCCATGCCAAACTACAAATGACAAAACCCCATGGCTGCATGAAAGATGCAGTACTTACACATCAATATGCACCAACAATTTCTGAATTTGCTCATGATTCAGCCTTGACCAGGGTAAAAAACAGAAAGTAATCTGAATAAACATTGTTGACAATCACTGAAAACAGAAGCTGAAATCTACGAGAGAGAATGACCACCCAGCTTCATCCAATGTGGTTTCAGTCATTTTTAGATGCCTTGTCTTTTATTTAAAGCACAACTTTGAAATCGACTGTTGGAACAAACTTTTCCACAATAAGACTGATGCAACATTTGAATTCTTCCTAACTGCCAAAGTACAGAAAAGCCAAGTACTACTGTCTCATTTTAAAAAAATTCTTGAACACAACTTTACAGATTCAGGACAAATAAATGAACCTGAACATAAAAAACCATATCGTTAAAAACCTCCTCCCCCCAAAAAAATAATACAAACACCAAACTGAAAACGTAACAATAACCAAGAGCAGATATTAAGTGCACTGTGAATATTAAGCTCAAAAGCTAAGGGGGAGAATTTTATTTCTAATAAATCTTGTTTAATATGTAAGAACGTTCCTGAACTGCTTGCAACACATAAACTTAATTGAGCTGGAGAAGGAGCTTGGGACAACCACAGCCCAACTTCACCAACTCATGATCTGTATGGCACAGGCATCTCTGAACTTGAGAGGATGACATTTCAATGAGTATGACCCCAGCTGAGATGCATCATGTACTAGTCTACCAGTGAGGTTCTAGGTATTAAGACAACCATACTTTGGAAACCTTGAGGGAAACTAGTAAGGCCTTTTGACATTTGTGAATACAACCACAACAAAAATGTAACATGGTATTTATTACTCTTCTCAAGGATGTCATTCATGATATTTCGGGTTGTGCTACACTTCTGATCTCAGTTTATTTTAAAAACAAAATCATTTCTAATACCACCTATTTTCACCGACACACTAGTACAATCATCAATTATGGCAAATGTATTTCATCTATTTCAAATTTTTACCACGTTAAAAAATTCTTTTAAAATTCCTTCTGACGCTGCTATGTGGATTGGGGAGGCTCAATAGGTTGTCTGTTTTTACTTTTGCTCCCTTTTGGACCAGACTTAGGAACTGCAGTTGCGGTGGAAGCTTTGTCTTGGCCCTTCTTTGTGCGTCTAGTTTTTTTCTCTTGGAAATCCTCATCAATCACTAGCTCTGCCTCACTATCCTCCAAGAGGAAACCCAGATCTTCTGGTGACTCAGCCTCCTGTGGAGGTAAACTGTTTGTTACTGTAGCATCTGACAGGGTCTTGGATTGCTTCAATTTCTTGGCTTTCCTCTTGGTAGCAGCTTCCTCCTTAGTACTTTTCTTGGTTCTATTCCTCCGCTTCTTTACTTTGTTTTTATCAATATTTCCAGCCTCTGTAATTTCCTGGGTCTTTTCTTGTCGTTTTTCTTTCTTGCGCTCTTTCCGTTTCTCCTTCAGTTTCAATTTCTCTTTCTTCTGCATCTTCTTCTCTTTCCTGGCCAGTTTTTCCTCTTGGTTCTTCCGTCTTTCTTCTTCCTCTTCCTCCTTCTGTTTCTTCTCAATCTCTCTCAACTCTTCCTTGAGCCTCCGTTGCATCATCAGCTGTTCACGATCTTCATCATCATGATCTTTGCACAGTCTCATCTCGTTGTAGACAGCGATGTTACCCTCTGAGTGGCCATTGCAGTAGGAGTTGGGGCACTCATCGCACAGTTGCGTTGCCAACTTGCCACACTCGTCACAGTGATGCCATGGACAAATCCATTTTCCTAGGTGGGGGTTTATCAAAAAAGAGACATTGGGGCCAAGTTCCAGTCAAAACTTTGACTCCAAATTATTACTGTGTAACACTCATCTCTAGAGATAGAAAGGCATCAATTCCCATTTGCCATCTGTCAAAAACTTGTCTCGGCTTAACATTATCATAATACCAAGCACTGTTGGATAGATTTTCATATGAGACCAAGATAATAACAGATCTTGACTACTAGTTTCACTGATCAACATAGTTTTTCTGCATGATTTTGGGTCTTACCGTGTGGTGGTTTGGCAAGTTTCAAGCATCCTAAACAGTAGGCTTTAGGACAGTTCTTATGATCACACATGACAAGTTCTCCTCCTTCACCACATCGGAAGCAGACATCGTCATGGTTCACCTTGACAACCATCTTCATCTTGCGTTTCCGTCGTTTCAGTTTTTTTCTATTGGCTGCTTTCTTGTACTTCTCAGCTACTGCTTCAGCTGATGCAGTCTGAGAAGAAATGACAACTACTTTTACCTATTTTTCCCTTTTAGGAAAACACTCTGTAAATGAATGCCAGAGGGTGTCCACATTTCCATTTTATCCTTAAATATGCATTCCTAGAAAAGCAGTAGTAGCAATGACTACATTTCTTGTCAATTATTTAGCCTGTTTCTGCTGTTACTGTAAAGAAATTCATTTGAGTATTTTTTACTTGATTCCAATTTGGTGAGCAGATTTCAATATATGTACACCAGTTTCAAACATTGAATAGTGCACTGACCTTTGGCCTGACCCCAATGAAGCCACTACAGTTGGGAGCTCCACACTCGCAGCGTTTTTTCTCATTGCCTAGACAGTCCAGGTTGTAGTTGAACGTGAGTTCCGTGTCTGTCAGAAAAGAAATATGGGGTAAGTAGGAATCAAGCTCTACAACAGTTGACAATGAAATGGCCAGATGGTGCAGGTTCGGACAGGTTATAAGTCAACATTCTATTAACTCTGCCCAAGTAGATTTGCCATTAAGCAGGTTGTTGCCAGAACTTGAACTCGGTAAAAACTGTGACAGTCAGTTGATCTACACATCACGAAATATCTGTATTTTCATCATAATGTGTATAACGATAAAATGATACTTAAAAACGTACTGCAAGGAATATCACAGATGGCAAATAATCCAACTCGCGTGTCACCATTCACAGTCCACTTCTGTGTCTCACAGTTAGGCTGACAACAATGGTTCATAAACCGGGACAAATTTCCTTTTGGCCCCGCATCAATGATGCGATCTTTGTCTAGCGTCAAGAAGTAGAAATCAGTGATGTTGTTGTCATGTGCTTGACGAATGCGCTCGCGGCATTCCTCTTCATCAACTAGCTCTCCAACATACTCGTTGACAAAATCACCCTGGATGTGACATAAAATATCACACATGAAACAGAGGGTTTATCTTGCTGTTTTCTTTCACTGAACTGTTAACGATAATGCATGAGAAATAATCATGAAAGGTATGAACTGTTTTCTAGAATTCCGCACCTTCTTAATGTCAACTAGTGACATCAACCCCCAGCCTCGTTTGCTCATCTTCTCCGGTCGAGACTCTGGGTACTCTCTCTTCTGGAAACGCTGGTTCTGGCATTTATCCCCAGCTGGGCACACAAGAGGGTGACACTCAATCAGGAGGATACGGTTCAGGCAGTCACTGTCTTTACCACAAGGGTTTTCACTGGTTGGTTTGCAGTCACATGGCTGGCATTTGCTGATATCAAATGGTGGCATCTGTACACGACCTACAGGTTTGTTGGTCTATGAGGATGAACAAAGTTTGATGACAGAAGAGTGGTTATAACTATTAATTTGGGTACACTGACCAAACAGACTCTATGTAGCTACTATAGACAGTACAGTTTGGTCTAGAGAAACCAAGAAAGGACACATCACATGCAAAGACTACCTAATGCATGCAAATGATGCATACAGCATGCAATCATTTTTTTAAATGAATGTGCATGACCAGCGTCAGGAGTGTACACAGCAATGTTACTTAAGCTGACATGATCCTTACTGACTTACCTTGATAAACTTGAATGGTCTTGGCTTCTTACTGCTGTTCTCAAGTTCCCTGGCCTCTTTCTGCTCTCGGAAACCCTTCCACTGTTTGTACTTCTCAGCTGCCTCACAGAGAGCTAAGGGATCAGATGGTGGATAAAGACATCACTCAATTTCTTAAATTTGCTACAAGTGAACCTATTTTGAAGTTCTTCATTCTTCTAAGAAGAATCAATTATGAAGACAAGGTCTCAGTCCCAAGTTCTAGAACCTCCCCTGCAAGCAGGAGGTACTTACCTGCTTTGAAGACTGTTGCCAATCCTCTGGATGCAGCCGTCTCTCTGCTTCCTTTGTCCCCCTCGTGGTAAGCAAAAACACGCCCCTGATGGGTCCAGAAGTAGTCATGCGACCCAAAGAATTGGACGGGGAATTCCCCAACTTGGTGGTTCATTTCTTGGATATTGGTAGGAACATTGCGTGGATTGCAGACCTGGGCCGGCCACCATCTAAGAGAAATACAAGTTGACAAAAAAATCAGTTTCATTCCACTTAGAATTGGAAATTTTGCTTCTGTGTTAGAAACTAGGATTTAAAGAAATCTTGAGGGGAAAACTGAGGTTTTCCAGGCAATTCAAGTGATTTTTCACTTTTGAAAACTTCTTTCAATTCAACCAAATAATGTAAACATGATGAAGTCTGACAAATATAAATTTAAGATCTTTAATTAAATACAAGGAAGCAATTTATTTGATAATTTTTTTCACAAACCTGTAATTTCCAAGCTTGACCCAGATGATATCATTGTAACGAGGTCGTTTACCATTGCTACAGTCTCGGCAGTACCAGTTGCCTTCTGGTATTGATGAGATTCCAATGCAGGATGCATGGAAGGCAGCAGGACAGCTATCACAACAGATCAGATCACCACCTACAACAAAAATCAACATTCCAGTTAAGCCTCTCTTTTCTCAAATCTGCACTTCTGAAAACTGGAAGTGCAAACCAACAAAGTGTGCCAGTGGAGTTAAAGTTTTGTTCAGTAAAATATGTCTAGCAGCGAAGTACTGCTTGGTTTGCGGGAGATCCGTGCTTAGCTAAAGAAACTGCTGAATGTTTTCCGTGATATGGTACACGTCTAAGCACACATTAAAAACAACCACTCACAAAATTTGTCAGAATTTTTCCACAAAGCAAACCTTTCTCATTGTCTCACCCAAAGATTGTATGGTTCAATGGAAACACTTACAATCCTAACAGTCCCAAATCCTTCGTCTCTTAGTGGATTGAGGACTATAAGGGTTGATAAACAGCTGGCAAAAGAAAGACTGAACAAAACTTATTCCAATACTTACCTACTGAACAGATGAAACACCAGCTGACACTAACTCTTGCATGATGTTTTTGAGTTTTAATTGGTTTAAAGTGATGACTACAAACTATAGAATTGGAGGCCAGAGTAATACTACCAGCCGCTATACAGCTATCACCAGCATGGAACGACGCAGGACAGCGAACACAACGTACCAAACGACCTGGAAACAATAACGTGACAATGGTGACATGGCATACAATAACAAACCTTCCGAATCTTATATAATGTTCAGGGATTGGTGTATGTCCAGAATTGTGAAAGGTACAGGTTTTACAATTCTGACTAGAAAGTCAAGGAATAACAGAATCTTTAATGCTGGAACCTTTGCACACTTACATAAATACTTACTGAAAAATGACTCATTTCAGTAGGTAACATGACTTGAACTACTTTGTTGTTCTTTTCCTTGAAGCAACCTTTCCACAGAAGTTGATTGGTAAGCCTTGTGCAATGAGCCAGACCAGTATTTCAAAACAGCAAGGTCATTTACAAACCATGTATGTGTGCGAGACCGTGCAGAGCTACAGTGTTAAGACAGACTTTACACACGAGTATGAATGACCTCAAATGCCCTTCATATTGGGCATGTGCTGTTGGAATACCAACCCAGCTCATTACTGCACCATCCCAACTCAAAAGGGATCTAAAATGTCCTCTCCTTTGTAATGCACCTGTGGCAATCCACAAGGTTTCAAGTAGACCTACCTTTACTGGCTTTGGGATTCTTGGGGTTATCAGCAAAGCAGGAGGTGCAGGTATGTAATGGACAGGTGAACCCACGGTTATCAATCCGAGTCCGAGAGAACTTTTTAACACAGTCTTCATGGTAGTACTTGCCACAGATACCTACATGGCAACGTTTGACAGTCTTGTCTCCCACCTTGCAGACGAAGCAGGAATGAACTCCTACCAATGTATAAACCAGGAAAGTCATTAGAGATTGTCAGAAGTTGAAGGTTTTTCTTTTATATCAATTGTTTACAGTCAAACCTCATTCATAAGAGGTCTTTCGGACTTATCAGGAAATGTATTATCAGGAATGACAACCATGAAAAACGAAGGATTGTGACCTAAAAATGTCCTTCTTACAAACAGAATTTTGTATTAACAGTGCTCTTATTAACAAGGTTTGACTGTACTAGCATTTAATGAGTCATCCTCAAAGGAGCCCAAAAACAGTCCAGGTTTTTGGAAAGCACTCCCAATTTGTGAATGCCAACATGTCAGAATCCTGTTCGTTCCACCTACCTGATATGCACTCATCACATTTAAATGTCCCACTAGGCGTTGTTTGAAGTCCAATGCAATCTAGATGGAATGCCCCACAGCATCCTCCTTCACAAAGAAGCAGCTCTCCAAGACCCTCGCACACCTGACAAACATTCTCCTTTTTGGCAGCACCAGCTCCTTTCTCCCTGGCAGCCCCATTGGTGCTGCTGGTCTGTGATGCATTGCTGGTGCTAGCTTGCTCATCTCCTGAGCTATGGCCTTGAAGGGACAGAATGGGTTGGGGCTTAGTTAGCATGCAGGAGGGGTATGCGGAGAAGTGGATCCAAAACCTTGTGGATTGGAACATGACCTCTACCAAACCCTAACCCTCCTCAATCCTTTAAAATCCTCTGGGTGGTTTTGGGAGGATCTTGGAGGATTGAGGAATGGCAAATAGTGTGGCTGATTGGGAAGAAAACATTGTGTCAACGTTGTGGGTTAGACCTTGTGTTATGTTCAGCCATGCATAAATTTATGCCTATGATAGTATATGTGAAATCCTCCATACTGCTCCAGGGTAACATTCACACTGCACCAACATGACAGGAATTGACAGATGATTTGGAAGGACTGAGGCAGTGGGCACCCTCAAAGCATATTCAAGACATATTTTTGAGGACTTTGAAGGATTGAGGCAGAACTCATTTCTTGTATTGGATAATTGGAGCATTTTGAAGGATTGAGGATGGTGCCTAGTAAAAACGCCTCGGGGGTTAAGATTACAAGGCCAGCTTAGCTGAATGGCCCATACTGAATAATCTCTGAGGAACCATGACCAATGATTTAGCAAAGAGTTTTGAATCACATGGCAGGACACAGATGATGCATTATTGATGAGTCAATGTCTACAAAAACAAGTTTGAAAACGTATCTGCAGATGCACAAGAAACAAACAAGACAAAGACAGACCTACATGTAGGGTTCCTGTTGGTGAATAAGAATCACTCTTTTAAGAAACTTTAAGTGATTAACACTTGTTCAACTTTCAAAAGTATCAAATCCAACAGTCATTACAGGATCCAGTAGGATGGTTCAACAAATTTCTGTAAATTGTTTAAATAAACATTCCTAATTTGGGTATGTTCAGACACAGCATATTACCCAAAACAGCTGGTTTGTGATTTTGTTGGTCCTTCCAATGTATTCCATTTGTGAAGCCAAGAAACACAACAGACTTGAGTGTAGCTGCAGCTATCTTTCTTTTACTCCGAGTCAGAACTACACGCAGCATTGATATTAATCTAGCCTATATGCCACATGATTTACAACCTGTTTGTATTTAGTATTGGCCATGGGAGAGGGGGTTTCTGAATTGCAACCCCCCCCCCCCCGATTCTACATTTACATTTCAGGTTTATCCCTGTGTTTAGTTTGACTGTAATTCAGCAAACATAATCCACAAAACAAACCTCAAACTTTCTATCACTGACAAGATACTCATCAGTGTTGGCAATGAGTCAATATCACATATTGACTTTTGATTTCAACTTGGAGAGCATTCACACGTGGAGTTTTCGGCCAGAATGCAGCTCTATATAGGCCAAATCAATATCCAGTTCATTCAGTAGACAGAGAACTTGGTCAACAAAATCAGCTTGATAAATTATATTGAATCACAACACATTCACTGCAGATTCTGATACATTTCAATAGGTTTTGTCCTCCCACACAGATCAAGCTCTTAATCTGCAATCATCCAACCAGATTACCAGCTTTTGTGAAACAGGTCAAGTTCTGAAATATGAACGAAGACTGTGTGGAGATGAGAGTACACATACAGTTGCAAACTTAACAAGGAGTCATAAAGTGGCAAATATATGTATATAATCAACAGGTGCACAAATCAATGATGCGTTCAATATACCTAAACTTCATGACACCAATTTGGATTTTCATAAAAACCACCACTGTTACCATGGCAATTCAACAAAATATATCAAAATACAATGATGGCTCATTTTGATATATTGAAACTGTCTGAACATACCCATAAGTACATCTAAATTTTCACAGCAACAGGAACCCTGTTCATGAGAAACACTACAGATTAAAAGTTTTTGAACAAAACATATCCATGCATGACGGTTAGCACAACACCCATGCCCATGCAAAATAAGACGTGAAAAACAAATCTTAATTCATACAACAAATCTTTCATTTACAAGCTGGTCGAGAGACAAAAGAATGTGAAACTGCTGTATTCATAAAAGGGTTGATTTTCTGTGTTCTTGTAATCATTTAATCAGAATTCTTGAATTTATCAGATCCTTATTCACAGTGTAAAAATGGCACTACGTTGTACGGACCAAGTATCGAACTAAGATTTCATGTAATGTACAGCTAAAAATACTGAATGCAGAAGCCATGTTCTCGTTACTTTTGCTTCCAATTTCTTTCATCACCCAAAATACATCCCAAGAAAGTCAAAGCCAATTTTTCTATTTACAAGTATGTATGTATAAAACACCCTGCCTTTCTTTCCCACAAATCTTGCCATACACTCTTGCTGAATCCTCCAAATAAATTGCAATGTGCCGTCTTAAACGGTGCTAAATTAGAGATATCATTCACAATCCAATAATTCTGAAGCATATACAATGGTAACCAAAGCCAAAGTTTGAAAACTACAATTATTAACAGGGAATTCACACATTTGTTTTACAGCTAACAACAACATTTCATTAGAAAAAGACTTAATTAAATGCCACGAAGCACAAATGCATGGATATCTTGTAATTGAAACGTCGCATTTGATACACAAAAGGTCTTTTCTGATATTAAACTGTCATTGAACCATTCAGGTCAAAATTGTAGACTGAAGTAGGCAAGTTTTGATCCTGATTTCTTTAATGGAAGCTGAGAATTATACGAAGACCTAATGCGAAGAATTAATTGCATGATTAAATGCATCAACACTACAGTTTTTATAAAATTTAAATAATTTCTGTCAAAAATAGGGATTTTTGTCAACTTCAGATTTCTTTTTCAACAGTAACAAAACATGGCAAGCACTAATCCTTAATATACACCACTATATCCATCAAAAAATGTATTGAAAATACACATGTACGATTTGAAATTGCCTACACAAAGCAAAACCTTATAAAACAAAATAATCTGTCTTCTCAAATTAATTCTACTTTCAAATCTGGTAAACATGCATTTTTAAATATTAATTCTGAGCAACCTACAACATGTCTTATTAATTTGTGGAATTTCTTCTCAGCAAGAACATGACAGAATAGCAGAATAATCAATCTGTTTGCTACCATAACAACAATCTTTAAAAAAAATGCTTTTTTTAACTTGGATTCTTGAGCAACTACATTCTCCAAGGTCAATGCTGCGATAACCTTGGAAACATTGAAGATTGCATCAACGCGAACAAATTGGGTGGTCTTTTTCAACCTTGGTGGGTGGTAATGCCAAACTATAACTATGGCTGATAAACATTCTTAATGTTAATGTCTGCTGTATGCAGTCTGCAGGATGAGAGATACACCCATCGCACAGTGATATGCACAGCACCCAATACATCCAAGTATTGTACAAGTACTTCATTTCTTTGGAGGAAAAACTGTTTTGTCAATTCCAAAAATCTGTGCATATAAAAATACACAAACATGTATATGAATTAAGTTCCTCTGAAAATTTCTGCCGCTTATAAATGGGAAAAGATCTAAAAAAATGTACACTGCTCCATAAGCTTATCTATATATAAAGAACAGGTAAACTATTTCTCTTGGAAAACCTACATCATCATGTTCCCAATTAACTACTTCAAATTTCTTTTGATGAAAATGCTCATGAAATAAAACTTCAACATTTATGTCACGAAATAAACCTTATTCAATGTTTTTGCCCCGTTTGAAGTAGCACACTCCTCCTCATCCAAAATGAACCCTTTTCATTCCCAGGTAGACAAAGTCCATGCTTTTTCTATGATTTCTGATCTAGCCGAGGTATTCTGTAGAGATCATTAATTCCTGGAATGCAGACTGCACTGAAGTATTTGTCAGCCATCAAGCCAAGTCTTCCTCTTCGTCCAGTGGAAACCTCAACTAACTTTGCTTTAACACACTCATGTCTTTTACTTTCAGCAACTACACTTTCACTTGGATTTACCCCTGTATGCGTGAACAATTCTCTTACATGAGGGGGATTCACAACTCTTGGAGTTAAGAACTGTTACAAACCATCAAGAGTCAATGAATAACCAATATTAGTTCTAACAAAACTAGAAAGTACATCCGAAAATGCAAGAATACGTTGACAAATCCAAATGTAAGAACATTTTCTTTTCCTCTCTTCCAGCTTATAAATACTGAAATGTATTGCTAAGGCGCATGGGTGTTGTGCATACCTGAACCATAGAACAGACACCAACTTTGCCTAGTAAAGCAATCTTACAAAATACACATACTAGCCTGAGAAACTGAAATACTAACTACAAAACCTGTTTGTGCAAATGATACACAAAATGAAACCATGAAAAGTGTTAAGAAAATACTGTGCAACAATATTAAGATGTACAACACTTTGACAGTATGCCGCCAAGCACAGCTCATGACAGCAACCTGCACAGCTGAGGGAATTCTACAAACCCAAGACAAAAACCTAAAGGTTCCAAAATAAGGAAAATTGATCCAGAACCTACAATGTATATTATATTTAGACCAAGCAAAAAAAGAAAAATAACTCAGAATGCACATGTTAACAAAACACTCAAAAATCTAAAAAGGTTTCCCTACTGACATTTTTTTTAATATGAGGCAATGGATGGCAAGAGATCTTAAGCTCCTTTGAAAGTTGAAGTAACTGCAAAAACTGGGGCTGGCTATTTTATTTTTTTAAAACAAGTGGGTAATTTCTTAACTGGAATTACGTGATCGAACTCAAATTACAAAGTTTACGTGTTCTTGATTTGAAAAATAAAATCAACAACAGTGAATTAATTTAAGAAGAAACTGCATGCCAGTTTTGTGAATAAATCTTTCTCTTACTGTCCAAAAAAATTTCCATACAGCATCTTAACTCTGATCGAGATGCTGCAAACAGCATATTTACATTTTGAAAATCTGGAAACCAAATTTCATCATTTCCTTTAAAGTTTCCTTTGCATGGACCTTAAAAATCTCAATTGATATCACAATTTATGAAACATTCAACATAAAATGAGAAATGTCAATGAAGTACCCTGAGGTTGTAAAAGAGCAACGTCCCATCATGTCACCTTCCAGACAACTTTTAGGCAAACTGTGTTTGCATCTTGCAAATGCCGCACTAATTCCGATTTATTGTGATGGTAGATTGGCAGAGTTTTGTTATTCTTTGCAAGAAAATTTGCTTTCTAAACATTCCTTGCCATTACGATAGCCTAGCCAGGAAAGTTACGAAAAGATAAAGAGTCATTACCACTGATGCTGAAGGGAACTCCATTGGTGTTATCGGGACCATCCACAGCTGATTCAATGGCGCCAGTAATCAGGTCTGTATCAATGATCAAGCCTGGTTCATCCTCCTGCATCTCAGCAAAATCTTTAGACATCTGGGTGGGATTCCAATCAAGCAAAAGCTTAGGATTGTTAACAGCTGGTAGAATGGTTAGACTGGGTTAGACGGTTACAAATGAAAAGGACTCACACAATGCACTCCGCTTCATGGGACTTCTGAAGAATGTTTGTTCTTAAGTTTACTTCAGAATGCACAGCATAGTCTAACTTTACTTCCATATGCCTGCCGAAACATTTCGAATGTGGGTCAACTATAATTCTATGGGTACATCTTTTTCATTGAAAAACTGACATTGCACCAAGGATGACATTCATTTAGCTTTTGTCATCGATGGCATCGTGCCCATCACAAGTAAAACCTTGTAACAGTGGTGGGAAATAAATAGTCTGAAATGTCCGAGTTAACACGATCTTCATGAATCTCATGTCTGAGTGCATACCTCAGTTGCAATAGCCTCCCCTCCAGTCTTAACTGGTTTCACTGGTACTCTGTTCAGGACTGGGTCTCCATTGGTCAGATGCTTGGTTTTACGTCCTCGTCTCCTCTTTTTTACTGAGGCATCTATCTCTTTGCCATCAGGGGTTGGAGTGACAGCAAGAGTATTGGTTGATCTGCTTCGTTTGTTCTCGGACTCTTCATCATTTAACTGCGAATAAATCAAGCAAAAACGAGTAAAACTTGTAAAATATGCTATTCAAAAAATGATTGGAATGGTATTTATTATAATACCCTCATTTTACTTTCAATGTGTAAAAAACATCCAAGAAGTCACTTTCTACAAACTAAAAAAAAAACTCCTTTGGATCAAGTCTTCAGGATTCAACCATGTTACAAAACCACTTACTTTCAGAGACTTTGTCATCTTTGGGGAGAAGCCAAGGTTATCTAAGTCAGCTTCTTGGAGTTTCTTGGATGGTTTAGTCTCCCTGCGAGATCGCTTTACAACCACATCCAATTCAGGACTCTGATCTTGTACCTTACGCTTCCTTGCTGTAAACAGAGACAAAATGCCAGAAAGTGATAGACTGACAAAATAACATAAGGATTAGGCTTGATTTATTGATGGATTCCATTTGGTCAGGTTTTCCATTCGGCATGTTAATGGTCAATGTTACCTCGTCTTGGAGTAGCTGGAGTTGCCCTTGCTGGACTGGTGCCATACTTGGCTTTTTCCTCCTCTGTCATTTCTTCCCATTTGTCTTCAAGTAAAGCATTTATTTCCACCTTACTCTTATCGGGATGCTGTGATGTCAACTCCTCCGTATGCTTGCTACAGAATGCAAGGTACTGAAATGACTTACGACCACGCTTCCTCTTTGTTCTGGGTGAGTCCTTAACAGGGGAAGTCTTTGCTCTGTCACTGGATTTCCTCTTCTGGTATTTTCTTTTAGTCCGAGGCACTGGGAGTATGGGATTGTCATCATCAGATGGTGGGTTTCCTGTGGGATCATGTCTGTCTGGAGTTGATATGGAAGCAGTACTGGATTGAGTTAGATCTTGGCTTGACACTTTAGTTGTAGCTGCAGCAGCTTCACTGTCTTGCTGTTTTTTATAAGCCCGTTTTGCCTTCATTTTAGGAGAATCACCTAGTGACACTATGTCGATCTGTTCTCCTGATAGGCTTCCGGTTGCCGACTTTGGGATCTCATACTTAAAGGTAAACTTGAGTTTCCGTTCATGTCTGCTCATGGGTAATGCTTTTTCACATTCCACCACGGATGTTTCCCAAGCAGATTTCCGGCTAGGCTTCAAGGCTAGTTTAGCCATCATTCTAGTACGATCCTTTCGTTTGACTTTAGCTACCAGTTCTTGGACTAGTTGGTCATACTGACTACGGCCTATGAATTTGCGCATACTGCAGCCACTAACCCAGCCTCTCTCTGGAACTTCTCCAAAGAACTGAACGTGGTACATGCGGTAACTCTTCCCATAGGCTCCTGTAAATAGTCAAAGTTAATAAAAATGCATGAAAGTAACATAAAAACAACTCTGAATACAGTTATCCTCCATTGTACACCATTGTTTGTATTGACGTAACTGATGAAGCAAAAATTCACTCAAACCTCAATAACTGAATCAATGACTGGGTCAGAACATGCCAAGCACTGATTTAGAAAGTAAATAAACCTTTTTTAATTTATTTCAATTTGGAACTAACCTTTCATTCTGGTGTAAATGCCTAAGTTTGGGTCATATGCCACCATGCAGGGCCACCATGGATGTCCTGTCACTTTTGACCAAACAAGGTCACCCACAAGCCATTCACATGGCTTCTCATCAAAGGAAGTTGGCGGCGGATTTGCTTGCAGTGTTGGTTTGGGTAAAACAGCAGCCTTTCCAACTTTGAAGTTCTCTCTCTTTTGGGCAACTGTCTTTGGCTTTGATGGAGTGGGACTGGGTTGGTCTCTTGAATGGGTGTCAGGGCCGGGGTCAGACTGAGTTTGTTCTTCCTCTTTAGACATCTCACTGCCACTCCCAACGGCATCTGTCTTTTCATTTGCTTCCTTTCCAGCAAGACTTGATGTTAATCGTGGCCGCCCCTTATCAAATGTCTTCTTGATTGTCAGTTTTATTTCTGGAGAGCCAGGGGGCACGTCAGAGGTTTCTGAGGGTGCTGAATCTGATGGTGGGGTAGGCATTACCGATGATGGGTCCTTGCTCGGCTGAATCTGACTGGGAGGTGTGCTTGGTTTCTGAGGCGGGTTCATTTGGGAGTTTGGTGGTTGTAGTGAGGCATTCTCTACAACTGGTGGCTGGTAGATTGAGCTTGGTGGTTGAGTCTGTGACATAGGTTGAGGTTGGTAAGGTTGCGGTTGGTTGGGAGGTGGAACTGGAAGCACCTGCGGTTGTGGTTGTATGGGCATCTGTGGCTTAGCAACTGGCATCTGAGGTTGTTGAAGCGCAGTGTTTTGGTCTTGTTGGTAGGGCTGTTGGTACATGTACTTCTGGGGAGAAGAGTGTGGCTGTGATTGCTGATATGGCATGTGTGGTTGGATGTACGACTGCTGCTGCATAGTGTGCATTGGGGCATTATATGACTGGTATGATGACTGTGGATAGAACTGTTGTGAGTATGACTGTGAATACGTTGACTGTCCGAAGCTCTGCTGGGGATATTGCTGGTACATTGACTGCTGAGACACCATGGGTTCTTGTGACCTCATGGGTTGTGCTATTTTATGGTAGGGTGGTCCTGGCACCGGATTGATTGGAATATGAGAGTAGGACTGCGAACTTCCAGGGTAACCAGCCACTGAGGCCATACCTTGCATGGCAGGCGATCCATATGATCCCTGGCCAACTGACGAATCATTGTTTGTCGGGTACAGGGGTGGAGGCTGGGGGAGAATGTTCCGCTGGTCACTGGGATTCATGGCGTCTGAAGGTTTGTGAGTGAGATCATTGAAGGATCCCTCCTCTGCAGTGGTCTCCTGGGAATGTGTTGTGCCCATACAAAGGGCTTGGACCTTCTGGTGTAATCAGACTTACTGAAAAAGAAAATTAATGCTGCACGTTAAAACAAGAAATGCATCCATGTCATACACTTCAGATCCAAGACAAAGATGAAGGAATTCGGTGGTCAAAAAGGTAATTGCAGCCCACTGCACACAAAAATAATTTCAAACAAATAGATTTGGCATTTTTGTTGTACATGTAGACATCTAGGATTTTTACAAGCTTGATATTTGGTTTTGGAGTTGTTATGCAGTGCGCAAACAGCAAGGCATACAAAACATGTCCCCAGTCTATTTTTATTTTTTTTTGTAAAAGAGGTTGAGAACCATCAAACTAAAAGAAATAATCTGGTAATACACCAAGTAAAAAAAGTATGAGGGTTTTGGAAAGAAAAAGGGTTGCAGGCCTTTTCATTTATTTTCAAGATGGCCGCGACTATTTTCGAATTTTTAATGGCAATAATTGCAGGGTTGGTGTTTCCCTTAATAATAAGAACAGATGAAAAAGTGAAAGAGATACGTTGCATGGGAAAACTGATCACATTCACAGTGCATTTTAGAAAAACTGTAGTGTAGTTTCAAAGCGTCCATGTGTATTACTGCACAATTTGCAACCACAGCTAACTGTCCATGATCAGACATGGACATACATGTACGAAAAACATGTTTGGAGACTGCACTGTCAAATGCATAATGTGGAAAGTCTCAACTGAAAAGTTTTTTCCTACAGACTGGTGAACATTTTTCAAGAGGCTAAAATGAAAAAATTAAAAAAAAAAATTTGGGTGATCTCCAAAGAGAAGTGGGCAAGGAAAGTAAGGCCATTAAAAATTAAGTTTTAAGTTCACAGCACCCGCCCCAATTTTTTTTATATATACAGGTATTTAAGCATGTTTTTTCTCTCTCCAAAAATGTATATTCCGGGAATATTCCTCACCATAGCAACAGGCATAGTCATAGTTGCACAGAATTCATGAAAAAAGCAAAATGTTGTGTGCGCAAAAGTTCAAACTACATGTAAGTAGCTCCTAATGTATGATACATCATTACATGCGCATTAGTGAGCACGCTAGCTCCCAGACAAACATGCCAGTCCCAATTTATGATGATCAATTTATGAAATACATATTCCCCTCCCAATCAATTTTGTTCCAGACAGTGATGTAGACATGGTAAACCTTATAAAAAAATGAAATTTAAACGGCCTGAACCAGAAATTTTATTTTACTTTGCCACACATGCCACTTACGAGAATACACTACAGTCAGGCATGTCAGGTGACAGTAATCAAAACTGTCACTACACAAACTAAAAACAAAAAAAGAATGCTGGTCTGCAAATTACATGTACATGGCAACTACAGCCTAAGTACCATGATGCAGCTAGGCCATGGTGCTAGGCCTACATAATTACTCACACCGTTATTTGACGCATTGAAGTCACACTCACCTGCTCACCAAAATGTGCGAAACATGCCAAATAAAATACAACCAAATAGAATGAACCTATATTAAAGCTACAATGGCACTGACAAACAAAACCAAGACGAACCGAAAATATTCTTTTGCTTGAAAATGCCAAACTTGCACATGTGAAGGGCCGCCCTATGCTACACGTTTTATATTTTTGTAGACTACTTCATATTGGCATTGGGAAGCCATTTCTGAAATTTTTGAACATGTGAAAAATTATTTGTATAACACCTTTAAAATGAACCCCATGTCTCAAAATGACTGAAATTGAACGCTACGACATTTTTCTATTATTAATTAGATCTGTGAAATCAATTTGATGGTTCAACATCAGCAAAATCGAACCTTTAAGGACTGACTTTCACGGCTTCTGTCGTCGTCTCATGAACCTACGGTACGATGAGATCAATCAACTGAGACCCGACAATTGCCGAATTGTTACGGCGCCAAAAATACTTTGTTCTCATTGGTGGACGAAAGTAGCCGGGGATGAGCGAAGGGTGTCGAAAATTGCCGATTGTTTCATGCACCCAAACACGGCGTTTACGGTTCTTTGTTTGTTTTGCAACGCATTTTTCATGACAGTATTACCTTTATCCTTTGATATCAAGCGACTGAGTGTTGATTACCGATTCCACTTGTCGACGGAATGCTTCTTTTTTGCTAACACTTCATGAAATTACAGAAAAGCAAATAAAACCCAGCGACCGTGAACTCGGCATGCGAATAGTGCACTGTTGGGTCAAAGGTCAATAAGTAATCCCATCATGCAATAGGAAATAATCAGCGCCACCAATATACGTACGTACGTATTTGTACATGTACGTACTGCATTCGTTCTATCATGGAGGTACCTCCATGGTTCTATGCATCCTCTCAGTCACATGACAATATTTTCACGATCTTTGCTCTTTGATTCGGCTTGTGCTAGAACGTATACAGTTATAAATTAACATTTATTTTAATCCTATCAACTATCAGAATGTTTCCAAGGTGCAGTTTGGTTCTAAATCGTATCGGTGGCCTGTCTGCGGCTTGGGATCCGAGTATAGGCCTAAGTGTCGTGTCTCTGCAATGTGTTCGCTGGCGGAAAAGACGAACTGATCCTAAAGCTAAATCTAAACTTGACTACAGGAGAATTCCAACACCAGTTGATCCATGGGAGCATAAATTCCTGACAACTAAGATAGCACATTACAGAACCATTTTAAGGGCAATGAGGTAAGGATGTACCCCCAGAACTAGTCTGTCAAGTCTGTGGGGTAGAATGGATGGGATGAGGTCAACTCGTACCCAAACCAACTCGGACCCATGCCAACTTGGGTCCCCCAACTCGGACCCACCTTGAGTCAACTCGGACCCACTGAGTTTTATGGTTGCACTACACCAAATACTTTTTGTGAAAGAAATACTTTGAATCGGAAACTATCAATCCCAAATTTGGGATTTATATAAATAATTCTATGATCCCTCATGATTATGGCCAGTCGTATTGTAAAAAATAAAAAAGGTGGGATCACAAAATATTAATAATGAGCTTGCGAGCAGACATATAACTCTTCAAAACCATCTCCAAGTTTAAGACAATAGGAAATATTCCACATTTTTATTTTAAAATGATTTGATTTGTGTTGTTCAAAATTACCAACCTATTTGCATTATTTGGACAGTCGGTTTAGGCCTGTATGGATGAATTCCTCCATCTGCCTAAATTTTGCCGGTATTTTGGGGGGGGAATGGGGCAAGGTGGAGGTGTAAGACTTGCCAGGCAAAAAAAAATTGAAAAGTGAGGTGGGGATAACACCATTAGACACTATTAAAGGTCAATGTTCGTGACATTGATATTTATCTGCAGTATCTGTTGTACGTATGCAGCATATCTTATGTACATCAGAAGGGCCTATCTGTGGCTTTTTATTGCAACAAAAACTTTTGGGGCTGTTTGGTGAAAGTTCATTCAATTTCTGCTGGTGATCTGGAGTGCCAAAAACAAGTGAGGCAAGTGATTACATCTTTATCATCATTTTCGTGTTACTGTTACAGAAAGATGTTCAAGGAGGAACAAAAGCAGAAGAGAACTGAAACAGCAGAAGGGGGGTCAGCAGAGGAGAGAGCCCAGATGGAAAGGGAAGAACATCTTAGATTACTGGAATGGAACGAGCAAGAAAATGCACGCACAGGGACAATAAGGTATTGTAGACAAAAATTAAAAATTGACACTTGGAGAAAGGGGTGTGTCAATAGGAGTCCAGTGGGAGGAAGATACTGATTTGCAAATAACAGTGGATTGTGGATGTAATGTCCCAACTTCAGTATTGACCCTAGTTACACTTGAAATGATTTTCCCCATAGAGTACCGTGGTCCAACTGCAGCACTATAGCTAGGATCATCCATCTGTATGTTTGATTGAGCCAAGTGTAGTTTAGATCAATAGATGAGTTGTTTCAGCTTTAAGATCTAGGAAATTTGATCATCTTGATTTATTTGTACAGAGAGGAGAGAATTCGTTTGAGATTACTTGATCAAGAGGAGAGGAAATTGAAAAAGATGCTTAGAATGGAGGAAGAGAGACAACAAGCACTAGAAGAGCTTGCTAGTAGAGTACGCCTAGAGAAGGTAACTTATGAAGATGAGCTGATGAAGTTGTTACAATGATATAGTGCAAGGGATCCCCAAATAGTCTAAAGTGATCATCCAACAACTGGGCAGTTGATGTGAGGGTTTCTATATCTGCATGTCTGGTTTGGACACAGAAGTGTATTTGAGTCTTTGTAACGGTTGCAATGAGAAATGCTCAACTCTTGCCCAGTCTTATCATATTTGATGTATGTGACCTGTACACGTAGCTGTACAAAACACTACAATATATTTATCCTTTTCTCCTGTTTTGCAATTTTTAGGAGGCCAGCAAATCCTACATCACGATGGACAATGTGGAACAAGCAATTGAGAATGCCCTGGCTGATACCAAGGAGTATAATTTCTCCATTGATCAACAGGGGAAAATTTTGCTACCAGAAAACTCTGCATGGGAAGAGATAAAATCTAGACAAGTCGTGAAAAATGCTTATGAAGAGATGGCTAAGGAACAGCAGCAGTGAAGATGGAACTCATATTAACCAGCTATCTGGGTCAAGATTGCTTGTTTCTCCTTTTCAGATTCACGGAACATACAAAGTGAGAGCTAACATGAACAGGATTTGTTCCATATGCATTGTGTTTTAGAAACAGTTATGCTCCATTTCAAGCTAGGGGGGGGGAAATCAATAATTACAGCTTTTGCGTTGTATCCTTCCTATTTCTGAGTTTTAATCACCATCCTCTTCACAAGTTCTGACACTGTATAATTGAAGGGCAGAATTAAATTGACCTAAATTCTCTAAAAATAAGATTAAGAACAGCCAGTCTTGTTTTTTCTGTGTTCGAAACATGCCTGGCTTTAGACCAAAATAAAATAAGACACACTTGGTAAGAACACTTGGTAAGGTAGTTGCAACGGTATTTCAGGAGTCTTTATTTGAAATGAGCTGTCATGGGAAAGCCTTTATTTAAAATGGCAGTATCACTCGATTTCTACAAGGCAATTCAACATTTAGATAAATGGACAAATCTTGCAATCACTAAGAAGTCAAGATCTAATTGGCATACTTTTCACTCCTTACACAAAGTTTTATAAGCTAGGTATTGATGGCAACCTTACACTGAAGTCTACATTGGAATTTCCTGAGTCAAAGCTGCTTGAAGCAATTATAAGTACAATGTACTAAGTTTTCAAAGAATGGAATAAAAGCGATGGCATTCTTGGAATAAAGGTTCAGTGCTTACTGCTAATCAGACTTCAAAGATTATAGTGAATACATGTATTTTTTTCAAAATTCTGTAGCTTATATAAAAATCTCTCCAAGGATCCATTGACATCATAGCTCGGTGAACTAATACTTAGTTAACAATAGCCCCCTCATGCTCCAGCAACCACTTCTTAAGACTGTCTCCCTTTCCTGACATGTAGTTTCCCAGTGCTCCATCACTTCTAGTCACGCGATGGCAAGGCATGAGGATTGGTATTTGGTTGGCCCGCATGGCACCACCTACTGCACGGCATGCCTTACTGTTCCCTGCCATAGCTGCCAGTTGACCATAGGAGACAGTCTCCCCACAAGGGACTTGGTTTGTCAGAGTCTCCCAAACTTTGTAGGTGAAAGAATCTGAAAAAATGCCATTTGTAAAAAGTGTTGGCCGACAGCACATTCTTTACCACTTATCACGCATTATCACTAGGAATTAACTGGAAAGTAACAGCGATAAACCATAGGATTCTACACTCCATTTGGACAGTTGCAATTTGTGATGTGACTTAGGACTGATATATTGCATCTGTCCAGTCCCGAATGACTTCCCAAGCAAAATGCCAAAAAGCCTTATACACATCACAAACTGATTTAATCAAAGGCTTGCTCCAGTATCTGAATATCAAATCCTTTTTTTTCTGAATTGGTCTCCAAATTTATGTTATAAACACTGATTTCTTGTGAATAATTCCTTACAACCAACCTGCTTTTGCATTTGGGCGGTGGAAGGGTGGAAGTGGTTTCTGATAGGCTGCTTTGGCATCCTTAAAATACAGGGTCAACCAATCAACACACTGCTTCAAAGGGCTTAGCCAATGGTCTGGTGCCTCTGTGACTGCTACAGCAACTCTACGGAAATAGAAACAACAGTTTAAAACACATTAAGGGTATTGGTTACTTGTTTTCCTTCTAGGACTCAACAAAGTCTGAGTTTAAGGATGAGGGTGCTGGATGGTCCCATTGCAGTTGCATTCCTATCAATAAAACCTTGCTCTTTGGATATCACCATGATCCCACCCACTGACTGCTTACTTTTCTCCAGGTATTTCTGAAGCTGCAGTTAAGCTGATGTCATGAACACCTGTCTTGCATGCTGTCACTCTTACTAGTCCAATTGGAGTTCGCAGGATAACCCTACTCTTCAGACACATTTCAGCCATTTTAACTTTGTACAGATTTGATAAAAGAAAAGAGAAACATTAGTATTTTTCAAAGGGGACAGGGTAAGAAAAATCAAAAAGAATAATGAAATAGACTGCATTGAATTTAACTACATGGAAGTCAATATTTTCGACACAATGTTAATTTCAAAGCGTGAACAGTATGCAAATTCAACCAAACACCTGCCACCTCATTAAGTTTGTCCATGTTTGGTCGCACCATTGACATAGTGACTACCCATATTGCTTCCTTCGTGCTGTAAACTAACCATTCAGAAACTTTCTTCACCAAGAATTTAGAAAGACAAACGTGCATGCACAACATACATGCTGTTTTACCTTTTTATTTGAGCAGTGTGAAATTGTGCGTGCGTAGTTCAAAGTAAACACTTGGCAGTTTCTGTACTGAAGTCGAAAGATGCAATGGCCCGATTTCAATAAAACTAATGATCTCGGTGTGGCTATCACTATGCGTGGTATCGACCATGGAGAAAGTCCAGCAGCACGCATGGAGTAAAGATTATAAAACTCGTTGGTACGTACATGTACCACGTGCCCTGCCTTTTTTCGTGTTTGCAAAGGTCACGGGGTCAAATCACTGATGACGTCGCAGCTGAGTCGGCCATTTTGGAGCAACGACCGTTGATTTCAACGAGACTTAAATCCATTTTCATCCGTCGTTTTCCATCTGTAAATGACATTTTTTTCTTGTTGAAGACCATTAACGTAAAATAGTAACCATGGCCATGCAGTCGGCTATATGGAAGATTCGTGAAATCCAGGACAAAGTGTAAGTAGATTACAAAGTAGTTGCCGATGCGGACGCCCTTGCTATTCACGTAGGGCTACGTTAAAACTGGGCGTCAATCGACATGATCGATGCCGGTTCAGAAAAGTTGCTCAGGTTGTTTAGTTGATTTTCTTAGAGCCAGCCAGATTTGAACAGATAGTGAGAATATAGAGGAAGGCACTTCACCTCTATTCTCCGTACACTTAATGCAGAAATGCAGATATTAGCAATCTTTTGCTCCTTTTTTGCACGAAAAATAAGAACTAGGCCTAGGGCCTATCGGCATGGCCGGTACTAGGCCTGTGGCGTAACGCTCATCATGTTCTAAGTGTAGCGTTAGTATTCCTCTTGTTCGATTTTGGATGGGGTCATCATATTAACGCTCCATGCCTGTACATATAGTAAGGTTGAAACAGTTCTCAAAATTCCAAAGACTCACCAAAAATACCTCCATCACCACCTACTGGCTTCAATTCGGTAAATGCCAACGTCAAACAGTTGGGGCTTCAATGATATTTCTGACTTAAAAATCTGTCAAAATCCGACCGTTTTCACTCGACACACTCACAGCACTTACACTTTTTTGCCGCCTGTACCTTTCAAATGTGCATAGCGAGATTTAGAATACACAATAACTCTATGGGCGAAACATGGTCCTCCCAGAAACATGCATGAGTGGCCTATACATGGTCTGGGCACAAGACTTGTTGACTGTGTCGGTTGGGAGTGCTACCAACGACTGTTTCATCTATGGGCGAACATGGTCCTCTAACATGTCTCACTAAACCGCAGGAGAGGCCCAAATGTAGTTGGGGCACTAAACGTATTGACCAGGAAACAGTTGAAATACAACAGGTGCTGTGATTTATAACAATTACCTGTAGAATTTGTTAACAACAATTACCCCTCAAACTATGGGGTTTATTACTGTGACAAATCTCATACTTCTTGGGGTATTACAATGACATTGCGATATTAAAACAAATTACATATGTATGCATGATGTCAGGTTTAATGAATATAAAATCTCATGAGCTCACACTGTACATGTATCACATAGTTATGTATTTATTAATGAAATTTTGGGAAATTTAAGTCAAAGTTCGAAGGTCATGATAATGCGAGTCGGTAAGTTGTGAAGGGATGAGTTGTTGGAACATTGCTGTCATAGGATGATTAAGGTAAGTGTTGAAGTTTGTATTGTCAACATACATCATCTTCATCTGTGTGTGTCTCTCCGTTTTGTTTGGTAGCACGAATATGGTGATGAATTACACAGAAGCAGAGGCTAAAGTACGAGAAGCCACAAATGATGAGACATGGGGCCCTCATGGTTCCCTCATGGCTGAAATTGCCAAGGAAACCTATACTTATGAACACTTCCCAGAGGTAATGAGTATGATATGGAAACGTATGCTGCATGACAATAAAAAGAACTGGAGACGAGTCTACAAGGTTTGTGACAAATCACTTTCATTTTAATCCACTTTCACTTTTCCACTTCAACAATTCGTTTTTAATGTCATTGATTTATTACAATTTATTCAGATTACTTTCGTAATGTTTCACTTTGCAGTTTCAGCAGTGTTGCTTTGTGGTAAAAAATTACTTCGTTGTTTAAATAGCTTATATTTGTTGTTTTTTATCTTTACTAGTCTCTGTTGCTTCTTTCGTACCTTATATTGAATGGGTCGGAGCGTGTTGTGACAAGTGCACGGGAACATCTTTATGATCTGAGGTCATTGGAAAACTACACCTTCATGGATGAATTTAACCGAGACCAGGGGATGAATGGTGTGTTTCTCTTCTGTGCAGCATATTCATAGCATAGAATGATCTTTAATTGATAACATAACACATAAAATTCTGGAAATTGGCGACATGACCCATTGCATTAATTAAGGACTGAGCTGACAGATCACATGAAATCTCCCATTATTAACTCAACTTGAATGTAGTTTTCATTTGTATCATTCTAACCGTAGAAGCTTGGAATAAGATAATAATAAAACATGTCATGGAATTGCTTCTATTCTACAGTGAGGCAGAAGGTGAAAGACATTGTTGATTTCATCCAGGATGATGATCGGCTACGTCAGGAACGCAAGAAAGCAAGGAAAGCTAAAGATAAATATGTTGGCATGTCTTCAGAGAACCAGCCATTCAAGTACAGTAAGTACCATCATTAGCTCTTCATTGGCTTGGATGAATAATTATGACAGTCAACAGCACAACGCTGCAATAATGAATATGACAGGGCCCTTTAAAAATGTTTTTACTTTAAAAAGTTGATATTGAATACAAGAAATTTTAAATTTTAAAGGGTGTGTTTTGGCAAACACAGACGTATACCACAAATCCTAGGTTGCTTTAAGACTCTTAACCCCTTTGCGCCGGGACGCGGCTAGACACGCTGTAAAAATTGAGATCCTCAGTCCGCTTTTTAGCTATTATTCTCGGCCCACGCTCGTGTGAACACGGTGAAAGAAGGCAGACCCTGGCTCTTGTATATATGGTAAATGGCCTTTGTGTGTAGCCCAGAAATGAAAAGACCGACTTTGCATCATAATCACCAGCTTCACAATAGTCCCCACTTTGAAAAGAGGCAACAGGAATGTGGAAGCTAGAGTAGAGCTGCATGCCACCGAACAATCAGCCTTTTCACCGTGTAATTCAAAGCATGCAGAGCACACATGGCCACAAACCGAGACTTTGCGGTTTGGCAGGTGCCCTTTGTGGCCGAGCGAAGCTGGAATTCTTGGAGTCGGCTTTCGGGAAGAAATTCCCGGCGCGAAGGGGTTAAAACGCCTGTTGATTATTTCATGGATATTTTAGGTTCTTCCAATCTTACCCATACTAAACATTTGTGTCTGTGTGCCCCTTAATTTCTTTTTTACATCTTGAAGGTGATCGATATGAGTCAGAGCCAAGGATGACCAAAAGCAAGGTGAAAGAATTTGATGATGAAATAGATAACTTCAGGAGTAAACAATCTCGGTTCAACCTTGGCAGACTTGGCACTGGCAGTAAAGCGGAAGAATCAGATGAGTCACCACCAGAATATGGGTAAGAGATGTTAGCATTCATTCATGAAGTTGTAGTCTTAGGTGCAAGGGATATCTTTCAAATCCAAATGACATTTATACATAAGTCAGTTCCTACAGTACCTTCATAAGTCCCTGCTAGGGCTGAGTCAATTCAAATAAATCACTATTCGAATATTTGACTTCAATTTGTTCGAATATCCAAATATTTGGTCATACTGACCGGCAGATTGTTGATGAACGAACCATATACAAAATCAGTTGCAATAACACACATAATTGTACATTGTAATCGATATCAATATATATTTTTACATCTAGGAGTATCTCCAGCCATGATTTAGCAAGATTTAAGAGATGAACAAGACTTTTTGCCCTGTTAAAAATTTCTATTCCTTTTAAAGTCTTTAATGAATAATGTACTTTTTACATTGTTGTATGATTTCTGACGCTTTTCATTTGAATCTGCTTGAAACAAGCTTCCATAGTGCAATTGTCTCATTTAAAACAGAAGATTTTCCCTTCCTTTTCATGAATATTTGCATTTGAATATTTCAAATTTGAAAAATAATATCCTAATATTTAACAATTGATCGAATATTATTATTCAGATATTTGGTGCCGCGCTAGTCCCTGCAGTAAATTATTTAAGCTTTGCTTTCAAAATACTGACAAAAGTCAATTTTGGTTGTATTCACATTTTTGATCATTGTTGATCAAGCCTTTTGTTGAAATCACTAATTTTTTTTGATAAATGGATACTTTATTTTTAACTGTTTTTGATTGATTGAGTCTACCCGATGCCCTAAGAATTTCTCGGCTGGGCCATCAAAGCTAAAAAAAACCCTTTTTATATTTGCTGTACTGTTCAAGAACACTGACAGTATAGCTGTGAATTAGTTCCCCTCCAATTGTTTTGAACTGATGCATGTCTTTGACCTGGTCACAGAGATGAAGATGACTATGGGGATGAGGATGACAAGCAGAAGCAGTTTGAGTTCAAAGATGAGGAGAATGAGGAAACTGTAACACACACAACGACAACAGAGACACGGACGAGAAGATCACGAAGGTCTGGCAAGAAACTTGACCTAGGAGCAGCTGGGGCTTATGCAGAAGAGGCTAAGACAGAGAGTAACAGCTCAAATACAGTAAGGATCTTTTAAGAATCTTCATGCTTTTAAAATTTTAAGAAAAAGAAAAAGAAACTGCTTCATTTTGTAAAGAAAGATGAAAGTTTAGTCAGTAGTGCTAGAGTTGATATAACACCACATGATCGCTGACTGCAGAGCTCAGAATTTTGTTTTGTATCACAGTCTTGAGCAACATCTTATTAAGAATGTTTACAGACTGAAATTCCATGCTTAGTTGAACAGTCTTCTAAAGACAATTGTAAATGTTTACTTTTGTTGCTTACTTTTAAGGCAGGCAGAAACAAAGGCTGTACTTGTGGAATTCATTCACTTATAGCTTACCGTCTCCGATACCGGTGTCGTTTGTGTATTTGTCCTCAGCGACTCAAAAGAATAAACTGTCATTCAGTTTGTAGAATAACAGCAAAATGAACATGAAAACTTGTCTTATTCTTGTCATTGGTTTAGACGCCAACAACAAAAACTGGTGTTGACAGCCTCTTGGATACATCCATCCCAGCAACCTCAGGAAATCAAGATCTCTTTGCTGATTTCTCATCGGCAGCGGCTAACAATAGTTTTCATGACTTTGACCCAAGGGGTACATCCCCTGCGGCTAACAACTCCACCGACTTTGCTACATTCCAAAGTGCACCGCTTTCCCCAAAGTAAGTGATTGTTATTGCGTTTAACACATTGAATCTTTCAACTGTATACTCTGAGTTGACGGTACTTTACTTCAGACTGTGTAGCCAACCCTTTATCACTTATTTCCAGAGTTGTAATATCCAGAACGCCTACAGGTTTGGATTGGATTTGGGAGGATTCAGGGAGCTTCATCTCAAAATACTTGTTGACCAAAGTGAAGAGTAATGTGCAGTTTCACGAGACTTTCCTCTGTGCCAGTCTGCTGTTGTCTTAGGCTAATGTAGGAGTGACAAGACAGGCAGTGCCGCAGGCAAAATAAAGGGGGGGTTATTTTGTTTTTCAAATGGAATTAATATTTGCCACAGAGGAAGTCTGGTTTCTAGTCTGAATATCTATTAGCATAACCTGCTTTTAATTATCATATATAAATCAATATGAGTCGTTTTAATGCAATATTATCTTACCCTCAATTTCCAGTGCACAAGAATCCTCCTTTGGTGACTTCCAAGGGACTGCCTTCTCTGCAACTGTAACCCAACAAAACAGCACTGTTACATCAGTACAAGCAACCACCTTCAATCCTCAGCCTTCAATTGTCCCTATGCAACCCCAAAGTACACCTGTACTCCAACCCCAAAGCACCCCTCTTCAACCCCAAAGCACCCCTCTTCAACCCCAAAGCACCCCTCTTCAACCACAGAATGCTCCCCTACAGCCTCAGCAGTCAGGCCTCATGCAACCCCAGCAGAACCTCATGCAACAGTCCAACGTGCCTCTACAAACAATGCAGATGGGTATGACCATGCAGCAACAGCAGCCCCTTGCTGGGGGGATGATGCAACAACCCCAGGGGATGGGGATGATCCCCCAGGGTGGGGCAATGCAGTACAACCAGCAGTCACTACTTAGCATGCAGTCACCACAGCAGGTAAGTGCAGTTCAGAGAAAGCTTGTCATTTTCTCATTTCCAGTTAAAGTTAAACTCACAGAGGTATTTGTCACTCCTCACAACCTACAACTCGGAAATTACTACAGTTATGTTTTTACTGATAACTGATGGTGCAAATACATTAACAACATAACTACAATTGGCTCAATACTTAGAGTGATAACATACCTGGCATTTATTACCTGTGGTTCTGAAATGTATAGCTCATCAACTTTAGCCGTATTGTATCTTAGTTTGCTTACCTTCTCCTATCCCTTGTTTTTGTTGCTAATCCATATCTTTTTTTCCTACCCTTTTGCCTTCTTGTGTAACTTTCTGTCGGTTATTAGTTCCAACTTCCCCTGCAGTCTGTATCAGGCAATTTGGTATGTATTAAAAATGGAACAGGAAAATAAGTTTCCTTTTATTTCAGGAAAAGATTTCTAAACTTGGTTCAGGTTATTTAACACATACACAGTGTATACGGTAATTTGTTAGATTTAAGGTTAAGATCTCAACTGTTGTGTTTTGTTATATTTGTCTAATTGACTTGGAACATTGGATCTGTCTTTTGATGAGATTTCATTCTAAGTTCTGTGGTTTGGGTTCAGCACATTAATAATCCTGCGTAGTTGACCCCCTCAAAACACTTATTTTTGGCCTGCTTCATTTTCAGGTCCCAATTTATGCTATACATTAGTACCATTTCGTAATCCATCATTATAAATACAGTCTGTTTTGTATGTTGCAGCTTCACAAACATACTCATCAGACTTGTCAGCTTTTTAATCAACCATTTGTTTCAGACTGAATGTACATGTACCATGTATTCAGGGTATGACGTCAGTTTTCCATCAATCAATATTCGTGACAAGACAGGCTGCTTTATTTAAACCACGCCTCCCTATATCACATTGATTTCTATAGCACATGGCACCTGAGTCTCCCACTACTGTGGCAGTTTATGATGAGTCTTTGTATTCCTACATGGTGGTAGGTCACATGGTATATTTGGATTGAATTTGTTTTGCAAACTGATGGGCGTTATGTTTGCATGTCTTATCAAAGAGACCTACATGTATAGCCAAAAAATATTTATTGTGTCAGATATGCATTTTTTAAGGCTTTCAAAGTGATGCACTGGGTATGTAAACTTTCATACCCGATAACACATAAGCACTTATAGTTTGGTAACTAGCGACATGTACCTGATGGTGTGGATAGAATTTTTAATCTTTCTGCAGAGTGTCTTAAGTCAAAATTATTGTTAGCCAGTAATATTAAAAGTGAGTACCGTCTTGGAGCTAGGGGTAAGGGTTATCAAAATCAGTTCAGCAAGCTTGTACCAAGGCAACTGGAGTCTGTGTTTCACATTATGAAGTCAGTTTTGATGGTTTGGGTTTTCACTTGAAGTTTTTCCATATCAGTATGCTTGTTTGTGTTGTTTTCGTTTATTTTAATGTTTTAAGTTTTTAAAGGGGGATACGTGTACCATTTTAGACATTTTCACTTTCTGCATGATGGTTGATGGTTTCAAAATCTAATTATTGTTAGATCTTAGATATGGGAATTGACAGTTGAATCAGAGTCATTGTGATCTGTTGCTTGGTATCCTGGTGATGCATAAAATCTGCTCACATCATCTTCTATTTCCACAAGATAACACGTGCAATGATTGCAGTCATTCCTGAGCAATGCCCATTGCATGTCATTTGAAGTAGTTGTCTGTTTCATGTGCTTAATTGATCTGTAAATCATATCATTAAGAGTGGCTGTTGATTCACTTCAGCTAGTCACATAGTATATGTACTTATTTCATCACAATCCAACTGTGACAAGTGCATTTTTCATGATGGTAGGTGTTGTGGGCGTCAAGTATTGGAATTCTATTTTGTTATGCAGTCAATCAAACCATTTATTGCTTAAGTTGTCTAAAATATTCCATGCATGTATATGTTAAGATATGCTGGTAAGCAGAACCGATAACACCATGGTGAGGTTGGAGGGCGGTTTTGAGTTTACATCAATTAGCTTAAAGTCTTGCAATATCTTGTCTTTTTAATTTTGTTTGCCCAGCCTCACATGGCAGCAATGATGGTATGTCAGTTTAATGTCATTGTGCTCATTTACTAATCATGAAGTAATATTTTGAAGATAAAATTCATGTGCAAGTCTGCATAGAACTTTCTAAATGCAGGAAGATTAAGTTAGGAGCTGTATTGCCTTTCTTAATTCAACGGGCCAAATTTGAAGATGATTGGAAATTATTTGTGATGGTGGATTCCTGCTTTGCTTTTCCTTCATGGATCTGATTTTCATGCTGCTTGTTTCTTGTCTCTCTGCTGTTCTCATCTTTTCTTCATCCTGAGTAATATGTATATTGTTTTCTAGATCCTTTCTTTGTTCATATTTGTTGGTCAGAATAAGTTTTTTCATATTCAAGATTGTACTAAGGCAACTGGAGTCTGTGTTTCACATTATGAAGTCAGTCTTGATGGTTTGATTTCTCAGCTGTATTTCACTACAGTACTTCAACCTGCCAGGCTAAATGCTGAAATTGTTCCAGTCTGTTAAAAACACTTCAACAATTACTTGTCAAATGGGCAATATTATATGTACCTACCGGCTTATTTTGTTCATCACCCAGTGCTCGGAGAGGGCACTTGGGAAGGGCTGATGTCTTTGCACTGTGATTGGCTACATTGTGTATGACCTCCGACCACGAGGTTGTCGTTTCCTGTTAGTGAAGCGTTATTTGAAGTTTTTTGGTAAGCCAATGGCAATACTTTGACATAGGCAAAGCGTTGGCTTATAATGATAAAAACATGGCCTTGGTACAATCACGGTAATTTATGTTCTCAGGGTGCTGGGCAAGCGAACCAGCTCATGTGCTACCTCAGATTTCCAATGATGTCAGTTTGAAGTGAAGATCCATTGAATGTTTTATTGTACTTGTCACCAGGGGATGGGAAAGTCTATGGGACAACCCATGGGCCAGCAGTTAATGGGACAACAACCCATGACAAGCATGAGTAGTCCATCCAGTATTCCAAGTCAACTTCCAAAAGGCCAGCAATCTAATGGCTCAATAACAAGTGCACCATTGTCAACAGCAAGCTCAACAACCACCCCACAGGTCAGAACTGAACTTACTTTTAAAATTGAATTTGGAAGGGTTTAAAACAATTTTTTGGTGGTTCTTTTAATGTCGAATTGTGGTCTTTCAACATTTTTTGTTGTATCATTGCCATTAGAGCATTAAATAGGGCCCATCAAATCATGGGTAAGATTAGTTCTCATGACATAGACATAAATAAGTGGCATTGTGCATAATTACAAAATGATGTTTTCTGTTTTGTACAGAAGAAAAATATATGGTCAGATGTAAATGTGGACATCAAATTGGACAGTTTGAGCCCAGGTGATAAATACAAGAAGCAAGCCCAACCCTCGATGAATCAAATGCAAGGGAACAAGGTCCCAGGAGGTGAGTGGAAGAGTGTAATGTAATTAATTCAGTCTGAGTCTTGCTTGTATTGTTGTACCCTTTAGTGGTGTTTCAGATTTGTGTTGAGCCTTGAATGCCTCATGCCTCGTTTTTTTGACATGTTTTTCCGTCCATTTCACTTTTTAATCACTGGTAAGGTGGCATTGATGAATCGTAACTGTAATTGTAACATGTTGGTTATTTTTATTAATGAATTTGTTCTGATGTGTTGTAATTTTTTTTTGTGATGTGTTGTAATTTCCACTGTAATTTGGCATGTGGCCATGAGAGTGAAACATTCAAAAAATAAAGAAACAACAAAGTTGACAACTGTTCCTCGTTTTTGTTTTGTGTAGGTATAGGACAACCACAAATGGGTAATGTGACAATGGGCATGAGTCAGATGAACCTTGGACAACAGAGACCACATGGAGGGATGATGGGTACTCCCATGATGCAACAGCAGCCCCAGGGCATGATGGGAATGCCCATGTCAGTTCCACAGCAGGGCATGATGAATATGGGTATGCAACCTCAAGGCATGATGGGAATGCATGGCGGTGGTGGTATGGGAATGAGTGGGATACAACCTGGGATGGGTATGGCTGGAATGCAAGGCATGGCCATGTCTGGACAAACACAGCAATATGGAGCCTACAGCACCAATTAACACTTGTATCATTCACCCATTACACTCATGAATGTCATGTCAAGAGTTTCATATCTGCTGTTACCTAGCTGTTTACCAAATTGATTAGATGCCTGAAGGGAAATTGGATCATTGTTATGAATTTCTAGGAATGTTGTTATGTTGGTTTGAATCAAGCAACAAATCCATGATAAACACAACCTTGATATCTGGTTTCACTCAGCTTCCAAACTCCAAACTGCCCTAGCATTACTAAGTTCACATGGAAATGTGTGTTACTGACCGTGTGAATCTGCACATGATATGTAGATTTGTGTTAGGACAAATTTATAATTTGCTAGTTGTCACAAGGATACCTATGGTTGTATTTTACCCTTCTTTTGCCATTGAGGGCCCAGGTTTCTGAAATAAAACGTTACAGTCAGTTTGTGGTGAAAAACCTGGTACAAGTGGCAACTAAAACAGCAAGTGATTGCAGCCTAAATGATATATGGCATGAAGATTAAATAGCTAAGATTGTACTCAACATTAGTACTTACAAACGTGGAAACGTGGATACAAGATGGATGCAGTGACAACTGCAGAAATCTCAACCAGTCTTGTTAATCAACTAATCTAAATGACAACTTTAATCAGTAACCTTGGGAAATGCGCACTATAAATGCTGTAAAGTTCTTTGTATGTTGAGGTCCCGAACTAAACTCTTTGTAAAGTTTATACAGTTATGTAGGAAAAAGTTATTTTTGTGCTTGGTTTATGACCATGAATGTTTGTTGGTGTTACATCATTGTTCTTAAAGGGGTTTTCATGTTTGGTCACAGCAGAAGCTACCTGTTGGTTTTAAACATTCCACGCTAATGGATCTTTTTTCAGGGGGTACTATTCAGCCTGCCCTCAGGTTTGCAGTCTGCTGTATTTTCACAAGTGGTGGGCAGTTCTAGAAGCTTTTTTCAAAGTGTGCAGCTATGATTTACTTAGTGGCATTGATAGATAATTTATCATTTTAAAAGATTTTGTTAGAACGTGATATTGAAAACTCAAAATTCACCAGAGAAAATAGGGAGAGATTGATTTCATTTCTTCGAAGTATTAGCCCACTCTGTACAGCATGATGAAATGATATAAATATATTTAAAGAGATTACTTTTGTACAGTTCTTATTGACAAATAATGAAAATAAAATAGTAATGAACTGTTATGTAAATAGGTTTTTATAGGGTCATATTCGGAAAACTTAAACATTTTGTAAAAAAAAAAAAATAAAACAACTGGATCAAACCATTTGCATACATTTAACCCAGCATTAAAACCTTTCGAATGCATGGCTTTTTTCATTTTATGTTTTTAGGATTTCTAAGTCAGAAATCTTGCGTTGGGTGGTTTTTTTTTTCACTACACCTAAGTGTTAAAGAGCTTGTTTTTTCAACATCACGCATAACTGTAAATGTATATTTTATTCATCCACATAACCATCAATAAAAAGCCACATGAAACCCATTATATTAAACTTACTGACACTTATGAAGTAAATACATCCATCCTTTTAAATTGGCTTTTAAAAACACATTGCTTTTGCCTAATTAACCTTACTTAGAAAAAGTCCACAGCTTTATCTAGATTGTTGTCAAATTGTATTTTATATAGGAATATCAAGGTTGGTCATTCTCACTGATTCATCAGCATTTGGAACATAAAAACATGAGTTATTGATTATGCGATATTTTTTCATAACCATTTCTACAGCCAAACTTGGCATTGTATTTGTTACATATATGTAAGTCAGTTAATTTGGCTTATTTACTGTAAGTACTACTAAACTGCAGTTTCTTGTTTTAGAGTGAGGGGGACGTAATCAAAACAAATATTTTTTTTCTTTTACCATTTTTAATCAAAAGCATTTGTATTTGTCCAGTTATTAGCTCTGTGATTAAATTGTGTTCACTTTTCTTTAAAAACTGAAAGCAAATTTTGAAACTTATTAGCTTTGCACTGGTAACATTGACTGTAAGCGACCAACCATGCTGCTGTGACTATGTATCATGACAAGTCAAAGAAACAACATTAAATTGTTAAGAAGTGACAAATCTTATGTTGCAATTTGCCGTTATTTAATTTCAGTGTGCCTAGTCAGATATTTCAAAAGAATACCAGAAGGTTAACAAACTGGGCCGACTCAGGACTGGAAAGTTTGACGGACCCACGTATACTAAGTCAGTTCGTTATTTCATTGCCGCTGTCTCTTGGATGTATCAGTTTGAAACGTCGGGTACCCGGCCCTCGGAACAAGAAGAGATATTTCATATTTTTGCTACAGCAAATCTGTGACTTAACTTGCCACTTTCACCGGAAACCTTGAAATCTCATCTAGTTTGGGAAATTATTTCAATTTCAAAAATAGAACTGATTGAGAAGTTTCAGCCCAGGAGTTGTTCTACTTCTGGAGTGCGGAAGGGAAAAGATGAGGTTAGCTATCACATGCACACAAGTTGGACTCGGAATTCAATTAATGAGAAATGTACAGTCATCTGGCACCAGTACTTTTCCTCGAATTAAATTTCGCTGGTGCGCGATGTTTGGCTGATGAAACATATTGGGTAGGTTACCAGTTTAAAGTTCGGGGAAGGTTCGCATATACCCAGACTTGAGTTCTGAATTTAACGTACTTGCGGTTGATGGCACCAGACTTGGGACGTATTGGAATGTGCGTGGTTCCCGCCACTCGTCTGTTTATTATACATCAGTGCATTTTCTCGGAACCGTTTACCAGTCTGTCAGGTTACCGCCTGCACACGTACGTCCTACGTACTCGACTCGTCCACATGGATAATAAATGTACCCGATGCATGATGAACACATGTCGTGCATGTGCTGAGGCAGCGTCAGGTTTCGCCCATTGCGCTTAAAACTTTTGTTACGTTTTGCTGTTAAAAGCGGTAAGCAAAACCTTTCATTTGTATGAAATTATTTCAAACCATTTATATGTTCATTTGTCAGTTTATGCAAAAGTCGTTTTCATTTGACATGCTTGAAAAGAAGTCATGGAAGTAGGTCTGGGGGCTTACAACATGTACATACATGTATGATGTAGGCGTAGGGTAGGCCTAATGAAAAAGAAATATGTAGCCTTGTAGGCCTGATGTGGAGCTATATTAATCACACGTATGAAGCCAAACCACGGTTCACAACCATGCACAATATCTATGATGCTCAACCAACCATAAAAACTTCTCGTGTGAAATTAGGCTCCTAGTATAACATTCAGGCTTTATTTTCCTTAAAAAAAACTCCCTTTCCACAATGTCGACCCAAGATTCGAACCCACACCCCATTCATCACAAACCATTAATAATTATGCTGTAACCTCTTGACTACAGCAATTCATACAAGTTGGCAGTGTTTTTACTGTTGATATACCGAAAATGACCCTGACCGATGAATGGCTGTAACGCGAGTCTAATACACATTGGACATGCGCAATACAAACACCACCACCGTGGTTTGGCTTCGTACATATGATTGTATATATAATATATCTGGTAACGTGTGTAGACCGACCAAAGCATGCTTAGTAAAGTTTGATTGTACTGTACGATGGAGCTTTTTAATAGCTCCATGATTGTACATTGACCTGTGGTGTTCATTACCTTTAGCACCCTATTCCTATTATAACTTATAAGGAAACAAAGTCCACTTTCATGACTTTCTCAAACTAACCAATAACAGCTTTACATGCTTAACTTGCCTTAAGGAACCAATTACTCAATCCATATTCATTAACACTTCCATTATTTTTTGCCATGTTCCTCCATGGTTTCACAAGTACAAGAAAGTAACAGTGTCTGTCAAAGTTGAAGGTCAAGAGATACGAGGTTAAAACAGTTTTTTTTCCTATTGAAACACCATCTAGACTTTAAACAGGGCCCTTTTTATACTCTTTTGTTGATTCTGGGCTCTGACATACATGACCCCCATAACTGTGGGGTCTGACGTCTGCTCCGCGAACTGATCTGAGTGGACGTTGGACCCCACAGTTCTGAGGGTAACATGACATGGGATATAAGAAACATGCGACTTTTTACCTTCTCACACCCACTGACATCTGTTACATTTATGAGCTGAAATTTCACCAGTGAGCTCCCTACAAATACTAAAGCATCAGACCAGTCCAAGTTAAACTAGGACTCTACCAGTCATCTCTTTTGATATTTGGACATCACCTGACCATATTTTAAATAGAGTGCTACATCATGTACGTACATGGACATGTAGTTACTCGACTAGTGTCAGACTTTTTCAAGGATGGATTTGTGCCAGGAAGATGTAAATTAATTTTTGATTTTTTTTTTGCCCTGTCCGACATGTATATTAACACTGTATTCTCAGTGTATGCCCCCGAAGGCTTGTGAAAAAAAAAAAAAAACAGACATGGGTGGGGCTCAAACCCACGACCTCCTGCTTACTAGTGCAGACGTCTTAACCACTCGACCTCAGAGCTTGCTGGTGTCAGGTGGCTGGTTCAAATCAGATGTAGCAGCTGGTACCGCGAACAACTATTTCAAGGATGGACTATTTTAAGTCAGATTGTCTCATCTGCAGATGCATGTTGCTACTCGCAGGGAATTTCCCTTTCCGCACAATTTAGGGAGAACTTAGTTGCCACCAAAAAAGTGTGTAGTACATGAATTTGCACAACTGCCTAATTTTGACAAACATGTGAACCTGATTCCTTTCCATACAAAGCAGTGGGTGCACTGAGAAAGTGCCTGTCTGGTTGATCAAATTGTAAGCAAATGCAGTCACTTAAGTCTAACTCAAGGCAGCTCTGTGAAAGCACCTGTGTTGATGGGTAGCAATCTTTGAAATACTGACGGCTGTTTCATATCCGGGCAAAATTGACTGCTGATTTACATGTGGCGTGCTTCTGTGAATGTTGAGAAACTAATTCAGCAGTTCAGGAAAATGGAGTCTTTTCTTCCTTTTTTATGTTTTTTGAACACTGCATGTTACACAGTTACTGAAACATGATTTCTCATACTCACAAAACACAAAACTTACCTCAACAGTCCCCATATCCTGGATGGGGTAGCCCAGACAAGAAGGGGTGTTTTGAGAGATTTTAAACAATTCAGTAAATTTGAAAATTGTATTTAGTTGTGACTTGCCGGAACGACCACCATGTCACCTTTAGTTTCAACTTATGTCAAGAGACAGTACTAAATGGGAATTCATTCAGCCAGGCCTAATATTTACAGTGACCCATTTACTGCCTTTTTTGTAGAACAAATATATCATGGAAGAGGAACCTGAAGACTTGTCATCTCTCCACTATCAAATACTATTCCCCCCTCGTGAGCCTAGTCACCAGAGGAGGGAGTATGAGTTGGAGCAGCACATTGCTCTCATGGATGAGCCTGCGCAAGTTCCACCAAGGAAAGCATTGGACATGGAAGATTTTAACTTAACCATTGAGCATCTTACAAGTCGTGACAAACATGAGACTGAGGAAAGATTCTTATTGATGGAGGAGGAACAGAAATGTGAAAAAGATATGTTGGATATTGGTGAGTGATGTCGAGTATCATTACACTACCAAGTTACAGAAGTGGCAAAAAGCCTGAAGCTATACATGTATATGTGAGCAGCATAATTAGTAGGTGACAATGTGTTAGATGGAAAAAAAGAATAAAATACTTGAGAAAGAATGTTTTGACTTTCAAAGTTCAGTTTATGAGAACAAGTACATAAATCTATGTACTTGTTTGCATTAAATCAAAGGGTACTCTTTTATTTTTCTAGGTATTGAAGCCAATGACCTCGGCAGTCTGTTACAGAAATTTGAGCAGACAGAGGCTACAGTCTTGACTAACTCTGCGGAGGGAGGGTATGCTATAGCTGTTATTAGATCATGTTTAAACTTTGCTAAAAGCCATTTGTTCTCAATGTACATATACTGTCAAAACATTTTGCCCTCAGGTTTAAGGTTATGAAATTTTATTGTTTCTTCAGGGAGAATTCCCAAATCAAGTCAAAGTCAAGTAGACTTCAAGGTGAGTTTGATTTCATTGATCTGTTGTTTTTTCTGTAAAACAGACAATTAGAAAACTGAATTTCTAATGCAATTGTTAGCATTTATTTTGAAGAGTATTTAAGTAAAAGTTTGTGTAATTTGTTCACTTCATCAGATCCAAGGAACCTTGCCAAGAAGATATCTCCAGTCAAGCGGAAATCTACTATCCTCCTAGAGCCTTTAGCCATGCCAAGCAAACGTCTCCGAGCTAAGGACACCAATCTATTGACAACAGAACGAGATTGTGTTAGTCTACCCGGTAGCAGAACCTCTAGTCCAGGTACAGTCCAGCATGAAGGATTATCGGTCATCTGCAGTGCTGATCAAGGCTTTGATTATCTAGTCATGGACCATGATTACTGCAGCATTAGTAATGGGCAGAATGTGAACCCATCCAACTCAGTATCATCAAGCCCCCTCAATGACTCTAGTAACTTATCAGTTGAAGAGAGGAAAGCTGTTTATAAACAAAAATATAAAATCAGGAAGAAAGGGAAGAAGGTGGGAAGAGCTTCTGGAGGGAGGCGTTCTGACAAGTCAAATGATGGAGTCGTAGAGCCAGTGCATCTGATGAATAAATTACCTGAGTACATCCAGCCATTATCTGAGTTAACTGTACCTGCAAAAACTTGCCAAACAGGAAAGTTGTCAGAGGAAAAGAAGACAGATATTGTGGATGATAATTCCATGGAAGAACAAAACTGTCAAGGCAATGATACAAAGCCTGCGTTCTTTGACAAGATTCCTGATTACTTTTTGGGGAAGCACATGTATCAGGAGATTAGCAAGGTTGAGGAGGAGGAAGCAAGAAAGAAAGAAGAGGAAATGACTCAACTGAAAGAAAAGGACGAAACGGAGAAATTAAAGCAAACAGAGGATAATTTGAAGGAACACAGACGCCATCGACACAGGTCACGGCATCATGGGAGACATCGAGGAAGAAATGAAAGAAAGATTGCTAACAGTGTGGATGACACAGAAAAAGATGTGAACAGAGAGAAAACTGTGAATGCTGTTACTGTTCAAGTAATTGAATCCAGTGGAGGAAACAATGAAGATGTTAAAGAAAACCGACAATGTGGTGAGGACTCTCACAGTCCTGCCAATGAGCAAGAAGGGATATCAAATGGTTATGAGTACAGGAAGACTAGTTACTCGGAACGACATTCTCGTTGCCGCTCACATTCTGCCCGGTCTTCTCTTTCAAGGTCAAGTTCAAGATCTTCATCAAGGGGTCGTTCCCTTTCATCATACTCATCATGCTCATCTTTCTCGAGGACAAGACGTCGAAGAGATTCAAGACATTCTTACACTTTGTCATCCTCATCCTCGCGATCCCGATCACGTTCTTGTTCACGTTCATTCAAACGTCATCGACGTCGGAGATACTCAACCTACTCTTCAGCTTCACGATCCTCATCATCCTCAAGATCCCGTTCAAGGTCACACTCAAGATCCAGGCATTGGCGACCCAGGTCACGATCAACATCATCCTCAATGTCTAGGAGGAGGTCAAGGTCAGGGTCATATGATTCTGTGAGATCACATTCTTGCGAGTCGGATAGACGATGGAGAAGTTCTAGCCGCAGTCACCGACGACGTCATAGGTAAGGTTCTTCAAATCTCGACGTTATCATTTTGATTTACATCATTTTTTTTTACTTTAAGATCACATTAATCTCTTGTGTATCATGTGACCCACACTGTATTTGTCAGCAATTACTGTGTAAAGGTGATCAAATATGTCATATAAATTATGATCTCGATTGGCCTACCAGGGAAAGGTGGGTATTTTTCCATCTGGTCTTAGATGACTCATACCTGGGATAACTGGACGTCATTTAGGATTTACCTGATAGTTTGACAAATACGAGTCTCTATGTTAGGAAATTCTTGAATTGCATTCCCGTCACACAGCCGATCTCGTAGCCGGAGAAGAATGCGAAGTGTCAGCATTGAGCGCAGTGAAAAAAGAAAAAGGGAAGAGAGGATGAAAGAACAGCAAGAACAGTGGGTAAGATGAGGACTTACTTTAATAATGGCTAGGATTGAGGGATGAGGGATGTAAGATGAAGGCATTGGCCAGAACAATTCAGAGGTTTGATCCGGTGCTGGATGAAAGGGAAGGGGAAGTTTCAAATGGGGATATGCAGTGACACTAGAAGCCAACAGACACAAAACCAGTGGCTAGGAGAAGTTGGTTGTTCTCAACTTGGATCACAAGGATCAAATAATTGCCACCTGTTGGATCACAATGATTCCTGCGCAGTTGAATTTCAATACATGTTCTGTATTGTTTTTAAAGGGCCCTCAATCATTTCATTAATTCTCCTGTATTAGGCTGATCGCCGAGTTGTTTATATTGGACGCATTCCTTATGGGACCACTCGCAACACACTGAGGAAGAGGTTTGGAAAATTTGGTGAAATTGAGCGGATAACGCTGCATTTCAGAGATGTTGGGTTAGTACTGCAGGCTAGTTGTTTGTTGTAAAACATGTAAATGCATCAATGCTGTGTCCTGATTTTTAAATTTAAATGATTAAACACATCAACTTTTGTTAGACAGAAGAAAACATTTCAACAGTTCACCAAAATATGTATGGTATGACGACATCATATACCTGTTTTAAACATTCAAATACTAATATTCACGGCAGTATCCATTTGTTTCCACAGGGATAATTATGCCTTTGTGACTTACGTGTACAAGTGTGATGCCTATGCAGCTGTTGAAGGTAAGGGTGTGAAATATTATGTAGCCACGATGACCGCTGTAGTCGACATCTGATATAGTTCTCTCTCATAATATTGTAGCTGTTTTGTTAACCACATGCTGCTGGGTGGTTTAAAAAATGCAGTGGACACATACGGGCAAATTTCGAAATTTTCAGTTTTTAAAAATCTTCAAAAATACATCATTTCAATTAACTGACGTTTACACCCACATGAATTACTGTTTGGTCACCACTGTAGCCTGACAGACAAAAATCTATTGATGCCCGAGTATTTCAGCCAGGCCTGCAGCCTTGTACAAAGAGCCCAGATTGTGCAGTGTTATGTAACTTTTGTTTGTTCACGAACCTGGCACAGTGCGCTGCTGACCTCTTTTCTATAGGGGCCAGATTAGCATGCAGCGGTGCTGTGTGGCTCATCACTGTGGTGGTGGAGCGCTTTTGTCCTCGGGTGGTAATCCGCTCGCACTAAATGCCCAAAACTGTGGTATACTGTTTCAAAACAAGGCTGGATTATCTCCACTATTGAGAATGAAAAAATGTCGGTAATGCCCAGAGCTCAGTCTTTTGTGCCGATCACGTTCTTTTGTTACAAGGCGCAGCTCTTTTGTCCTGGTTTTGGGCTCCCCAAGCCAAGCCTATGTGCTCCAAAACAGGTGCCCTGGCAGCAAGTGGTTAAATATACAATTCCAGCAGATACAAGCTCTCCGCCTTTTTACATATGAATTGCATTGATTGTTCAAAAACACTTCTTTATCATTCTTTCTGCTTTGAAGGGGCAAACAAAGATTATAATGAACCAGAGTATGACATCTGCTTTGGTGGTCGTCGGCAATTCTGTAAGGCAGATTATGAAGACCTTGGTAAGTCAACACAGACATTGAAAGTGGTTGTACAGTTGCTGAATTTCATCAGATTAATATCCTGCACCAACAGCCAAATTTCCCAATCACCCAGGATGTAATGTTTTTGTTTACACTTTTTATTCGAATTCAGATTGGACAATACCTGATGCATAATGCATACTCTTTTCCTAAGTAAGGCTGTTGATTGTCCCGTTGTATTTGTCCTACTTACAGATTCAATGGGACAGGAAGAGATGGCACTCGAGTTTGGTTACAAGAAGAATCCATCTACCAATCAAAGTGAAGATAAAATGGAAACAGAATTTGATCGCCTTTTGCGAGAAGCTATGAAGAAGAGTAAAAGGTGACGGATTGCAAGATGTTACTTGAAGGGTGTGGTAAGGGGGCGTGGCTAGGAGCCAATAAAATCTATTTTGAGAATACTACTCACTGATAGTGATAGTCTCCTCAAATGTTCAGGAAATTAGATATTTGGTGGGGGGAGTTGAAATCGTTATAGGAAATTGTGAATTTACAGTTAAGAAATGTTACTTTATTAATGGAATGAAATTCAACTCCAGATGATGAGTTATGTTGGAGAAACATGTTTGTTACTTTCTAGAGCTGTTTCTTTTAGAATTTATCTGATCTTAATACTGAACTGTTTGGAAGCAAGTAATCAAAATTCAACTACAAACTGATTTTTTTGACAAGGCATAAACAGCCAAAATTACCTATTTTCACAAAGAGTGGCTCTAGTAACTTGATTTCCATCTTTTTATCAATTTCTTTATGTATTTATAAGCTGCACAGTACAAGTTTGAGTGGAGAGAGTCTTATTTCTATGCCGAGTTTGGAAAGGAACAAAAACTAACTCCTTTTGTGAGAATCAAGTTAATTTGTTTTCAGAATTGCTTTATGGGAAATAGAAATAATGGCTACAATGTTATGTTTCCTCAAATGTAAATCATATATATTGTATTTTGAAATGCTGGAAATCTATGGGGGCCACTTTTGCAAGCAGATTTTGTTTAGTGGGTTCTTGGATTTTTTGGAGAGAGTGGGTGGGGGTTCTTTTCTTTTGGAAATCTCGTGATAATGTTTCTTTTTCAGTTTGGTTTTTCACAGGGTACAGTTGGTAGTTTATGATATCAGTGTATTTGCTTGCCTTGTATACATTGTAATTTGTATTAATTTAATAATCCATAAAATTGATTGCAGAAGTGCACAGCTAAAGAAACTTACATTTGCTTCTCAAGAAAATGTTTATTGGTGCAGATTTGATCAACTGACAAGGTGCACAAGTAACGGAATGAAGCTTTGTTTAATGAACAAGCTCTCAGTATTTTAACGTTGGTTTGTTCGGCACAAGCCTTAGAAATAAATTAGTTACCTTTCAAAATTAAAATGATGATGAACGAGTGATTTAATAATGAAATTTCTCATTTTTGCCTTCTAAATTAAATGACTTATGCAAAGTAAATTACATGTCTATTCATTAGGCTTAATATGTGGAGAACGACAGATATATCGAGGTAGTTTGTTTTCTTTCAGAAGGTCATCAGCACAAATAATTTGACAAGTTTCTTGGATATAATCCACATGTAACCCACTGTTTCCTGTTGTTTTTTTCTTTGCACTGATGAAATCAGTTATAAATGGTATATATGCGTTTACGTGCATGTGTTATGCTTGTCTGCGTAGTCCAACTAAAGAGGGAGCATTTTTTTAGTACCCAGATGAGGAAAAAAAATAAGGAAAGTTATATCTTGTGTAAACAACACTTATCAAGTTGGCAACCGGCTTTTCCAATATTATGATTTATGTATATGCGAATCTTACTTGAAGTTACATTACATGTTCACTTCTAGTTTATACATAACAATATTGTTTATGAAATAAACTGGCACATTGAGGTGGCAGAACAATGTACACTACACATGTATGGACTTTGTTTTATAGTTTTGCTTTGTCGCAAATAAATAAGTTGTTAACCCAAAAGAGTTATTTTTGTAATAAGCGTACTAATTTGTACAGAGTTTGACCAAACTGTCGATTTGAGACTATTTCACACGCAGCTGAAGGTGATTGACAAGTCTCAGTTATGTCTGGCCTGTGGACTGTTGTAGAAGCAAGCGCACAACCCTCTCCAGCAGCCTGTGTAGGATCCATTCTGCTGTTTATCATCGACATCAGCCCATGGATCGATGCTTAGGTAAGATGTTGATGGTGTCACTAGAAGATTAAGGAAAAATGCAATCATCGGTCCCCGAAAGGCTAATCAATTTGCCATAATAATTTTGTCAATTAGATGTAGAGTTCTTTCTGCTCAAGGGGAACTGTATTCCAATTTTGGATTGCAGAGATTTAAACGATTCGTTAGCATCGCACTGTGTAAACATAATGGTCACTTACCTTTGAGTTGCGTTGGGACCTCAATTTTGCGTCGTTGTCGTTTGTTTGAAGCTGCTCCTGGTGTTGACATCCCAGAGGGTTGTGGGAACTCGCCATCCTTGCAGAAAGCTGTGCTCATCAGACAGTTGGTCTCCGGTGATGTCAGAGAAAAGTCTGATATGCTGATAATGAAACAGGAAACCGGTAATATTTGGTTAGATTGACTACAGATAATTATTTATGAACATTCTTGTATTTAAGATGATGTAGGCCACAAAGGCTTCATACATTCTTGAGAAAGCTAAGCGCTATTCTATTCGGAGCTTTAGTAAAATGATATTGTAAGGTTCAATGTCTGGTTAGTTTTGCTTCAATGACTGCTCTAATTTCAGAGTTTGAGGGGATTTACTGTTGTTTACAAAAGTGAGACTTATGAAAAAATAATTACGATACCTTGCAGGTTTTATCTGGACTACTTACCCAAAGTCTGTTTCGTCAAATGTTGAATGCTGTTTTATTTGTTCATCTGTCTGTGATCCAATGCTGATTGTCTCCATAGTAGGCTGAGATACAAATGCCACATATAGCAAGTTGGAAACAGCTGCATATTAAAAAAAGCTGCTGAAGAATTGTTTAGTACGGGGCATAGAAAGTCTATGTTTGAAACATTAATCAATTTCACCTGTTCTTGGAAATATTTCTGTTGATGGCCAATACCTTACAGGCTTCAGGATTAAAGCCTCTAGTCGCAGCAATGTCTTCAAGGATTTCAACTTTCTTCTGTAAATAGGCAACCTCGGCTGATAGCTACAGGAGAGATAATATTTCAAATGATAAATCATTGTGCCTTCACCCAAAATCTTGATTTTACGACGGTACTTTCTTGGATGTAATTGTCCTAATTTTTTCTCTTTATTTTTGGAGAGCACTGCTTGAGGAAAAGTATTCTTTTAGAACTACCTTACCTTGGTATTTTCAAATATGAGTAGGCTGCTGGACAGTGCTTTTTCCATGAATAGCTCAGGTGCAGATGGGCTCTCAGAACGGCTAGAAGTAAGGCTAGATTTTGCAAGTGTGCACAGACGGTCTCTGATCTCTTTCGACAATGTTGCACCTGCGATTCAGTTAATAGAACATCGGATGTATGTGTGTTTATCAGTGCGTTCATATTTGCCTCAAAGTTCGGTAATGTGGAAAACCAGTAAGACTTAAGAGTATCCAGCTTGTTCTTGGAGGAGTTTTCTACTTTACATTTACTTTCCCTTGGATGACTTGAATCTTGTAGTCTTTGCTCCACAAACGTCTTAAGACGCTGTAGACGCTGATGCAATTGCTTACTAACAGTAGAATCGTCCACCTTCAGAGACCGTTCAGTCTCAACATTTCCGGGTAAAAGGGCAGATGCTGGGCTGTAAAATGGAAAATTAAGATATGAATTCATAATTAGTACAGAATTTGTCTTTTGGTAATAAAATAGGAGACAAGGGTTAGCATGTGCGGGTAGAAAGTTGTTCACGTCATTAACGTGCGATAAAAAGATCACATACTGGTGAGTCAAATTAAACGAATCTTTGCAATTTAAAAGTTGAAAATGATACAGAACGTTGCATAGAAGAGTAAGGAGAGAATCGACTGCCAGACAAATGACAATAAATGTTTCTAATTATACCTCGATATTCCGCTGTCGAATGTCATACAGAGTGGACGATCAGTGATGGAACAATCAGCAGCGCTCTGCAGACTGACCAGGTCGGGTCTTGGTTTGGCTGCCATTGCAAGCATCAAATGCTCCATAGATCTAGACATCCATAAATGTATGTTACTACATGTTAGGCATACTTTTAAAATTGGTAATTTGAAAGATTTATCAACAGGAAGGATTAAAGGGTGCCAATTGGATAGTAGAGGGATAAGGTCAATTTTAATGAAAAGGAAAATCAACTTAAACGAAAGAGACAAATCATTCTTCATTGATAGTGAAATCGAAATGTTGGAAAAACTTAATACTAAATTTAGACTACTCTTGGTATTTTTACCTTTTAGTGTCAGATGCCATTGTTGGTTTGCCTTCCATTGGTCTATAAATCGGCATATTATGTGCAGCATTCGTGCCTAAATCTTGACCAATGTCAGCGTATTCGTCAGCGTGCTTCAAGCGGTCAACGACGGTTTTCTCAAGATCTACAAGGAAGGATGGTGGTGAACCGGAAACTGAAAAGAAATAAATAACAAGATGAAGTACAACACCAGTATTTCAAGAGATAAGTTGCCAACGAAGATCACCGTATCCTTTTCTATAAGGCCTTATCTCGTCATTGACGATTTAATATCGTCGTGTTGAATACATTGCATCGCACTATTTGATCATTGTCCATTTACAAAGATTTTTACTTAGGGCCCAATTATGTAACTTTTTAATAAATTTAAACCACATTTTACTCGTCTTTTTCACCCTTGTAAATCACTTTATACTCGTTTTCCTATACTAAGCCTTGATCTGGGGAATTGTGTTTGGTCATGAGTTTACAGTTTTGAACTTGAGTCATGAGAATTGCATACCATCATATTCATTGTTTTGGTCTGCGGATGCTGATAGGAGCATCAGTGAAGTTATATCGGCAAGGAGTGCACTCATTGGTTTGTTGACACCAGATGACAGAATGGTATCCGATGACTGGCTTGGGAACAGAGTGGAGGGCGTAGCTTGGCTTTGTCTGATGGGAGTTGTTTGTCCTTCCATCGTCTTCCTATGTGTTTCTGATGAAGCGTTGCCAATTTACCTAATGGTTTAATTTTACAGATATATTGTTTTAAAACAGACGTTTTGTACTTCAAAAATAAACCTGTTCATAACTATTGTGTGACTTGAGACTGCCCGAAACGGCACGGGGTATCCCTCCATTTCAGACCAGTGGCGTATGGGGGCGGGGGAGTCCCCTGGACATGTTGCAAAACACTAACACCTTCGAAATGATACTATACCACCTTTCCTGGGGAGATCTCTTCAAACGAATTTAAAAAATTGGAGCTTCGTTTTTTTGAGAAAAGATCATATTTTACCCCGCCTACCCAGAAATTGGTTCCGCCGCTGTTTTGGGTCTTACCTATGGGGTTTTGTATACCCAACACCAGACTGCCTGATCAGTGTAAATTTACGTCTTTCTTATTGAAACATCGACGTCATAGATTGAATTGATATTGCGTTCCTGTTTTATACTTAAGGCTTACGAAGACCGCATCGAGGCCTTTAGTCTTTTCCAAGCATAAGTGATGTTCTGAATTGTTAAAATGAATGTTTCATATTACCTTCTGAGGGAAGAAATACTCGATGTCGTCCCAATTACTCGTCTAGGTATGAAGTCTCTGTGTGTGCAGAAGTTCGTGCAGCTCGTTGTCAAATGACAAAAATCTGTGTGAGCAGACAGAGCTATTCAGTCGAATTGTAAGAACCCAGAATCCTTATTTAAATAATCATTGTTGAAATTCGCGCCTTGGAATCTCAGTTCATTTAGTAGACGAAGGAGAAATAAGACTCGTGCAGGGTCTGGAAAGCCATGAATGAGCTCGAAATAGCAAGCTCTTATAGTTCTGTCGCTTTGGTAAGAGATGAAGGACAATGGGGTGGGCAGAATGATGTACATCTGACACAAGCAAATATTTTGTGAATGTGTCAAATACAAACGAAGGATGAAGATGAGTAACAAACAGTTTGGAGGGTGAATTTTCATCAGGGAGACTTGATTTCGTGTAAATAAAACCAGTTTATTAGTTCAGAACATATTTTATTTTCCGCGTAAATTTACAAAAATAATCACTAGCAATCAAAGAAATAAAACGTATCAACAACAAAGAAGTAGTAAATAGTAAAATCTGATTTAATAAATGTATGGATTTGCAATTTACTGAGACTAAAACTGTACAGAATTCACAGTAAATCATATTTACACATTAAAATAATTTATAAGATTACAAATTACAAACATGCAAGGTAAAATGTGATTCTCAAAACTAATTTGTTTACTGAGAAGATGAGAGAACAAATACAATACAATCTTTCAAGAATCAGCATGCAGCCAAACGATGTACACCCTTTGTCATTTGTGATCGTGACTTTTTCAGCAGGATTCTAAATTAGAAAAACCCATTTATGTTACAACATCAATGAGTTCCTCATTGTCATCAGTGCCGCTATCATCGGGAGCATCGCCGTGAGTGGCCGGTGGGGGCGTCTTCCTATTGTCTTGCTTCGCACAGGCGTTGATGTCACACAGGAATCGCTGAAACAACTGGACATCAACTGCTCGACGCTCAGTGGATCCCGGGTCCTCAGGGATGTGTAGATTCAGTGATCGCTCATCGTCGTCTAAATCATCATCTTGATGAAACGTGGATGATCCTGAATCTGACCCTGCGTGTGAGGACACGTTCGCTGATGCACTCTCAAGACATCCGCCATCCGAATCTATGATAGCTACGGGGTCATGAATTGTTGTCTGGACACGGCCTGCTTGTGGGGGCGCTGTATACCCTACAGAGGGTGTAATGTTCTGTATAGTGTCTCGAACAAATTGCACATTGGGACTGACCATAATGGGGACATTTCCGGCAGAAACGACAGCTGTTGTGCCTTGACCTTGTCCAGACACATGATGTCCAGCTTGACCACTAACGAGATGCAGAAGTGCACTACCATCGGCTGCGTATGTCTTGTGCGTGCGAGCTTCCGCTGACCGTGCGCTTTGACCGACTGTTACTTGACCGCCAATTGTTGGATGACTAGATGCTTGCAATGTTTGGATAGCTGCCGGGGGGCGTGGTGATCCAATGGGCTCTATTATGTAATGCTGTGAGTAGGATCAAGAAAGAACATTGATATTATCATCATCTAAGTAATGAAGTGAGCAAGTAGATCGCCGTAGAGATTATTGGTAAATCATTGGTTACAATGCATTATTTTGACATTAATTGTTCAGGAGCAGAAAGGTGGAAATTACCCCCGTAAGTCCCTTCAAATCTTTCTACACACCTGTTTGGTAAAGCCGGTTTTATCTCTGGTGTCCTTAGCTGGCAAGCGAATATTTGTATTATTGCTGGGTGCCGGTTGGGCTCCAGACCTTGCTGGGAGTCCTTCAAGTTGTCGAGGGAAAAAAAGAAAGAAAAACAGTTCTGAGCAGATTATCGTGCAGAATAAAACAGATCCCAACAACAAGGACGGCTTTGAAACCCACATCAGATACACAAGAAACACTGACACGGGAACATAAATAAAATCGTTACCTTTGGATTCGCTTTTTGGTGCAGCACATCCGGGCTGCGACGCAAATGTGAAGTGCGAGGTTGCATTTGGGTTCAGTTTACACTTTGGAAGAATACAGGCTTGGTTTGTGTTGTAGGGAGCGAGGGTAAAACCATCACGTCTTCGTTTTGGCGGGCGAGGGCTATATACCCAACCTTGAAAAGAAAAAAAATCGCTTGAAAGTGAAACTCTCGCCGAACAAACGTTTTGTGTTAGTGATTATTTTTGATTCATTTATGACATCATCATCATACGTACCCGGATGTTCCTGTCTATGCAGTTTCCTCAGTTTCTCGGCCTCATCGTAGAATGGTTGTTTTTGTTCTTGCGTCAGTGCGTTCCACGATTGGCCAAGCTGGATGCTAATGTCAGCATTATTGGCATGTGGGAACTGATGAGCTAGGCGCGCTCTGTGGATACGAGCCCACACCATGAAGGCGTTCATCGGTCGTTTAATGTGATTGGTTGGATGGGCACGCTTCCTTGGTAAACCTGGAAACAAAACCAGTCAAACCATGGACAGGTATACTTTTTTCATATATATCAGTCCATACTGGCACGGAAAATTGACAACGGAGGATTTAATTGACTTTTGACTACAATCACACACATACTCACTGTCACTGTTAGGAGCAGGCATAGTATCAACATCAGTGATTACCACTCCGACGTCATCACTACAGATTTTAGGAGGCGTGGTTGCATGGGGCTTGCTTGTAGAGGGCGTCAAGGCGGCAATCGGGGAGCAATCAATGGGCGTGGCTCGGTTTGTAACCACAGCGAGTTTGAAACCATCTCCGAAGGCATTGGAGCAATTTTCATTGATTTGGAACAAAGGTCCGGCGAAAGGAGACAGGACTACATCGTTCATTTTGGCATCATACACAGGCATGGCCTTCGAATGCGCTTTTTCAACAGGTCTCGGAGGTTTCACGTTCTTGGGCCTGTATAGAGTGAGCTCGGTGTAGTTTTTTTCCACCTCAGGCGTGCCGGCATCACCAGCGACAGAAGAGCAGTCTGCCGTGGTTTCAGTATTTAAGGAAGAGGGAATTGATGTCAATTCTTTTGGTGCTTCGTCAGTTTTTTCAGTTGGTTGTGCATGACTGGTGTTAGCTGAGGATGTTAGACGATTGGTCGCTGGTGCACGGAGTGCTTGCTGGTTTGTCAGACTTGTCACCTGCTGGCTGTTAAATGTTGTAAGTAGATTCGTTTAAAAGAAGTATGTCTGTTTAAAGTCATCATTTAAACACAAGACTTAGAACAACCGAAGAGTACTTGCCAACGCACGGGGTGTTAGTGTAACCGAAATGAAATGAAATAAAATCAACAAACCTGGGACTTGGAATACTAATAACTGGATCTGTTGTTGATCGAGGCTGATGTACAAACTCGGCTGAGGTTGTTATGGATGGCTCTTCGGGATGACAGAGCTTGGAGACCATAATGTTATCAGATTCCTTGCCAACAGGTTGCTTGATGGACATTTTAGATCCATCCTCGGTCGTTGGTAGCTTGAAAAGTGTACCAGATCTCTCTTCAGCAGTGGTTGCTTGCTTAGAGACGATAATGGATTTCTTCTCAGTAGTCGGTAACTTAGAGACCATAGCGAATCTATCCTCATTATTTGATAGCTTGAAGATCTTACCTGATCGACCCTCAGAAGTTGGTGGTCTGGAGGCCACACTAAGTTCCTGTTTTGACAATAGACTGCCATTGCTGGGAGTTGTGACATTGGATTCTATCTCAAAGCACCTGTAAACTTTATCTCCGATTTTACACGTGATGCTGGGAGTGGTTGTAGCTACTGATGGCGTCATTGTCACTGTACCAGATTGAGGGTTAGTTTTTGTAGTCGGCCTAAATATGAAATCAAAGACAAAAGCTGTCAAAATCTTGAAGAAAAATTGAGCTAACGTAGTCGTTTTTAAATGATCCAGTCGATTTGGACAGTACATGCCTACACACTGTATAACGTTGATGAAGCCTAACTTAATGTCGAACATGACAAGTTTAACATAAGTTTGCAGATTTATTGAAGGTGTAACGAAGTTGGCCTTCAGTAAAATGTAAATAATCTTTGCTATACCTACGGGCCTCACACCATAGAGCTCTATAAAAGCTCCATGTTTCATACGGATCTGGATCGCGATCAGTGATCCTTACGCTGGTTTGCACCATCCATTATTCGCGTTTTGGTGTCTGTAAACCAACGACGGATCACTGATCTCGATTAAGATCCGTGTGGAACAAACGCAGCCTAGTCCTATATTGTGCACACGAATTCCAAAGTGACATCCTACCTATTAAGACAAACCGCTGCGGTCGACGCTGCAGTTTTGACGGCAGGGAGGAAGTAGAAGCCCTGACCTGAACTTATCGGGGCGATGCTACCAGTATTCGATTTACCGACAATAACTGTCGGCAAGTTGTTAGAATTGCTTGATGCAGATGATGTTGCAGACTTCTGGGTCACTAAAACTCGTTGCACCTCTGAGTGGTCGTCAGATTTCTTGTAGTCTTTGCTACCGACATTAAGAGATCCAGTCGAGTGTCCCTGAGGAGATGGTTGTGCTGCATCATTGCTTATTGCAAAGGGTGCAGAGTTAATACCAGTTGTAATAATACTTCTAGGAGACTCGCCGTTTCTGTTTGATGTGAAAGTTGACGCTGTCACGTTGTCCCGGGAAATCATTTTTTGTCTTTGTCAACTGATTGGGGCAGTCTTAAAGCAATAAAACTGTGTCACAACTTTTGAAAAACGACAACCTCTCTCGCGTCACGAATGCAGTTCAAACGGATATTATTGCATCATAATATCAGAAAGTAAACAATGGAACAATGCAGTGCGTACTCGGATATCAATTCAAGTCCAGTGGTATTGTTAACACGTATCAATTCAAGTCCAGTGGTATTGTTAACACGCGCGCGTATCCAGCGTGTATCACACGCACGCTCAAACTTTGCGTTGGTGAGCGCGTTCATGCACAAAAGAACATGACCCGCGTTTTCTGTTGACGCACAAGCGAACAGTGTTAACAGTCTAGCCGTTTGACCTATTTTAATTTTTCTTTGAATTTTTCTGAACGTTGTATAAACCAAAGATTGTATAGCGCCGCGCGGCGCTATACAATCTTTGGTATAAACTGTCTTCAAAGATGTAGAAAAGAAAAAGCGGGCATGTATGCCATTTGTCGTTTTTGGAAGGTGCAATAACGTTTTTCATTTGTCGATAAAAAGTGTTGTTCCTCAGAGTTAAAGTGGAAGACCGAAAACTATTTTTTGCTGAGAATTCATCATCCCACTGTATTCCCCACTGAACATCAGACTGTCACTAACCATACCACATCTAACAAGCAATAGTGTTTGGTGTGACTATTTTCACAGCACTTGAAAAGTCGTACATAAAGCGCTTCGCACCTTGTATTTGGGGGCTGTGAGCACTTGTTACTTTAAACTCATCGAAAATCGATAAATCCATCCTGACCTATTGTTACTTTGCGGCCTCCGTTTCCTCCTGTGTTAGTCAGGTAGCCTATGTCTCTTCTCATCACCAGGATATCATCAATACGCTCAATTAGGGATTGCCTTGTGTATATAAGGGTGGGTAAAGTTGTAGAAAACAAGACACTCCCCAAAGAATTACACACTCGTCTCCTGCGCCAATGACTACTCGCATCTGTTTCATTTTACTTCTTTAAAAAACAATTTGTGCTCCTCTTCGACCATTGTTACTTTGGTTATTTTTTGCCTTTAGCATTATCACACTGTTATGTCTTTAGGGTCTGGTAACAGTTGTGTCTCGTAACTGGCACGTCGTGTTACCATTAGAAGGTTTTCTCATTGCATTGTTTAATTGTTGGTTGAATATTCGTTCATGAGCAATTCGTTAGTTTGATAAACATTGAAGATGCACCATGGGTTGTGGGACACGGTAAATTTCAAATATTTTCCCACCAGTATGTCCATATAATGAGGCTATCCTTAGAACGTTTGTGGACTGACCTTTTTATGTTTTTGATCACGCTATGTGGTTATTTTCTAAGTCATCGATTTTTTTCGATAAAAGCATATTATTATGCTGACTTGGTTGCAGTTTGAAATACATGTACAAACATGTACTAATAATTTGAGATGTATAAAGACTAGTCATCTCAGTGAATCGACCGGCACTGCATATAACATACAACGCCCTCATCGTCCAAAATTGCACCATGACAGCTATCGGTCGCTAGTATACTGGCGTGTGTGTTGGCATGACAACACTGTAGAGCTCTCTACTTATGCCGAATATGAATTGTAAACCCACTGCCTTGTGTGGTGAGGGCCAATGGAAAATGATAAACATCAATCTCCCCTCTGTAGCCGGTGTTTAGGGGGTCACAGTTTGACCCTGTACCATCATGGGCACACATTGAACACTGGGAGTCGGCTCAGGGAAAATAGACAACCTTATCGATCAGGTTACGCAGACTATGGATTTTGACGGTGTGTATAGTTGCATTGACATCACTCTAATAACCTTTCTGGGTAAAACCTGCATGGTGTATGTGTGAATTTTTAGCTGTCTCGCTAGAGATGAAAACACGCGGACCTTCGCGTTTTGCCTTGGTGGTGAAGTTGCCGTGTACGCTTCTGATGGATTTCTGATTGGTAAGCCAAAAGAACGAGTGGACCTGTCCATGGGTTATAATTACGTCAAACTGGTGCACTTCAAGGCAAAGCACTTCAACGAACTTACGATGATTACAACTGAGGAGTGATTATCATGGTCCATTGATCTATTGTGGAGCCTGAGCCGAAAGAATTGTGAGGAACACTCCGCGTGGGGTGACTGCGAAAAGTGAAGAATCAACGAAGCGATACAAGCTGAAAGAACCATTCGGTCTATACAGAACAGAACAATAACCCATATTTTACCAGCCCATGCTTTCCCGCAGTGTCATCTTCAGACTGTTTTTCGCTAGACTCGGAGAGTCAATTAGAGCATGAATGGAGATGGTTTCAAAGCGAGCACAGGGCCAGACCTAAGTCCCAGACTACGGTAGCAATCAGTTTATTCGTGGTCTGTTGTTGATCGCCAATAGCCATCATTAGAGGTGTAGCCACTCACCCTGCAAACACCAATAAGGTGCTTTTACGATTCTGGTGCGGCAACAACAGCTTTAATTTGGGGGGGAGTAGATCTAAATCTAAAGCAAAATCTACAGAGAAAAGAACTTGCTAAATACCAAGTTTTCTTTTTGATGACTGGACTGATAACTGCAGTGATAATTTGACTGGTGCCAGCGTCAGCCACTGTCACTTGTGTAGCCTTTACAATGACTGATTTTTCATCAACTTCTCCGATAGACAACCATCGGGACAACATCATCTGTGGATCGTACCATTACGCCAATCCTCATTCGCAACTTTTCTCGACTCATGAAACCTTCTCCCAACCGTCACTTCATTCTAACGGCAAGATGAGGCTTGGTAAAAGTAAAAGTAACCCCGTAACATCAGGCGAGTTACCCCCTCTTGTCGGGATCCCACACGACTTGGCACGGAACCATCAAACAACATCAGACACCAGCGCGATTCCGGCTGTTTGCCGTGGGGCATTAGACAGCGATCCCCCCACTGCTTCTTCCGTGTCCAGTCCGCTCATGAGACGTCGGTTGAAGTACATGGTGAGGCAGTGTTCGGACTCGGAACTCGTTAAGAACAATTCCAGTCTGGGACGACTGCGTTTAGGAGCAGCGAGCAGCACGGCTGGTCCCGTGCCTCATCCACCAGACCAAAGCCCACGCTCGCAGAACTCTTCGGAAACTAATTCTCCAAGGACTCTTAGCAAACCTCCAGCATTAAACTCCTCGTGGTCTGGACCAAGCAGGATCAGTCGCTCACTGGAGGCATCCCCCATGGTTGTCAGACGTGTCCGTGAAGGTGTGAGACGCAATTCTGGAGAACAAGATTCATCCTCATCATCAAGACCATCCTCACCACCATGCTCAGATCAAGACCAGAAACGCCGCCCCAGACCCTTTTCCTTTGGATCGTACAGTGATGTGCTTCAATATGTATCAAGTAGCAATAATGAACCATCTCAGATACTCACTGCATCTACACGAGCACCAGGATCTCCCTTTGTTACCAGGAGGACTGTTGGGTTGAGAGGAATCGGACCTTTGGCTCTTAGTCGACCAGATACTCCTGCCAATGATGCCTTATCGCTACAAGAATCCAAGAAATCTCACCAGATATCTACATCATCAGGTACGTTGTGTACTTCCCTTTTGATATTCTCAAAAGACATTCTGTTTAATGTAATCTGAAAGATAATATTTAAACAACGTCATGCTATAACCGACACAAAATAAACTCTCTGTGACGATTTCCATGAGATATTACTGTAATAAAACCTTGAAGATTTTTGTTTTGGCAAGGGATTTTAAAGTTGAGTGATCGTAACATTCAGGCCAACAACGAACGAACATTACAGACAAATGATTCAATTTTTTTCTGAAACAGAAGTCAACGTGCACAAATGAACAACTAATCGCAATGAAAGCAACATATACACAACTGAATACAAAATGATTTAAGAAAAACACTACACATGATTTAAAATCACAGGCACGAATTCTTAATTAAACAACTTTTCAAAATGTTGCTTGAATTTCCACTAGTATTGCGTGTAGGTGATTGATTTTGTTCATGTTATGATAAAGTTTTAGTTTGAACGACGATTCTGCACACGACTACCCCCCCCCCAAATCATCACTGCAACTTGACAGCCTGTCCTATTTGGCTTCCTTGGCTGATTGTTAATTTATATGCAAGCTTTACAGCTAAGCATATGGATTATGTCCTTAGCCATGACAAGATAAACCTTCAACCATACAGCAGCTTGATTCTAGGAAGCCTAACTATACGACTTTTGACAGCATTAAGCTGTAGTCAAAGACATGATTATCAGCGGGAGGTTACCCTTTAAGACCAGTTTAACCTTTTTAGCCCATTGTCTGGTGTCTTGTCTCCCACTGTGTATGTGACGTCAGAGGTAGGTACATGTATCAAGGACATTTTCGTCTATCAAGACAGGTGTGGGCTAGACTAATCCAAACCACTTGCCAATAATTCGATGTCAGTAAAAACATTGGTGCATGAGTACCATCGAGAAATGATCGATACGATGTCATTAGGGGAAGTATGGAGAAACTTCAATGGGTATTGGTTTCGAATAACATTATTGTTATACATGTAGTTTCAGCTGCGGCGTATCCATCTTTTGGTGTGGGGGGGGGCGGGCAAATTTACAAGCTAATGCAGCTTCGGGCTCATTCAACATGATGTTGGGGGAGAAAAAAATCGAAAGCCTTACGGTCCCAACGCCCTTGCTTTTATTGTTGGTGTTGTTTTCTTAGGGTTTTGGAGCTAATATTTGATAAATAAATATACCGATTACTTTCTTCTCTGTACTCACCTATAAATGTATCATTTGTATAAAAAAACTGAGGGGGGCAAGTTGCCCCCCCCCCGCTGGATACGCCACTGAGTTGCAGATGATCAGATGGCCACTCCCCGCTGGATACGCCACTGAGTTGCAGATGATCAGATGGCCACTCCCTGCTGGATACGCCTCTGAGTTTCAAATCAGATGGCCACCCCCCTGGATTCGACATTGAGTTTCAGATCAGATGGCCAACCCCCCTGCTGGATACGCCACTGAGTTTCAGATCAGATAGTCAAATTTCTACGAAATTTCCCAAGTAAAAATCCTGTATTCAATGAGCAATCTCAAACAAATTTCGTAACTACGTCCCTCTTTTACCACTTCCAAACTGAAACACAGAAATAATACAAATATACCAGCGATTGAAAAAAAAGGTGTCTTTCAAACATTTCTTTGAACAATATCGGAATCTATAAAAGTTGTTAGTGTCTCGTATTTTAGGGCATGTTTGGTTGTCTTTGATGGAGAGCTACTTGTGAACAACCGCGCAAAGTCCGGCCAAGCAAACCATTATTGAGTGGCATCGAAAAATAGGTCTAATGAATTCGACAAAATTTATAATCGCTCGAGACGAAGCAGTTCGTTTCAACGCTTCTGATAGAGTAGTGGGCTTCAAACCTGTGTTGAATTCCTTTTGTAACATAAACATACTTCAACAGCAGAGCTCTGATAAAGAGTCTGCCGAACTTTTGAAGATAGCAATAGGCCATGGAGAGGTCCTACTGCTTACGCGCTTGCCCATGGATTTGAGCACGATATTTTTGTCGGTCGCGCGACGTTTCAGGAAACATTGGTGTGTGGAATACACTCCACGTTTCCGGATGCTTAGCTTTTTCTTAAGTTGACGAAGAATCATTGGAACATTGTATCTGTGTGACGAACTCCTGTCATTTTATTACCTTGCCTTGTCACAAAATTCGGACTTTGCTCACGCATATGACATTTCACACTCTCCATTGTATGAAGTGTGACAAATCCTGGACTTGATTAACCTGTCTACAATGCTCTACATGGTCACAGAGGAGATAATTCAAATAGACTATACGGGACAAATGGTGGCATACAGTTTTCTTTCAGTAAGTCTAAAGTATAATGACAGTTCCGCTTGGTACTGAAAAATGATTCCAGCTCCTCAAATTAAAACTCCTAATCGCATAAAAAGGTCGCCATGTAATCATGTTGTGAAAAAATATGAATACTTGCTGGATGTACCTCAGCTAGAGATTGGCTTTACATACTAAAAGTAATATGATGTTAGGTTTTTCGGACTGATCTGCCTTGTCACATTAATGTCCTTTATGATCAGGATCGAACTAACTCACCCTATATGCATATTCTTTCACATAACTGTTAACATTTTGTGATAGTTTATCATTTTATGGGTTCACAACGCACTAAGTACGGTAACACGACTCGACCAGGTACATGTATTAGTAAATCCTAATCTTTCATTGTAGCAAGGTGATCGATAAACATGCCAATCACCTTTGTACAATGAAAAACCAACCATTATGCGGATTATGTTCACATAACTACGGCTTAAACAACACAAAGGAGCGAAAAAACGGGGACAGGAACGACTTAATTTTTCTGAGCATAATTCATCTCTGTATACCCGCTACAAAATTTGCCCAATTCGGCTGAATTTAGTGTGAAGTATAGATGCGTACATTCTTATGGCATATACTCAATTTTCAAATTTGTGTCAAAGGTCCTCGTAAATGAATTGCTGGTGTGAAGTACGTGTTTGTGACCAGACAAGCCAGTGCATACTTTACCACCAAAGAAGAAGTTGCAAACAATTTCACTCAAACGTACATGTGTCACTTCAATAGTTTTGGAACGTGAGCGCCTATGATAGCAAACAAACGAACAAGCAAACAAACCTCCAGCAGACTTGCCTGCATGAAAAGCCTTTACTGAAATTTCGTATCAGTGCCTCGTGGGAGGTATCTTGCATGGCGTTTGGTACGCACCTAAATGTTCACGGGTAGAATCGTGCAGGAATGAAATGAATTCAATGGAGAAATTATTCAGAGGTCATGAGGTGAGCACTGGTTCGTTGCTCCTGGGTCTCCTGATACCATCAATCATTCTGCCCAAAACTCTACTCAACGATGTATCACATGCTTGCTCGGCGATTAAAGGTAGCGATGTACTTTTTCGGTGGCGTGACAATGTGAGTTCACAGGTAGGCTTAAAAGCTTGTTACCATAGTGATTGGTTCAAACAAAGTTTAAAAGCGAAGTTAAGAAGATGAAGCGTTGCGTATCAATTCACAAACTCACGAAATACACTGCCAACTCCCAGGAGAGGCTTTTACGGTACTCAAGATCCATGAATATAAAAGGGTCATCAATTTTATAATTCACGAAGATAACCAATTTTTATTCAAAACTTAAACTGAAAATGCAAAGTGTCTGTATAAATAATGAAAACAGGTGAAAAAAAAGAAGAGATAGGTTGTAACACCTGCCATGCTGGCACCGTAAAAACGGTATTTTTTCCGAATGAACTCATTTCCCTGACAAAACTCTAAACATTTGGCCCTGCCATGCCGACCTTACTCTGAAGAGAAGAAAAGGATGAATGACGATGGGCAAGAAGGATTGCGACTTGAGACATTCACTGAAGAGGAAACCCTTCAAGTTGGAGCATGTCCAGTCCGTCAGGCTGCGGACTGTGTAATGATGTCATCTTCTGCCATTAGACCACCATTTTGTATATTTTATCAGCATATTTTATTTCATCAGACATTCATAGTCTGACACTGACCTTGGTCTGAACCTATAAGCTCCCCTTTCAACTGCAATATTTCATGTACTACGATTTTTTTTTGGTAAAGTCGTATTTTTGAATAATAATGTGATCCGTTTGACGTCATATTGTCTTGACCTAAGTCATGCATCCTGTAACCTTTACAAACAGCTGAATCAGTGAACATTGAATTTCTGATGCCTGTATTCACATGCCCCTGGACTGTCACAATCAGTTATGTTTAACGAATGGAGGTGCTTTCTTTTCTCTCTCAAGGCTACGCGAAATTTAATCCAGTCCCCTTAAATTTCTAAAGCTATGCATGTTTAACCCAATTTTCTCATAGTCACGTATGTTTGGCTTTGATAGTCGACATTAAAGCCAAATTCAACAGAAGAGTACCACGCGAGAATCAAAATTAAGGAATCGAAGTCCAGGAAAGAACTTACCGATCGTAGTTGACCTATGATATTTCAACTTAATGTGTATAATAATAGATATTTGATATATCGATGGCACCGATGTGACTTTATTGGGTGAACAGGTGAACAAAGAAAAAGAAAAAGTAGATTGCTACTACTCAGAGAGCCTGAAATATCTTCAAACATTCACGACACAATACTTGATTTGACCCATTGTATTTTAGATGTCAATATTTTACGTCATCGCACATCTCGACGAGGTACATGTATTAACATTAAAATCCTGTAATCTTGCGCAAACAAACACCTTACTTGAGCTGTAACTTCGTTTAGGGAACACAAGAAGATTGTGAAAAACACTCTAAACCGTCAAGTGGCTGGGAGAACATAGAAAGTATTGCGTAAAACATCTCCGAGCGAGACAATTACTAAGCGATACTTAATATGCACGGGATGTAACCTTAGTTTTGAGTCTTACATAGCATTTACAACCAAACTAGTAAAAAATTCGTGAGATATCTACCTTTTGCTGTCCATAAGTGACGAGAAATAAAGTGTTGATTCTTCAATAAAGGATAGACGAATTGGCAAAAAAATCTCTGTCGATTTCATGTCCCCCCTTTCACACCCTTGCGTTAAGGACAGCATCCCTTTATCGCCGGTGACATGTATGCTCCTTGCGTTCCAGTGAAGGAACGCAGAGTTTCATGGGACGCCTGCACCTGCATGCCGTGTTTATTTACGGACTTTTGCCTAATGTGACAACTCCAACGCGACCTGGGGCGGGGCGGGTGAGGCGGATCAAACTATATGGGATCATATCCCAAGTGGTCTGCTCTAATGCTGTCTCGGTTTAGCTTCCTGATAAATGATGGAACACTTTACATTTAAAGTTAACCCTAAACCCAAGGGGGAGTGCAAGAACATACGTCGAGATTTTAGGATTGTGAACAAGTTAACTAATAATGTTTTTGTTTCGTATATAGGAGAACGCAGTGAGGTTCAGGACAACGATGAGGCTAACCTGGCTTTGGAAGACTGTGTCGATTACGACGATTCTGTGCTCCCAAGGAGGAGATTACGGCGCGATTCGGGTTCCCAGCATGCACAACGAAACTCTATCAAGAAATCCCAACAGGTTGCAGTACCCATGGGTACCAGTGATTATCCCAATGCCCCTCACTATCCTCACGAAGACCACGTTGTTGACCATTTAATTGATGATGACACGGGACATCCTAGTAACTTGTACGACATCCAAGAGAGACGGGAAAGTATTTTGAGCATCGAAGCAGTGCAAGAAATCGCACGGAGATTCGCAAACAACGGTCCAGATTCCTCAGACGAAGCGACGAACAAAAAGAACGACGATAATGACTGTGAAGAGCACAAAAACAAAACTCCAAAGAGAGAAACAACACCCGAATATAGGAAGGAACCGCTGACCGCTGAAACACGTGTGTCAAATTGGTTGAAAGGATTACAAGACCCAACAGAGATGACCCCGACTAATCTTGAAAGAATATTACCAGATATCATATGACATTTATTGACCATTATTTTGCAATTGATGCCTAAGGCAAAACAGTTAACAGATGTAAAGACGCATTCTGTTTGCTGAAAAACCACGTGTTGGTATTTTCTTGTTTTGTATGTAGGCCTACAACTGCATTTTGCAGCAAATGAAATGACGATTTTGTAATTTAGTTATTATAAATTGTTAGGAGACGCACTGCTCTCGGTTAAATGACAGCTCTAAAGATGTGGAAATCATGCATACTGTCAATTCATAATAATCGCGACAATCAGTCGATTTGTGATTGACTCTCTGTTGACACACACAGTGTCGTGATCAACTAATTTTGTGGGCGCGATTCCCAGCCGATTTGATGAATAAGAGAACGATCAAGAGTTTACTCTTGGATGGTTCCAGCATGCAGGGGAGCTACTTTAGGCGACGAAATGGAACAGTGACTTCAGACTAAGAAGTTTACCTTGACAGTAAAAAAATTGATGACTGTTAGGCCTATAATTCATGCACGCAATGTCGAAGACGCCACATCATCAAAATAAAAATAATAATTGTCCACTGCAGTTTTGCAGTTCATTTACACGTTGTCACGCTAGAAAAATGTGTTTACTGAGAGATTGGTTCAGTGTTGACAGCACGCTAGTTTTGCAGAGGTACGTAATAAATAGTTTACTTGCCTTCACAGCTGTCTATAATGGAGATTGGGTCTCTGTCAAAGTGACAGTTTTACATGTACTGTGAAATTAAATGAGAATTTTTGAAAACAAATTTCTAACATGCTATGCAAAGCAGTTATTCTCCTACAGTATAAGCGATGCAACCACCGTACATCAACTTACAGAAAAGTTCAGCAGAACCAGCACAAAAAAACGGATGCCTAGAATGCCTTCCAAATCTCACTCACATGGTGGTCGATATGCAAAAGCTTGCACCGAGTCATGAGGTATAGCAACAGTGTCTTCAGCCTGGAAAATTCAAATTGTTAGGTTTGTGTGCAGTCTAATAACTCGATGTGCCAGATTTTATTCAAATTAATCAAAAGACTTATCGCGATGAGCGCATTACATGACATCAAAAGAGGGCGCTATTTGATCTACAACCTTTTCAGAAGGCTTCTGCGAAAGTAGGCCTACATGCTAGTACATCCAGCGACACACCCAGCTTGAAATTATGGAACGTTGCGTTTAGAAAACAATGTACGAAAGTATTGCCAAAGTTTTGAATAATGAAATTGTATCAGGGGGTCTGCATTTAATATAAACCAACAAGCGTTTAGTTGAGGATGACTAAAAAGGAAGTGAAAATGAAGCAGTTTCATTTAAAATTTCGGCAATATGGTTAAAATTCAAATGTGTCATTACTCCTGTGATGTCACGGTACATGTACGTTGATATACAAAAGATGTCAGTGGCCGGATTGAAAATGTGTGCAACGAAATCTAGAAATGTCGAGGAACGTAACTCGTGCCTTAGCAGATTTTAGAGCATTTCTCTCAGGACATGTGCTGGGAAAAAATAACATCTACGTGCAACTTCCTGTTGGGTGCCATAAAGGTCATACAAAATATGCCCAATAGCCTCGAGAAGTCCGCATCTAGAATTCCACCAAGACTGTAAAACTAAGTCACTCAATACCTCCATCTACATGCGCATATTTGCAGGAAAAATATGGAGGTGACAGGCATAGGTCAACACTTCGTGCTCGCTGTGAGTACACCGTGCAGGCTGAAGCGCTGTGCTCAGAATGCATGAGTTAGTTAAACACTGCTCACTGTCATTGTAAATTGACATTTTTTAGAACCACACCAAGTTTTGCATCTATTCCGCCGATAATGAGCTTAACTTACTGTTTCTCAATCCCTACAAGGTTTGCACACCACTAATCGAATATCCCATAGGCCCGTATAAGCAAAACGAATAATTGATGAAAAGTGTTAGCTGTAATCGATTGAGGCGATCTGTGTATGAATGTCGGTGCTTCGCTTCCCACCGATTTCTAAAGAGAAGAAACGGTCAGTTGGTGGATTAAAAGGCTAAGACGGGCCTAATATTGATGGTGTAACCATCATAGCTTGGGGTTATGCCTCTACGCTTTGGAGAAATGTACTGGTTGGTTTCCCCGTTACAAAGGCTAGCTGCACTTCTGTCTCGTTGCAATGACATGCATTTAGATGTCAGTTTGTTCAAGGCTACTCTTTAAATAAACTTAGGGAACTTCAGAATTGTAAGTGGACTGTAAGCATCTTTGAACACCTTGGGAACCCAGCAAGACGAGATTTCGACAAGTTCTGAACGAGAGAACAATTCTTTTGGCAAACATTTGTTTTATCAGCATTTGCTCTTGGGAATATCAAGCCTTCTTTGGTCAATCCAAGCTATAATGCTGTCATTCATTCATGTCTTTGTGATGAGTTAAAACTCCATTGTGTGGAAGCAGTTTTACCTATGACAGGTTTAACAGATCAAAAGTAGACGCCGCTCTTAGGATTTTACAACTGACGGTCAGACGAAAACGAGTCCGGAAGATTTACCTGGAACCTCTCGCCAGGAATTATACTTTATAGAGTGTAAGTAATGACTGTAACCCGATGCCACGAAACACAAATCTAGGCCAGAACTGGACTACTGATTAAATGTTATTACCTCGATAATTTTGAATGAAGTTTAACAGAAATGTTGGAGTAGGGGGCCTACAGGGAACGAGTGTTCAAGAGTCAAATATGCGAGTAGACAGCATTCAGATTTTAATATTCAGTTGATTTTCATCGATGTGCTGGTTGCTAAGAAACGAAAACTTTCATAACAAAGTGACATTGAAAGTAATATTTTTCCTGTTTTGTTGACCTCTGACCTTTGCAAGTTGAAGCAGTACCTGAGGGGGTCAGAAGGTCCTTGTCTTGGTCGCATTGTGTCGTTGCTAATTCATGAAATTTTGCAGATTTCACTCAAGTCCTGACTGGCGGAGCAGCAGTCTGTTATTTCCCGGTGACTGGTTCTTCAAGATCTTATAGTTGTTTAGTACTATTGGATGGTGTTCCTTGGATGAAATAAGAGATTTCCAGCAACGTCTGGAATCACGGCCAAATGCAAAATGGTAAGACCATATACACCTGTACCTACAACCACTAAAATACGAACTTGCTGCGTCACTGTTGAATTGTATATACTGACACTCGAACTTTGCGTTCATCTAAATTACAATATTGAAGAGGTGTTGTAAAACTTTTAAGATAGCGTGCTTATAACTTTTAGGCATAAATGGTCAACCTGTGTGAAGTATGACCTGAAACCTAACCTCACTCCATAGTTGTTTTGATCACTTATTCAGTAGCTTGATGTGTCATGTTACTAAAATGAACACAAACTTCCAATTTTAATTTGGCCCAAGATGCAACAATAAAGATAGAAAAGAGGCTCAGAATGTGGTGCATTTATTGCTCTAAACTTCGTGGACAACGAATGTTTACCTTGCCTATTGACAGTGTAGACTGCTGAACAAATGGAGGGAAACCTTAGAACGGAACTATGACAACAGATCTGCGTCATAAGGATTCCCCTCAGCGGAGAAACATTCCGGTCAATTTGGACAGGTATGGTAATACGACATTGAAGCACACTAAAGACACCAGGCTGATTGAGGATGTCACATGGAGAACATCACGACAGGAGAAGGGTATGTCATCGAACAGGGGAGACATGGCAAATCAACGGTTAAAGTCGGCTTGGAATACGGTACCGGTACCATTACAAGCCGGGGAAAGATCAACCAGATGTATGCGAGGAGGAGGAGACAGGGACATCTCGTGTGACGATGCAGGGAGAGTCGATAGTTCATTTTCCATGGTTCATAAACCGAACATTACTACATTCGAAACAAGATCTGGTGCCACAGACAAGAGCACCTCACCCAGACTACCAGATGGATGCACAAGAATTGCTCTTCCTGCATCCGTCATGACCTACAAGTCTCAGTTGATGACCAAAAGACCAACATTTCTTAAATTAAACGAGAAAGTGTCCGACGCAAGCAGCAGTATCATCTCCACGAAGAGCGCTAGCTCTGGCAGTCGAGCATCTGGTGATTGTCCTTGTGACTTGACAAGCCACATGCGGATCACTTCAAAGCCAAGGGGAGCTGCTCATGTGACAAGTCCAAGAAATTTGACCCAAGGTACACATCACTAGAAAACTAAACTTCAATGATAAAATACATTTAAATTTGACCCATGTTCACTCATTCTGTTTTTCGGACTAGAATCCCGCCTTTCCTCCAACTTCACAAATACATTTAGGTCAGTGGGCACAAGCAGTGTTCTTGTGAACTTGCTCTGTATTTGTATTGTAATTATGAAGATAACTGAACGTACATGAATTTCCTTTAAATTGGGTGTGTTTGTATGCCCAAACTATGTGTTGCCCAAATGTTTCGTAACTTTAGGAAGTTTTGTGTCTATTTCTTCCGCAAGGGCTAAACCTGCCAGCTGTCCGGTCCAGGGCTCAGATACAAGTCAGAAGATCCTCATCAGAACCAGCTATCAATTTTAATTCATCAATCACCTCCCACCTGCCAGCGGACCAACCACCCATACCCGATCAGTGTTTGCCCGGGCAAACTCACCGCAACATACCGTTAGTAAGATCTCTGGAACGACGAGACAGAAGTTGGGCTCGTTTGGAACGGACCAAATCACATCCACAGGTGACAAGCCGGACTATGTATGGAAATCGAAATAGGAAAAAGCAGGAGAAAAGCAGCAATGAACAAGAGATGATGGAAGAAAGGGACGGGAAAGGGGATGATGAGGAGACTAATGAAGACCTTGATAGGAAAGTACTGACATGGTTGGACGGATTAGACAGCGCCACCTGCCGGCGGTTTATGAGAAGACAGATGGCTTCCCTTCAAGAGGTTGATGATCACTGATGGGAAATCTTACTTTAGAGAGCTTACATGATTTAATACTTCACAAGAATTTATTCATTGACTTTTTGAGTATTATCACATAATGAAACGTCTTCAGATATACCGCTATCACGACCGCAATGATCACGCCACATGGAAACATTCAATCGATAGGAATATATAGTGAGCTAATATAATTTCGTTTCAACTCCAAATCTTTACTAAAGTGTGGAAAACTAGTTACGAAGTGGAGCCGTATATGGCATCAACTTGCTGGACCTGCACTTATAGCCAGTCAGAATCTGGTGGGAGTATCCATCACTGCCCTCCGCAACCATGGGAACAAATTTTAGTCATCCACCTTCAACATCCGTTTCCATAATAGTCATTAACATCTGAGAATTACCAGAATTGAATATACATAGGGGAAAACTCGAATATCAATAACTGTGTGTGTTTTATGCTGCTGTTTAAACAATGAGCTGAATGCGTGTAAAATGAACACACACGATGCGACCGTCGGTCAAAAGCGGTCCCTGATGAACGGAGACGGGTTATGATCTAAAACCGAACGCATGACGGAGATTCCTCGCAAAAAATGGTCAGACTAAAATGTTATCCATGGAAAGGGTAGGTTATCAAATAATGAATACAAATTAAATTTAATTGTAACAAAAAAGAATGCAAACCTGTGTTGCCCTTTCTATGTATCTCACTTCCAGTCCTCTAATGCAATATCACTAATCCAGTAAAACCCTTGCGAACTCACAAATGAGCACACATCACATTCCGCAACCTTTCCTTCTAGCAAGTTATTAACCTGATCAAATATTAACTGATATACAGATTGCAATAGCATACAACCGATAACATGGTTGCTTTCAGTTGCTCTGAACAGTGAAGTTTTAAACAAAGTCTATAACAGTGCGTATGAGTCTACATTCTCTGTCCTGGAAGGAAAGACACACTGACTAGAGTCACAGAAGATCGGTAAATCTGGGGCTTCTGAATGGATTCAGTTGCTGAATTGAAATTAAAATGTATTGGGGACAAAATTATATAGTTGAGTTCTCTGCTGAGTACTGGGCGATACTATTAACTAAATGACAATCGTTTTGAAACAAACCGTCATGAGGTTTATCAATGGGAAAACAAAAGGCTCCCAACTGACTAAGGTCATCCGGTCACCATGTATGCTCAACACGAGTATCGTTGTCAAGGTAACGATATACAGAAAGTTCAGCATATCGACCTCTCCATGAGCCTCGTGTCATGACGACTGTGTTGCAGACGGGCATTTGAGGCAACAAGATCGCCTTACCAAACGCTAAACCAGGCAGTTTACAACAGACTACCATGCACAGGCGACACCCATGCACCTCCCGCTGGATCTCATCAGTCCAAAATGCTCAACAATTGTCGGTTAGAACATGGAGGAAGGAACTATAAAAGGATTGTTAACACGTAGGAGTGCACTTTTCGCACTACTGGACGTCATGGACTTGTAGGAGGAAATACGATCGAGAAAACTCGCCCCGAATCTCTCTACTGTGTTTTTATTTCTCCATGATTTGACAAAGGGTATATTGGCCAACTGATCAACCAGCGGTGTACCTCCTGAGGTGTGTCATTATAACTCACTGGAATGCAGTTTTATATTTTGTTCATCAGAGCGTAAGCTCTACCTTTACCCTGAGGGGGTTTAGCTTTTCGTTCGGTTTCAGGGAGTCAGAGATGGGTGGTTGTATTGCAGTACTGTGGGGGAGCAGCGAGTAGCTGTCCTTGATCATTGGACAAAGACGAAACCACCTGCAACAGGCTGTAATACTAATGGATAAATCAGTGCCGACTGCAGGCAATACAGTGGCTACGGATTCTACCAAACCGATGGCAACCTATATGCCGTCTCTCGGTTCGCCAGCTCCCCTCTTCATTAAGAGCAGCGCAGTGTTTGATTACGCTATGTCTTATCACGGGAACAAATTACCACGAGTTTCCCCCACCAATCCACCGGTAACACCGTGGGATGATACGGATGATGAAAGGGGTCTGAGCCCCGCTAGAAGCCCGGTAAATATGTTGCTGGCAACTGACTTGACCGAGGTTGTCAATGGACGAGCAAGTGGTGCTCATTCCACAGCACGCTGGCCCTACTTAAAACAGCAAGCTGCACGGCATGTATATGGAAACCTCCGATCAAGGCTTCAAAATCGAGATCTAGTCTCTCCACCAGCCGTCAGTATGACTTATTCCTCAGGAGAGGAATTTATAAACTCAATGGACGGAATACAGGTACAAACGTTTGGCATCAAGCCCAAATCTGATCCTGGTCCCGCAGAAGAAGCAAGAAACTTACGCCCTCAATCGCCGAAAGATGTAAAACAGTTCGAAAAGAAGAAAAACTATCGAATTTCCTTCAAATTATCGAACAATGATCAACGAAGCTGTGTATCGGCTCCTCCACCAACAGCAGAATCTACCGTCTCTAAACGGAACTCTAGCGAGGGATCCCAAACCAAACCACAACATTCCCGTCGTTCTAAAACAGCCCGTGAGCACTACCGACCCAAAAAAGATCCTTTGGTCAAGTTTGACTCAATGGAACTACCAAAAAGTCTCTGGCAGAATCACCGGCTCCCTTCTTCCTCTTCCTTAGCCCCTCCTCATGTCACTTGGACCGATGTCATAGCTGCTAAATCAGATGGGGTGTACCGTGACTCTTTCGATGGACTTAGTGGGCCAACGCGTCAAAGAAACGGGTCGAAAGTAAAGCTGTATCTATCCTCAGAACTATGGGGAATTCTTGATGAAGATATCGGTGCTATTAAGACAGTAGCAAGTAATAGCTGACTGGCACTTACTCGATGTTGTTTCTACAAAAATCGGGAAGGAGGTAGTGTTCTGTTGGCCTACTCTCCCCCTCGTTCTCACGCTCTGGACTGGCGTAAGTCGACGACTTACCCATTTTGCTTGTGCAGGGTGATGACTAGACTGTGTCTACATTTTTTATAATAGGTTGAGCCATTAAATCTATAATTATTTATGCTTACATATACTTCCTTTACAAATACAGTAACTATATTCAGTACTGTAATCGCAGTTGTCTTGTAAGTAACGCTGCATGCCTTAGTGTTTTTAATGGATCAACATCTAAGTGATAATATATATTGTCATGCTGCCTACAGTTCTACATGTATTGAATCTGTTAGCGAATACATGCATTTTTATATGTAATTTTAAGGGAATGTTATTATTGCTCTCAGAGGCATAATATATGTCAAATAAACTTATGCTCTGATTTTAGTTTGTACTGACACTTTTAAAATCTTGCTCAAGCAGTAAATGATACCAGGCGTTTGTTTTGAGATAACCAGAGGGGATATTTCTGCGAAATAATTATTGCTACATCCATGTATCGGCAAGATATGTGGTAATTAATCCATGAATACTGATGTTCTTTCATACTTTAGATGCACTGTACAGGCAAGCGTGTAATAACACTACGTGCTGAAAGAGCAAGACAAACATTCTCGAGTGGTAAAATTCCAAAGTTCATTATGTTATATTACAACCCGGCTTGATGATGGTATTTATAAAATGTAATTGTCAAAAAACTGTACTTTACACGACGGGCTTGTTCAATTACTGTTTGTTGCCTTGGATGAGGGCGCCATAGCAGTGGCGCGTGAGCGATGTCACGGTTCATGTACACCACACACGGGAAATTAATCTTATTGACTCCAGCAAATACCCCTGTAATCTTTCTCATTTGGCTCATACCTCAATTCTTATAATTAAAGACTTGGCTTGACATTATAAAAGTATTTCATTATCAGCGCGTTTGGTACAAAGGAGAAACTTTACTTGAAAGACCCTACTTTAATACGCCGTCCCTTGCTGTTCTTAGCTCCGCCCCCATGATGGAAACCGGTTGTGTTATCAGTGTACAATATCATTTTCTGATCCTCAGCGTTATAGATTTCGCAAAGTTCAAAGATTAATTTGTTTAAACTGTTGCGTTGTGCACAATAAAAGATGATTAATAATATTCAATTCTTTTTTGTCAACCTTGAATAAATGATTCGACTTGACGTGTCTGATATGGATTACATTAACTTTTGCCTTGAAACGGTACAAAGAAATAAGTGTGTCAATATTCGTAGTTTATAAAAACCTGTTTTAAAATGAACGGGACTAACAGCGTGGTTTATCTCGCCAAGATTCCTACTAGTGCTTAAGTTCATATGTTTCTTATAGAACAATGTCAGTGTCCGGCTTTACTGATTAGTTTTGACGACTTTAACTTATGTCATATGAGCAATAAGTGCAGAGAACATAACAGCTGATTCAATAAGCTATACATGGACTGCTATTTCGTTCAAAGCTCTTTTGGGTTGTGTAATTTTTGCGTCATTGTAAGTTTTGTTTGACGTTCTCATCAAACTGGCGATATCGTTTAAGTTATCGAGCATTTTGAACTGGTGAAGTTCGAACATCGTTATTAATTTAAAAGGGCTGATTCCAAAGCCGACTTGACAGACTTTTACAGTCATCGTCTTCTAGATGTGGATGGAATAATGACTCTTATGGACGTAGGATCTGCACCGGTTGCAAGGATGTTCATCCTATCACTTGTTTAGCTGTTGTTTCCATCAAACCGTCGACACAGAGTTCCGAACCATCGTGTCAATGGAGAAATTCCTGCTATCGCCTCACGGTTGATGAGTGTTCATTCGATGAGAGTCGGACAGCTTGCGTGCACATGGGAGGTAAAATGGTAGCAGCTCCTAAATCAGTCGAAGAAAATGTGTTCGTCACAAGCATGGCAAGCAACACGGGACTGTCTAGGGTCTGGAGCGCCTGTAACGACAGGGAGACAGAAGGCACATGGAACTGTAAGCCGACGGAATCAACATACATGATTTGGTTACCAGTCGAACCGAATAATGCTGGGGAAGAAGACTGTGTGACTATAATCTCACACTCCGCCAAATGGAATGACGTATGATGCAGTACTACTATCTGTGCACTTTGTCGTCAGAAAAGCCGTAAAGTACTGTACAGGCATATTCAGTAACCAAGGTAACAAGAAATAACGATATGTCAAATGTCTTCGATGCGTCGGATTTTTGGTCAAGTTCTCCGCAATAGGCGATTAAGTCAGCGATCATGTCAACCCACAGATGCGATTTGGCACAGTTTTCTTAGGTGCCCTGACATCTATGAGAAGTTATACTAAACATGTCTGTTACTTCCCTTGTCAACATGTGACTTAACAACCAATTATGCTACCTGGAAACCAATATGCGGCCGGAGTAGGAATTCACTTGACTTAATAAATTTCTCCTATACCCCGTATCTCAAGCAAATACATGTATCGGCCAACGTTCACTGCATTTACTGGAGCAATAGAGAACACTCGTGGTACCAAAACAACAGCATCACTTTCGAAACACAACTTTGTCACTGACGTTTTGTGAACTACTTGTGTTCAAATTCAGCCAATCTGTGCACAGAAGTTCAGTGGATGTTACAAGAGAACGAAGCATATTATATTATTTCACAGTGATCAATAGAGGGATTTCACATTAGCGCCGTCTGCGCATGTCTGCATCGAAACCGAGGCTCTGTGTTGAATTTTTCGCGCGCGCTCGCGGAGTCCACACAGTACATGGAGTATCCGGTTCGTAAGTGTGACGGCACTTCAGTTTAAACCCCGCCCACTGCACAAGATACACGACCATCGCAGGTACATTAGTTCGCGGTCAATTGTCGTTATTTTTTCTTTTGATTTTACGTGTTGAGTCATCCTGAAAGACTCTTCCACAAAAATTTGCAGCCTGAAAAGTCTTAATTTAACATACCTTTATATATTTTGTTTCTTGACTCCTTACTTTGAATTGTCTGATCGTATCTGATTGTCTGAACCTGACACAGCCTCGTTTTCAAACGGGGAAGTGCGAAGATAGACGCTAAAGGCGTCGTATTGGGATCCTTCCATCTCAATCATGTGTATCTCAAGGAAATTTAGTCGGTAATCTGGTTAGTATGTGACCTCGTCATACACGCGCACACGCTACTACTGATTGCAAGCTTCCATTGGATGAGCATCCAAGATGGGCGTTAACTTCTGTTCCATGGTTCCATGCAACTCTATGTGCAGTGGGCGTGGTTTAAACTGAAGTGTCGTCACACTTGAGAAACGGATAGTTTGAAATGATAGTAACGATAACATTTACCGTAGGATTACTGGATTATAAATAAAGTTATTCAGAAATGTTTCGATTTTTTGTAGCAGGCTCGATTATATTAACGAGCCAGATTGAGCGTATCTGATTTTTTACGTCTTTTTCTGCAGCTTTAAAAACTTAAAAAACAGACGAGTGTCAGTAGTGCACGTACATGCAAGTCTTTGTTCAAGACGTCAGGGGGCATTGTGGACATTGCCAGTCATGTGTCATCGCAGTGTTATTATTGTTATGCAATCTCGTCAAACACCCAAGCTCTCTTATCAGTCGTCTGAGGGCGCTCACAAGAAGTTGGTAACCAGTCGACTGATATGAAGAAGTTTAACCAGTCTTCATGTTACATAGAAACAAATCCGACACACATTATTGAAAACGTTGAAGGGATTCTTTTCGCTTTTAATGTCGTATCAGCACACCAAATATGTAAAGTTTAACTAGTATGTAAAGCTGCAGTAATTTAAGTGGAATTAGTAATTTGTAGATGTTACTTTTCTCTTTCAGATTCAGCTATTTCAATAACATTCTAATGGTACAAGTTACACTTTGTTATTTTTAAGTCATAATAAGAAACCGGCGGTGCACAAAACCATTTTGCTCACGTTTCTGTCTTGAATCGAAGATGTTCGCAGCACGTTTCTATCTCAATATAATTGCGTTTCAGAAACAGAAATCTTCCTAAATCTACACTCACTTCGCCCAAGAGTTTATTTTCAGGTTATTTAATGACAAAGCTGACCCATTACAGAGCAAGAATGGGAATGCGGCTCCACGGTGGCTATTCTAATTTCTATCTAACACACTTGAGCGAACGCAAGACTCGATTTTGAATTAACCACAGAAAATTGATCCGTTCAGGGCTGGTCCTGAATTGTGTCAGCAACAAACACTTTAGAAAAGCTCTTTTTAAACGGAAACCCACACTGTCCGAAAGAAGGTTAACCTATTGAGCAACTACCCCACTTTGTTTTTTTGTTTCATCTTCGACCTTCCATGCGCGAACAGCACGTTCCAAGTTGTGTTGTTATACCCCTTGTATGACCCTTGCACCCCCACTGAAAGTTTTGAATAGAACCACGCATCCATCCCTGCCTCTCAGCACATACAGTCTTTTAACATTTGGTGAATATGCCTTAATGACAACATTCAGTATCTGAATTGTGCCGCCTTGTAAGTTAAATTCTTGAACAATTTATCCTGCAGGAATTGTGACTTGCAGTTTATCGTCATTCATATTTTACAGAGGCTATGGCAGAATATTGGATGTCACTCTGATTAAGCAATCAGCCTTGTCATCGACAAAATAAAAACATTGAAGTCAGTTTCACTAAAGGGTACGTCCTTTTATCACGGCTGACTGATTCTGTTTTGAATCGCTGATTAGCATTGATTGGAGTCACTGACCGTTGGAATACAAGGTGATCTATCGATTCCAACACCGAGTTTATGTAAGGAACTCTTTCCCAGACTTGAGTAGAATGGACTTGGTCAGTCAATTTCATTTCTCTCCCTTGGCATGAGCAAGTTTATTCCATAACCCAGACACATGTGTGACATTAAACCCCAGAGGTAACTCCAGCCACGGCTATGCTTATACAGCTCCTTCAAGTTTACTAACCGGAGTTTGATTGGCATCACTGAGAAGAAAGCATACGTTCATCAGGTGTATCTTACACCCACCTGCATCACAATAGATATTAAGACCCCAAGCTTTGCACGTAACGACTTCAGACATCTGAGACCATCGTTGCAATGGAGAGGTGGCAGAAAGGAGCAAAATACCCAGCTTTGAAGGAGGGTCACGAGGAACTAAACCAACAAAACTCCCCGAGTTCTGATTTGTCTGTATCATCTTCACCCAGCAGAAATTGGTCTCATAGCACCAACTCAGACGCCTCGGTGTCGTCCTGGTCTGTCCGTCTACCACTAATAAACGCGAAACCAGTGACCGTGAAAATGGATGACATATCGGGTGCAGCGATCTGTTTCCCCCACCAACTGTCGGCCCCGGAGATGGAAATCAGAAGCTACGGTCAGTTGACGACTCGACCTAATCACGACATGGCGGAGCGACTTCAAACAGAACAGGAACTGTCATTAGAGAAGGGCGTTGAAAAAGGCCAAATCTGTACTGGGAAGGGGTTGGAATTAACAGAGCAGGCCCTGTGCAACTCCACAGTGAGCAATGCCGATGTTGATGAAACAGTCTTGAGGAGAACGGAGATGTATCGCCATCGAGGAAGACGATATTCACTTCCTCTCTCAAACCCTCTAAGAAATAAACCTCATCAGAGCAGTCAAGCAGCTTGGTTTGAGAAACCTGCCACTGAATATGACCAACAAACATCGAAGGCTTCCATGGACAAATCAAAAAGTAAACTATCCCTTGCTGAATCCGATGAAAGTGAACATTTAGCGAGTCGATTGGAACATTATAAACGTCTTGGAAGGCGAAACTCTCTGCCTCATCAGCCAAACCTATTTGACGAAGGAAGGAAACTTTTAAGTGAAGGTGTAGAAGAGAGAGAATCTCAAAACAGAGGCAGTTCTCTTGGATCATCTTTGCTTGGGAAGAGTAAACTACCGGCACACTGTACCGAGAATATGACTAACTTGACCTCGTTGAACGAAGACCCGGAGGAGCCGGCCAGGCGTATTCAGCGATACATTCATCGGGGTAGGCGCTTCTCTCTTCCGCCGGTAAATATTGATACAAACAAAAACCCTAAGAATACGAATACGGACAACGCTACAAAGACCAAACCAAACAGACCGCCGACGCCTGCTGCCAGTAGAATAAACTGGAAATGCGTTGGTTGGCATAACAACAGAATCTTATCCAAATCTACGGAATGTTTAGCACATACATGTACACAACCTGTCCCTGAAGCTGGTACTCTGCAGACGGCTGGCAAGGATAAGTCGAGTCAACCTAGGGCCGACAACCAATTCCAATTCGACAAATACATCTCTGATAGCCCTGAAGTCAAGAGAAGTGCCTTTGGCTCAACTGGAGTTACTTGGGAAACAGTACCGACTCATAAGACCTTCTCCTTCGTGTATAATGATGAGAATAATAAAAGTGAAATGGTCTCGCCTCCTTTGGTTGGAGGAGTCGTCTTAAAGTCAGTGCATGTTGACCGTCAGCCCGCAGAGTCGGTAAGCATCCAATCCGAGCAGTTAACCTCCGATGTGTACGTTAACATTGACAATAACAACACAGTAAGTCCTCATGCAAAGACTTCCAGCTCAACTGGGAAGGCAATACCTCCTACAGAACAGATTCTCAAAGGTTCATGGAGAAGGGAAGACGAACAGGAGAAAACCATTCGCATCTTGAAATGGATCCTTGACGAGCAAGCACAGAGGACAATTGGAATTGAAGCTCAAAACCTGAACTGAATAGAGCAAATCAATTTGTTTTCAAATACATGTACCTCTCTCGAAATAAAAAATCCTCTGCTGTCACTAGTGCTTAACACACACACACACACACACACACAAATCCTTTCCCTCTCTTCAATGTTTCGCACATTTTTAGATTCCAATTCCCATAGTTCATAGAGCAATTGTACGATCAATAGCAAGTAACAAAAATACACACATATTACCACGCATACTCATCATTTCCAAGCCGACCGTTTCACTCCCTTTATTCAAGTTGGATGATGATAGTCTCGTTGCTTGTCTTTTTTTATTGTTCCATTCACTTCGCCTACTGTTATTCGATATCTAGGATCTTATATCAAACGTTTACTCAAATAAGGTCGCTGTCCTGATCATCGTGAACATGATAGCATGTGTAAGATTATAATATGCTGACTGAAGTATAAATTCTGTGTTCTGCTTTTGTGGTGGTTTGATACCTATTTCCTCTCTCAGTCAATACAGCTTGGTTTGTGATATTTAATGTGTATATTATCATGTGGCTAAAATTCCAAGTTTCTTATTGGAATAATCTTCAATAATCTACAATAATGAACAAAAAAAAACTGATTGCATTGTAAACTTTAACGGATCTTATTTCTTCCAGGCTCCGTGTACCGTCTCAAAGAGAAGTGCAGGCTGCGGCCGAACTTAAAATAGCAAAACAGATCTCTTTACCGGTTGCCAGTAATTAATGATTGAAACCGCAGTTCTTAAGATTAACAGTCTTGAAGCTTTGCATGCAAGCCTGTGAATTTAACATCTGCAAAGTTGTTAAGACTGATCCAACAAGAGTTACGAATTAAACACCAGATAACGATGTCTTCCAAATTTCATTTGTATTTGAGGTTTTGTAGAGAAATTGTGGACTTGCTTGCATGATAACTTCAAGGAATATAAGAAGAAAAGAGTTTTAGATCAAAAGGCGTGGCCGTGATTAGAACTGAACCCTGGGCTTAATACGGTTCTCTGACAAAATAAAGCTTATAGTCTCTTTAGTCTTAAGAAGGATGAAAATATTGTATTTGTGCAAGTACACTCATGCACGATAAATTTACAATTCAGTGAGGAGCAATTTTTACCACCGATTTGAATTTCTTGGGAAAACTGTTTTTCAATATGGGAAACTGCATGTATAATTATGTTTTGTTGTATATTTGTAAGCATCAACCGGCTACTTGTACATTTTCATAAACGATTTTAAACGGAACTTTTATTTTTTCACAATCGTGTGAGTAATGGATTTGTCTTTAAAATGTCAAAATTTCAATGAGATTTACACGTGTCTTTGCCTTACTTTACACACCGAAGCAAGCTTGGTCGAACATGATTTATCATTCATCCTGTATTCATGATTGGCATCTGTTCGCACGCAGTTGTTGCTGGCATCAGGTTCGTCTATGTGATACCACCGATTGAAAGACGAATTCGATCCGTCGGTCCACACGAAATTTGACGTTTCCAGCCTGTCATTGAGACCCAGCCAGATACCGGATTCTTTCACAGATGCTTCTCGAGCGAGATTCACGATGAAATCATATTCCTCCGCGTTTACTACAGAAGCTAGATGACATTGCCTCACACCCCTTGAATAAGTGAGGCAATGGTCCTCGGCAGACTGATATGCCTTCGGCTCCAATACCACGAGATAACAGTGTTGATAGTAAGCTACCCACGGAGGGTGGCATGGGCAGTAGCCATCGCTGATCTTGACGCTTCTTCCTAAGATTAGAAAGATGGCTATGGCTGTAAATACAGACGTCTTCATCGTCAGTGCTGTTTGAAAATGTCTCTCAAATCCAGACTCTTATTACTTGATGACGTCTGAAGTTTGAAACGGCAAGAAAAATACATTAAATTCCGTCAAAGTTAGTATTGAAGGATCACTTTTTTCTTCTCAAATTACCCAAATGCGATTCGTCAGTTTACGCTCAGTCTGTAGAACCAGGCAATACAGCATAACAGGACGTCGATCAAAATCTGAACGCGTCCGCAAGGAAACTGCCCTTCCTGATTACTCGAAATTGTGAAGCAAAGCGGAGAAAACGTTGGGAATTATATCAGGTGCATAGTGATGAATAATGTAAAATGCATCGACCCTGCTGGGCCCTGTTAACCTGTTACCATGGAATCGGATCTCGAATCAATGACTGAATAATTGAGAAACCAGTTAAGAACACAGAGAGCGAATATGCCTTACAGGATGGTATTTTGTTGTCCTTGATATGATGATGCTGTGCTTGTTCGCTAAATAATACGTGACACAGGTTGTGGCATTTTAGTTATTGACAGGTATCTTTCATTTCTGTTAGAAGTCACAGGCATGAGGTGGCCTCCCTCGAACCCCCTTCACCATTAGTCAGCTCAAATATTGCTGATCTGCATCAACCCACATAACATGTATCTAGGAAACTGCAGCATGTCATCTTCCTTTCCTAGCAAAATGTCCACACCTTCATGATTTCGACGTCATATATCCATTATAAGTATGTCATCTAGCAACATCTGTATTGTTCTGAGTAACCTTTGTATCCAACGTACTTCATATTAAACCGTGGTGGGCCGTGCCACTGAACTTTGGAATGTATGTGTATAAGTTTTATTCCATAAACATTTTTCGTCTGGTAACACCCATCCATTCATACAGAACTAAAGTGAACAAAATGGCTTCCAAAATTTGTGTTGTCTTGTGCTTTGCTTATTTCTGTGCCAGCTTTGCACAGGGTGAGTACATATATAAAGTACGTAGTTACTTTTTGACAGCAGATTGTAGGAAAAGAACCGACAAGGACTTACTTCATTGGCAGCACAGTTAGATATTGTTGTGTCCTAAACCAAACTTTTTGCAACGATTTGCAATCGTGTTCAATATACACGGACTTGTGTGTGCTGTTTTATCATGATCGTGTTCAATAATTAAACAAGTACACGGACTGGTATATGCTGTTCTATGATGGTCTGTTCAACCATGGGTTGTAGCTCTATGGTTCAACATACACGGACTGGTGTATGCTGTTCTATGATGGTCTGTTCAATATACACGGACTGGTGTATGTTGTTTTATGATGGTCTGTTCAATATACACGGACTGGTGTATGCTGTTCTATGATGGTCTGTTCAATATACACGGACTGGTGTATGCTGTTCTATGATGGTCTGTTCAATATACACGGACTGGTGTATGCTGTTCTATGATGGTCTGTTCAATATACACGGACTGGTGTCTGCTGTTCTATGATGGTCTGTTCAATATACACGGACTGGTGTCTGCTGTTCTATGATGGTCTGTTCAATATACACGGACCGGTGTATGTTGTTCTATGATGGTGTTGACACTTCTGCTGCATTTTATTGGTCTTTGCCTTCCAGAAGCATGTTTTATGTAAAATGTTCAGTTACGTTCTTGCAAGGATTACGTAGCGGCTTTCTGTCCCTATACACTGCTACAGAGTGTGAGCCCAATAGGCACTTTTGTCGTTGTGCATCCATTTAAATAATTATGGTGTACACGTGTTGTTTAGTGCTGTTTTGGGGCTACTCTCCCAGGTACATTGTTACCAGCTCTATAAAATGACGCATGTCTAATCCATAATACCATGGGCCTACTTACTCCAACAAAATTGTACACACTAATCACGTGCCCTTTGTCGCACGTATCAATTTACATTTGTGTGACCTATGCGCAATGGTTGACAAATTTTAGAGCGTTTTTCAATTTTCCACGACCTTTGTTAACTAAGCTTTACAAAGATTGCCGTCATTCTATCGCTTTGACTTGTCTAGACGGTAAGGGCAAGTTCGACCAAGGACCACTAGTTAATTAGTGGTTATTCGTGACGTACCTAGCGCATGTGCAGTGAAGTTAAAGTGCGCCGGCGAACGACCCTAGTCAACCGTTATCATGTTAGGCCGAAGGGGAGAAACGGTAGCCGCAGGAAAGGCAAAATAGCAAAATTAAAAGTGGAAAATGTCATATACAAGTGAAATGCTGTTTTTTCCCCGGCATTTTTCTTATAACTGGTACTCTCTGCACTGTGCTATTAAAAATGGTTTCTGGCAACCAACGACGCAACCATCCTCGGAAGGCTGGTCGCGAATGGTTGACTAGAAAAGTCCGGTTATCGTCAACTAACGTGTGTTCGATTAAATGATAGTCGAACTGTGATTAACTACAGTCCTTAATCGAATTGAACTTGCCGTAAGTTATTCTTTAGCGGATTCGGAAGAGAGGATACGCAGCCGCAATATGCGCTTCTTTTTTCTTATTTCGATTTTCTGCTCTCAATCGCTTATTACACACATTGTACACAGAGATCTTGGGTTTCCGTTCCATTTTGGCGGCCATGTCTTCTTTTTGAAGTGCTGAGGGTCTATGCGGAGTTCATCTCTGATAATTTTGTGCACGTGTGTACACATCGTGAATGGTGTGCCTGTGTGAATTTGGCCGTATAGACTTGTATTGCATTTGGATAGCAAAATTGGAAAATTGGCTTCCCGGTCCACTGCAAGTTGAATCTTTTCTGACAAATCTAAAGAGTAGTAGGTACCGGTATGTATCAATATAAACCAATTTTGTCCGTCGATTCCCGTTCGACCTCTCATCAATCGGAAGAATTAATCACACTTTTTCTTCGATTGAACTTTCTTGGAAACGTGTCGCACATTCAGTCCTTCCCAATGATTTTGTGATTGACACTCTTTATGTGATTTTTTTCTCTTTTTGTTTTTCTGCTGAAGCTGGGGCGTATAACTGCCCAAATGTGTACGACGACAATGGTTCCCTGCGTCAGGGTGGTTTCGATTGTCCACAGTACAGCTTGAGTGATTCTAGTGGCATTTACTGCTGTGACTCTGGAAAGACGAATCAGAAATGTTGCGATTACAGTGCGTACTCTGGGTATGACTATTATTATCAACTGAGGTAAATACAAATTATTTTTATCTGAGGTATAACTCTCACGCCCCCTCATAGACATTTGTAGAAGTGAAATCTCTTTGCAGTAAATAAACATGCACTTGTAATATCCAAATTCCTTTTGGCCAGACATTTCTGACAAATGAATGTGTGTTACTAATATCATGGTGAGAGGAAGTATCATTTTACAAGCTGATGATTTTTTTTTAATTAGTGGACTGTTAATACTCATTGAAGCAAAATCAACTTCGCAACTGCATCGCGCAAACCGCGAAGGTGCCCGTCGGTCAGCACCCTGTCATGACGCCAATAAGTTTACAGCGCCCGGTTGGATTGGCCTCCAGCTCCAAGTTTAGTTTTCCCTAGCATTTGTTTCAAACCACTTTGATTAATTCCGAGACCTTCACTCTTGACTTGACAGCGTTGGGGCTATCGTTGGTATAGCTATCGGTTCCTTGGTGTTCATTGCTGTAGTCATCGCTAGCATTGTTGCCTGCTGCGTTTGCTGTGTCAAAGCGGCTGCTAGTCCTACCCCTCAGCCAGTCACTATGCACAGTAAGTCCTATCATTTAGATTAGGGTAGGGCTCCAGACATACCTCTTATGGAAAATATTCCAAGGGATTCCGAATCCTTATGATTCAAATATCGGCCAATAACAACGACAAAAGATAATATATTTATAAACTGTTTTAGTTCTTATATAAGCTCATTTTATTCGTTCATTTCTAAAACGCTACAGTGCTCTGCAACAATTTCTGCTCTTGATGAACATCTATCACTGTTTTCGAGCCTCATATATACGTCCTTGGTCTTCAACAAGCTACAGATTGATTGTCATAACGCTTTATTTCAGCTGTCGCCGTACCTCAGCAACCTGCTGGGGTAAGCATCCAACAACAAGCTCCACCTGCTTACTACTCTCCATCCGCTCAGTCCGTGCCGCAGTCTTATCCCGCCCAACAATTCCAACCAGCCCAACAATTCCAACCAGCCCAGCCACCGCCCATACCTGGGCAGAACCCAGCATTTGGAAAGGATTCGTATCCGTACAGTCAGTGAAATATGCAAGAAGTGTATCAAGACTTTGGAACAGAGCGGAGGTTCTGCCTGGAAATAAAATAGCACTCATCAACAAAGAGAGGCTAGTGTGTAAATTACATTCTCGAGCGTAATTCTTTGGGGAATCCAGTCTGGATAAATTAATGCTTATGAAAATAGAGGTTTGCAATCAAGCATGGAACATTTCATATGTAGTACTCACAAAATTCCCCTAAGTATTGCTTTGGTTTCACCTTGTATCTTTGGGCTAATATTTACATCAGCTTGGCTGCTTTTTAGTCCTGTGTGGAAATAAATATTAGTTGCAATGCTATCATTATATCGGTTATAATTTACAGCAAAGCTTGTCCGAATGAGAAATTCGTGTATTGTTATTTTTGTGTACAGTTGAGTATGGTCGTGAATTTTTAACTAAAACAGCACAGCACTATTTGAAGTTGGATTAATTATGAAATAACTAATAACGCATTTGCGAATTAAAAGCTCCTGAAAAATGCTTAATATTCATCTGATTTTAGTAGTATGAATATAGAATTTCGTAGCTTTTGAAGTGCAAATGATTGTTTCAGAAATAGTGATGTATAAAAACGTGATAATGAAATATTTAAACATTGTTACAAACACAAAAAAGATTAGGAAAACATCGTTCTCATTGGTTTTTTTTCTGTCAGGTATGTCAGTTACATGAAACTACACTGAAACTTTTCTTTCTGAAATAAGAAATTTTTTTACAGCTTTTGATTGGCGAAAATCGTAAATAAGGTGAAACTTATTAAAGACTCTTTTTTTGAAGGAAAAAGGTGTATTATGTTAACTTGTTGTTTTTAGTTACCGTGCAAATATATTTTAAAACAGCGAGATATGCCTTACTTTGTACTTTGGTTTTCTCAACTCAGAGGGAGTTATTATATTAAAGACAGGGCGGGTGCTGAGGGCGGAAAATACGCTCAAACAAGGAAAAGATGACTAATATGGGGAAAAAGTATTTAAAAGTTTCAAGTGAGTGCATATACCCACTCACAGTTTAGAGTGACAACGCCGCCAACGTCCCGAAGCAATCTCACCACTTGGTGGCGCCATTGCATTCCTGAAAATCTGACGGCGCCGGCGCGGCCGGCATCTGGTAGTCTTGGCGCCTGCATTTTTGGTAAGCCTAGCTGTTTCTGCCCATGTTCTGCCACAACAGTATGTTTGAGGTTTTCCTGTCATGTTTCATCAAAGCTTCGAGTAAATAATCGGGTAGGTCCAGAGTAAAGGAAGTTAAAATGATGTGATATCTTTGAAAAAGACAAAAAAAATGAAAGACAGAAAATTTGAAATAGGCTTAGCAGATGACGACGTGCATGATGCTGTGTGAACAGGTGACTGAAGGCTGCTTCTAGAACTCGAAGTCACAAACCCTGTGATACTCCCTGTGCCTTCGAGGCAAGGTTTACTTGGCGTCATAACGCTATGGGGTTTTGGAATCGAATTTTTGTGGTGAAATGGTTTGCAGCTGTAAAAAAGCTAGGTCTATTGAACCAAATTTTTCCCTGTTGTCAGCAAATCTGCTTGATAGGCCAACCTTAGTGCCTGCCAAGAAGGGGATAATACTAGTTTCAGAGCATGAGACGGAAAATGTAACCAGAATCTAAGTTATTTACATCACCATGACAGGCACGAGTGTCGCACTTTGTCATGAATGTGCAAGAGGCTAACCTGACATATTTCTCTGTTCGTATTCCAGCATTTGGTCAGCTTTATGTTTCACAGTGCCGTTATTAAATCGACAACTTCATTAGCTACATAGCCTGCATTGGCCAGAAAAACATTTACCACATCAAACCATCAAAAGGAGCATGACGCTACTCTTGACCTGACAACAAGCCAAGTTATTTCTGGAATTACCCATTTGCTAACATTACTAAAACCTAACGAGCATGTACAGGTTAGTCAAAGAAAACGACAACTAGCAAGTTGTGGACCAGATTATATCCGGAAAACTGCAGCTGTGTACACGTAGGAATGTTAATTTGACTTCATTCTGAAGAGTAGATGCCCAGTTGTTTTTAGAAATTTTGATCCTACCATCATGCCAGAAGGTAAAGGAGCATTGCGGGAAGTTTTGCCTAAGCAGGGACTAGTGTATCAGGAGGAGCAACCCACTGTTGTCCTCTGTAAGCCCAAGCTGTTGCCTCTCAAGTCTGTTACTTTGGAGAAGCTGGAGAAGATGCAGAAAGAGGCAGAAGAGAAAGTGAAGGAGCAGGAAGCGGCAGCTCAGGAAGAAGGGATTGCAGATGATCGACAGTGATGAAGATGAATAGAGTAGGGATGAAGTGTAGTATTCAGATTCATGCACTGGCTAGAGAACAGACGTCCTTGATGAGTGTCAAAGACCACCAGCAGCAACATCTGTCATAAGCCTTGTATACTGTAGTTATGTCAGAACTTCCTTTGTTTCCGACTTTTCAGTTGTTTGGATGCCACATAAAAGTTCAGCTCTACTATACATGTATATACATTCTCTAGTCCCCAGAACTTTTGTTTGTTTGTACCAAACAAAATAAGTACATGTACATTTACGTATTGTAAGTAGGCTCCAACTGCTTTGGCTGAATGATACGTGTAGTGTGCATTTGTTTTTTAAATTGAAGAAAAAATATACTTCCTGAAGTTTTTTAGTCCTTTGGCATCAGACAATATTGTGAATATTGTTGTATATACATGTACATGTAATTGGTTAACACTGATGGTAAATCATTTGCTATGTGTTCAGTTTAATTGTACTGTCTTTGTATGAGTTTGAAACAAAAAGATGAAAACTACGACATGGTTTCATGTACGTGTCATTTATTTACCCATACCATTTAGCGATTTAAGAAAAAAAAGTGCTCATGTAGATTCTATGCAGCAACATGTTCTTTGAAGTGAAGACGCATGATCGGACTGTATCAGTCATTTGAAAATTACCTTGAAAAGCCTTGTATGCCCAATCTCATTTGGTCAATAAAATAAAAGTCCAGCATTTCTGAGTTTCAAAATAATTTTCAATGAAATAAAGCATTCTCATTTCTCGTTTTAACATTACAGAAGTATCTGGTGATTTTATTTTGACTGTGTGCAATTTATTGCTAGTGGTAATAATGGCATTCATGAGTGTGCCAAAGTCCAATGCAAAAGTCAATGACACATTCTGAGTCCAAGTAATAGGACATAAATCAACCAACACCAACGACGTTAAGTCAACCATATCTTGAATTTCTGTGGAAAGAGATTTGAACATGTGATTAAGACACCAGAGCCGAGTCAAAAATATGTTCTATTTGCAATTAAGCAGCAGTCTGGATAAATTTTACAAATACATGTAACTAATGATTTACAGGTACAAAAATATACAGAAAATTTCCCAGCAATGAAAAACTTAAGAAATAAACACCAATCTACAGTACGTAGTATATAACGTGAAAGGCATCAGGCCCAATATAAACTAATGGCCAGGCTCAGTTTATTGTTACATCTCCAACTATTATGACATCTGACCAAGTATTTTATAATGTTGACTGTAGTTTGTACATTCAAGAAATGTGAGTGTAAAATAAATTGTCATGAAAATGTTTTACAGCTGAACAGCTTGAGCTTGCTGTGCGACTTGCCGAGCTCTTGTCACATAGTCTGTTGCTTTCCGACGTTCAACCAATCGTGTACCTTCAAACACTCCCTCATTGCGTGGCAGGCCATTTGTACCATCAGCAAAAGTCAACAGGCCTGAAATAAACAGAAATAGTTCAAATAATTTGATTCCAAGAAGTAATTTCATTACTAGAACTTGTTAAAAATCAGTGAAAAAACCTTGCTACGAAGAACAGTCACATAACATTTCTACACTGTCCTAAGAACCTGCTGTCATGCATGGCACACATAAGACTTTGTCAATAATAAATACAATCTATATCGTTAACCTACCTAGACCACTGACTTTTCCTTGTTTGAATTCTCCCTCAAACGTCATTCCATCTGACCGGGTAAATACTCCAACGCCGTCAAACCGCCCCTGTTGAAATTCACCCTCATACCTACAGCCAAATAATTTTTAAACAATGCCACTGAATTCTTATACTTCTATCTGTTAAGTAAAGATGGCAGTGTTCAGCTCATAACGACTGAAGAATGACTAGTTCCGGTCCTCTTCTTTTTAGTTCAGCCCCAACTGTCTAGTATCCATCAAATTCCAACAGCAGGTTTTGCTAGGGTTTTGATGGTTTGGTACTGCATCAGTACAGGTCATCCTATATACTGCATAGACCCATCCTGACATATAACTCCAACTCCAACAGAGTCGTATTGTTGGAGTTAAATTGGTACAGTGACCTGCTTGCACACGTACATTGAGAAGTATATATATATGTTGAAGCTTGTTGGGTTCAATATGCTCCAGAGTGCAAGAGCCTAGGGGTTGGGGTTGGACACCAACCAGACAGAAGTGGGCAATGTAAGTCATTTACCAGAGAAAACCGATGCAAACGTGAAACACTGGCTTCACCAATGGGTGCAATTTTAATAGTACAGGCAGGTGGTGCAGAAAGAGCCACCATTACTATTTACAATTAAAGAGTACCACTAACAAAGCTGTGAGTGAAAGAACATACTTGGATCCGTCTGGGAAGACCATGACACCCATTCCACTGCAAAGTCCTTGATCAAAATAGCCGATGTAAGTAGATTTATCAGCTAGTATCAGCTGACCAACTCCGTGCCGCTTGCCTGCAGATTTGAAGCAAATCGTGTGTGTGGTACTAGCATAAATATTCTAGGCTTCTTTGATTCTCTATTTAAAACCCTCCTGTGGTTTAACAGCACAAATACACATATACACGGATGCCAACAGTCACTCTTGTGCATATGATTTCTGTATGGAACACAATATGCACACTAACAGCTTCAAAGTGCATATAGTTGGTTGCCAGCACAAAATGACCCAGGGTCTTTTGTGCAGTCCTCTTCACTGCATTTGGTTTACTGCACAATTATGAACATGAAACAGTGAGGCACAGTTGTGAGACAGCACAAAAATGCAATCTGATATTCCTGTGAGGGACAGTTGGTGCAGTGCACAACATGACACAGCTGTTCATTTTTGTGCCGCTTACCAACTGACCCAAAGAGTAACTTCAGCATAGGAGGGTTAAATAGCAAAAGAATTATTAATGTCTTAATATACATGTAAGTTGTAGTTTAGCCTATAGAATAATTCCCTGAATAATGGCTACATCAAAGCGATTAAGCCAGTGCTTTAACCAACTATCTTCCCAATTATTTCTTTGTATTTAGACAAAACTATTTTACAGAATTTGCTGATCCGTCTTTCAATTCAACGAACACAATGAATAACTTCAGACATACCTTCCAACCATTCTCCCTTGTATTCATCCCCATCTGGATATCTGTAAACTCCCTGATTTGTCGTCATTTCTTGCTGATAGTGTAGGAAAATGCTGGAAAGAGAAATAGCAGGCAGGTGGATTTTAATCTGAATCAGTGTGGAAATCTCAGAAAAACACCTGAAAAATAATGCAAACTGATGATGGTAACTGTTCCGTACCTTGGTGGAACCTTTCTTCACTTCAGTCTGCCAGTGCCAGTTGGAATATGTACCGCCTTGACCAGAGAAATTCTGATTAATTTACAAACAATTCAGCTATATACGGAAGAGGCTGTCGTCACAATTTAAAAAGGTGCTCGTATTTTATCAGGATGTGTGAACGTCCCACACCCATAAGGTTACATGCTTTGGATGCTTTAGAGCACAGACTGAAAACCAGTCCTTCACCATACACAAAGCGCTTTTACACTTCCGGGCACCAGACTAAACTTCTCTGATTCGGTGGATACGACGGCCGATAAACAACGGCATTACGATCATTGTTCATTTCTGGTACGTTGACAGTTTATAAATTTAAAACAATGATTACAAGACCTTTTTGGTAAATTACTCAGTGAAATCCTCAATAAGAACTCAAATTTAAGATATAAACAGGCTGTCCTGATATGCATCATCGCGTACGACGTAATATGTGAGCGTCGAGCGTACATCTGCATCATCTGTAAGGTTGTGTCAAGTCCTCCGTAATTCCTCAAAGGTTGTCGTCATTGCGTACGTCAATGTAAATAACTTGATTGTCTGCTGCATTTTTCATGAAAAAAAGGATAAATCAACAGTATTTCAGGTAAGAAATTATTATATCCTCTATTTTATTGATAAACTGTCGTTTTAGAATCATGTAGAGTCTCGTTTTCAGCGTTTCAAATAGGAAGAAAATACGCCATGCATGCCATGCGGCATGCGTGATTCATAAACCAGGGCTCTATCTGCTCTGATGATGGTCGTTGAAGTAGGATTGAAGTACTAGTATGACTCAGACTCTGACCTGTCATTTTTGCCTGATGATGATTGCTGCTGTTAAGTTAAAGTAAACAAGTGTAGAGGGCGCTGTTGAACTTGACTTAATGATAACATTACTTTTATTTGTAAGACCATGTCTGGCTCCAAGGTGAGCCTTAATTTTGAAAATGTAAATTAGGCCTACTTTTCTTGATCTGTACAGCCTACAGATAGTGCATGACCATCCTAATTTTGCCATAATAAGGGACCTGGCGACTAAACGGTCATGCACATTAGTCACCCAATGTGGCGCGTCTCTTGATAATGCACTTGTCACAACCTGGACAAAATTCATGGACCAGACTGTACATACCCATCATATCCATGGCATTTGAGCAAAGCAAGACTACAAGTACCCCAAAACTGTGGGTTTCGTCATTTTATTGTGTAGAAAATCTTTGGTTTGAAGCAGAGCTACATGTAATGACTAAAAGTTTTGAATAACAGACAGAAATGATTTCGTACGGTGAAGAACATCACATGCCAAATTTTCTCCAGTTGTTTTTTTTTTACCTCGGTTGAATAGTTGAAACTTACTTCAAGTTGGCAGTGGGGCAGGGCAGCAGGCCCGGGCAGCTGACATGGAGCATCAGGCCCACGCTGCCATGTTGAACCCAAACTCCAACAGTAGCTTGCCAAACGAGCCTTCACCAGTCCATCAACCCAACACAGGCGTATCTAGTGTGACTTCTTCCCAAGGAGCACCTTGCCCTGCTGGTCCCCCGATGGTGTCCCAGCAGTACATGGTTATGATCCAGAATGCGACAGGTGTCACACCAGATTTCAACGTTCGTGGAGCCTACATGACTGCTCATCTTCAGATTATCTGTGGAGCTTTGTCTGTCATTCTTGGGATCATTGCAATATTGATTGAGTCAGAGGATGCTTACATCGGTGCTCCCATTTGGACCGGAATATTTGTAAGTTGAAGGAGCTAGTTGCTTGTACTTTTAGAAAGTTTGGTTTTGCTAAGTTTAAGTGTAACCCAGTTTCTTGCTCTTACCTTTTAATTATTTGGCTTGCACAGCTTTAAATGGTTGCCTATAATCCAAGCGTTAAGTTTGCAGTCATTATAAAATGGATCCATGTTTTTTAACTTTTAGTTCTTTATGTCTGCTGGGTTGACTGGAGAGTTTGCTGCTAAGAAAAGACACAACTGTTTGGTAAGGGAAATGTCAGGATGTACAAAATCATAAACAAAGTATTCTGTTAGCACATACAGTTGTCTTTAAAATTGTAAAGTTACATGTAGGCACTTGTTCTCTGAGTTGTATCATTTTAAATGTTTCTTGAAATAAACTAAGTGGGCTTAGTCTGAATGAGAATTAATACTAGGCCTGACTCTTGGTGTGTGGTGTTCATTTTGTAGAAAAAGTAAATCGAATCAGAACTTTGAAAATTCTGAAGAATCAAACCAGCATCATTCATAAACCTAACTGTTACTTTTGTTGTTTGTTTTCGTTATTGATTAGATCACTGGCTACCTGGTTTTGTCAGTCTTGTCTTCTGTGGCAGCTTTCCAGCTCTTGTCACTGATGGCCTCCTTCACAGCTTGGGAATTTGGCACGTTCTATTCCTCCCGTATTGTAAGTGCTACATCAGATATGCCAGATTCTGATTGCAGTCAGTATAATTTGCCCCAGCTGATGTCTGATATGCACCTTTTCCTTGTGTTTATACCCCCAGAGGGCTCGGGTTGCTGTAGATGCTCTGACAGCTGTTGTTGCTCTTCTTGAACTTGGAATTTCCATTGTAGCAGCCGTCATTTCATGTCGTGGAACATGTTGCCAAACAGCCTCTGGCCCATCCATGACGGTAAGTCGTAGGAAGTAGATAGTACATTACTGTTACCAGGATGCTAGCTTTTTTTTTACTTGCTGGATTTGCAAAAGGTTGACAACTAATTTCGTGGAGGTTTTTACAACTGTAAATGACAGCTTTTACTGTCTGTTGTGTTCATCCTCAGGTTCAGTATATGCCTGCTGTGCCAAATGGGGGGACAAATATTTTGCAGAATGAGCAAGGTAAGCTACATTGATGTCATCTGTTCCAGATTCCACCAATTCACTTTACACTAACCATCCTCTGCTTAAGAGGTGTTGACTTCAATCTTCTCATTTTATCAAAGACCTCTTACTCGCCAACTTTGATTAGGCCTAGATCTGATCAAATCTCTCCCTAGTTAGAATTACCCTATCCCAACATGGTGCTATTTAGGGATTCAAAACTTCACCTACATGTACTCCATTTCCTCAATGTTCCACCGTCCATCACCCAATTCCTTTCCTGAACAAGAATTGAAGTGTCTGTAGACTCCCTCCCTGTGCATTGAAACTAATTTTAGAACCAGGGTTTATGATAGGGATAGATTAAAGATCCTCATTCCTTTTTTTGCTTCCTTTGATTTGTGTAGGGGGCTTTGTGCAGGGTCAGCCCATCCAAGTAACAACCTGTAGCCCAGGGCAGGTGGCCTGTCAGTTACAAGCCTGCCCTGTGCCTCAACCTTCACCCCCACCTAGGCCTCATGCCCAGCAACATGAAGCTTACCCTTCTCTGTATCCAAGTATGGAGGATAGTGGCAACCAGTTGGAGGATACAGAAAACGATCATGTCACAGGCATGGAGAAAGTTCCTCTTGTGTGAGAAGATAGGACAAAAATGGATTGATGCTGTCCGGGAGAGGACAGATAGTTGTCAAGAAAGATCATTTGAAGATCCTTAAATCTCTCTCAGAAAGGTTAGCTTCAGAACCACTGCGTATGAAGATATTTTACCCAGTTCTATAATCATTGTCCACCTGAAAAGCCCTATGGTCACTAGTTTATGTAAGTTCTGCATTACAAAAAAAAATGAAAAGGTATACAAGTACAGTTTTATTTTTTAATGTTAAGGGGTGGTTGCAGTTTGAATGAGTAGGTAAACATTGCTATAAACTGTAAACTGCAGTGCCAGTTATCTTTCTGAATGTCAGTGCCAGTAAGTCGATTTGGACTTGAGGACAGCCTTAGATGCCTCGGGCCAATTTTAAGAGGCCCAAAACACCCGCTTTTAATCATGAGGAAATAGTATATGATAACATCTTGTATCAAATGCCTACTTTTGGAAAAATCATACAAGAAATCAAGAAAGTGATTCTGCTTTATAAGATTACGACTTCATGCTATTTTAGTGCAATGTGAAACCCAGTCTTGCCATGTTACATGTAGGTGTCAAAAAGTATGATTGTTAGGAGACATGTATTTTGTGTTGATATTACAAGGATATTGTCTACGCTTTCTTGTGTTTTCATTCTTAGCTGCCTCTATGTGTTACTCACTTTGTGGCAAATTTTCACTTGTACATGTATATGTATTGAAAAATGTAAGTTCATAAAAAGCTGTTCAATTTTCTATTTAAGTTGGACACTTGCAAGTTGTATGAACTTGATTTCAGATAAATTTGGGTTTTGGTAAGTTGCATTTAACAGTATTTTCATGTCAAATTTCAGAAATGGTGTGACTTAAAATTAAGTTCTCTGCACCAGAGACAATTCAGACATTTTAGCATCCCAACTAGTAATTTAATATTGACCTTTTTGCTGCCGATTTGCACATGCCATAAATTGGAAAGTATCAACTTTGGAAGGTCTGTCCATGCTGGTAAAACGTCATTATTGTGCTACCTTTTGTAACTCCATTCATGAAGAACAAACTGTAATTGTCACTAGAGATAAAGATTACAATGTATAAACAAGAAGTAACAAACTATCAATGAGATCCTCTTTTACATGTAGAAGTCATTGTTTAATGTCAATACTTTACAATGTGTTTGCATGCTTTTTTAGTAGTGCATTCCCTTCACATTTTACTATTTTTTTTAACAAGTAACTTCTCTACTTAAGTGATTCAGAGACGGATTCTTACATGCTGAAATTCCATAAGGGAAACATGCAGGAGAGTTAATGGTTAAAAAACTAAGAATTTTACCTAAGTACATTTTTATGTTCTACTTTCTATTTTGTGCTTTCACATATTTAACCAAATTTCAAAACAAAGTGTTGAACAAGTACTACATTCATGTATATACTACAGGGTATTCATGAGGCTGGAAGTCTTTGCTTTTTATTAGAATAAAACGTGATTGATTGATTGATTGATGCATGTAACATCTTGTATATTCTTATGTTATAACTTGTATTCATGTGGAGGATAAACACATGTACCTTGCAGGGGTGTTGTACTTATTCAGCTTTTATTAAAGAGTCTTGAATTTGTGTCTTTATTAGTACTGTCAATGGGGTTCTAGTGCAGTTCATGTGATGAATTTATCATTGTCAAGGTGCAATTTATTTTGATGATATACACCATGTACACTATAATTGTGTGTGCTGATTTTGTCAAGCACATATTGGTTTTATATGATGTAAACAGCTAGCCACGCTTTTGTTCAGAAATGGAAGCTCTTATCAGTGTTCCTGCTTAATGGCCAATTGATACCTATGGTTTATATTATATGTATAGCCAAAGGTTCGAAATTATGTTGGAAATTCCAAGGCAATAGTCATGGTTGGACATTCCATAAAGAGTGGTTAAATAAAATGGCCACTATTAGTTCTTCTAATGGTTGCCAAAGGAGTCTCCCTTGTCACTTCACAGCTTTGCCAAATGTGTTTAACACATTACATGTATACCCATGGTTGGCATACATGTACATATATGTACATGTTAAATGTATTCTGTTGTTAGCTCAAACACTTGCCAAATAAAACAAAAGTTGGAAACACCTTTTTGTCCGTTCCCTTTTTTGCTTGTTTGTTCCCTTTTTTGCTTGTTTGTTCCCTTTTTTCCAAGTCATATCTGAACAATTTAAAACCTCCGGCTACGTACAGCCTCCAAACCAAGATACATGTATGCTTTGCTTGTAATGCACATGCTTGTAAACGGACCCAGTATTATTGAGGACAGTTTCAGCATATCCTCCAAGTGCTGTTCTAACTAGATTTTATTAGTTAACACAGCACGAGTGTGAAAAAAAATTATCTTCAAACAAATCAACACACCGAAAAGATGTTACAGGGGCCTATGTGCACAAACGCGTCACCTTGGAATTTAAAGAACTGAAATTTTTTGCAGTTGTGCGTTTTGCTTTTAGCCTAAAAATAGAGCAATGCTTCAAGTTAAAACAGCGCATTACATGGGTTTTGACATAAACTGTGTAATACCTAACAACTGTTGACCACTGTGGTGTGATATGACATCTTGAACACTCCAGGGACGCATAGTGCCCCGAGGCAAAGGGCGCTCTGCGTCCATTGGGTGTTCAAGACGTCATATCCCACACCACAGCGGTCAACAATTGTTAAATACCACACTGTTTGTTGCAATGGATCAACCAATCAAGTTTGCCTGAAGATAATATTAGTATCACTAGATGCGTGAATTTTCTTTCATCAGTTCACCCCCCTCAACAATTGATATGAACAAACTGACTTCCAAGAATCATTCACTAGAATATTTTAATAACATTTTAGATTTTGAAAGTCACAATGTGGGATGTGAATGGAAATAATTCACTGCACTCTCATACATCAGTGCACTGTACATGTATCCATTACCATTTATTCAGTGGATGACTCTTGTGCCCATAATGCCTGCTGTAATGATTGGAGCTTGGCTACCTCCAACTCTGAGCGCACATACAAATGCATCTCAGATTCTGGTATGTCCCTCTCTGACAGTTCTTCATCTAAGTTTATCATTCCCTGGTCCAAGGATTTGTCCACTGATAATGCCACAGGCTGTTCTTTGCTGTGCTTGCCCATATTTTCTTCACTATCTTCGGGAGGTAGTTTTCTCTTTCTGACTTGAGTCAAAAATGGGGGTAGCATACATGTAGGTGAGGAGAACGCTTTTGTTCTGGTATTAGATGGATCTGCTAATCCATCTTTCACAGTTTCTTCTGTCCTTGTTGACTCAGCAACATCGCTAGAGTCCTCCTCCTGAGGCAACTCTACACGGGATATGAGATACTTCTTGTTTTTCAGGACATCATCCAGGTACTGTGTTGCCATCTCTGGAGTTATCTTCTTGGATTTCAGCCAAGGAATTTTCTTAACAAGTGTTATGAGGATACTTCGTATCTCTCTTGCACGTTGAGCAGTCTGGCAAGGTGGCTTGAGAGGTAATTGCTGGCAAAATGTAGCCATCTGCTTTCCTTTCCCTCTTCCTTCTTCAGATGACTTCCACACAAGGAATGCAGCTGCGATGATGACAGCATCATGAGACCTACCACATGTGATCCACGCATCTTTAGCAAGGCTGACCACCTTGACAGACTTTTCAACAAATGTCTGATCATCAAAGCCATACCTCTTCAACACACTCTCAATGAGATCCTCAATGTCTGCATTAGGAGTCTGAATATTGAACTCACTTGTGAGTAATTTCTTCATCGCAAATAAATCGCTCACCGAGCACTGCACCACTGTACTAACATCCGAAAGAACAACAGGCCAGTCATTCTGTCTACAGACTGTAAACACAGCAGCACCACAGAGAGCTTGTTTCTTGAGTCTCTGCTTGCACTTAAGAATTCCTTTGCATGCTTGACTGAAGATGTCAACCACTCCTTTCTCCATTTCTGCGCTGAGCCCCATCATGCTGCAAACTTCTTTCAAGTAACTCATCCAGGGTTTGAGATTTCTGCTAGGAGCACTAGGATCTCCCTGTCTGATATTTCTCCATCTGCCAAGGTTGCTACCGTGTAGTGATCCTGCTTGATTACAGCTTGTAACATTGTTCCAGTAATCCTTCTCCTGCTCAAAGCAGGTTGTTGAATTAATCACCTCACCACAGTCAGAGCAAACTCGATGGATTTGCCCACCGTGGTCATCATCAATGATAGAAGATGAACCACACTGTCGGCATATATTATCCATGTTGACCTTGACAAAAAAAAGAAAGCATGGATTTGCTCATTGTATTCCAGTGAAACTGCCAGTTTATTTTGTTGTTTGGCATGCTTGGAATTGATTTTTCCAAATATTTCTGTGTTTTTGCCAAAAAACACTCACAAAACAGTCTTGAACTACATGAATCTAATGTGCCCACTTTAGGATTCATTGTAGGCCTACATAAGAATTAAAGACTCTAATGTGTTCATGGAGTAAATACCGAGGGATGGGCACCCGTACGTACATGTACCGTATACATGTATATACGTACCCAGTATATCCCCCCTCCCACTTTTTAAGGGGGTGGGATGGGCTATTGAATCACACCCCACAATTTTGTGGTGGGCAAACAAAGCAGATTGTGAAGAATTTCCAGACTTCCCAAGAACTAAAATGCATTCAATATCCCTCAAAAAAGGAATAATAATATAAAGTCATAAATATGCAATTCTGATGTAAGATTCTACATGAACGTAATACATTATTGCAGGTGTACATCATGGACATCGACCTCTGTATTAATAAGGTGTAGGCCTATATGGCCCCCGGTTTTCACATTTTTATTGCCGGGAAGTCATCCCCCCCTTTCCCCACGTACGTCCACGGCCACCCCCTTCAAATTTCCGACACCAACATGATCACGTACATGTACGCAAACATGACAAATTGACGCCACTGATTATAGGTAAACTTACCTTCGGAAAGAAAACGGAAATTTCCTGTTCAAATAGGAAACTATCCGCATGATGAGCTCAAACTGTTAAAGTCACCATTTCATTGCTGGGAGAAGCGATTCAACACGTTCTAGCTTCTACCGATGTAGCGCTAGCGATGCAGCTGTTTTGTTTTTTGCCGAAATTGCAACCGAATCAACTCTTGGTGGCGGTCGAATTTCGTGTAAAAATCAAAGATCCGCATTGCTTACGGTAGCTCTGAGATGCCCCATCCCTTGATAATAAAATTTATGAACGAGATCCTTAAAATTTCGGGACTGAGCTTATGAACAACATTCGGTAGCTGTAATACATAATATTCGTCTTTCCTCCATGAAATATTCAAATATTTGCAGGTGTGGTGGGAGAAAGTACATTTTAAAAACCATGGCAAGATTTATTTATTTTTTTTTAACAGAAGCATCAAAAGGGATCGCTTTCTCCCAACAATCTTCCAGATACCTCCGTAATTAAGCACTCAAGTAATTTTGTTTTCGTTTCTATTTGAAGGTTTTTAAAAATCATCACTTGTTGAGGCAAGGACTGGTTAGGACTTTTTTCATTTTTTTTAAAATTTAGTTTTGATGTCTGGCTTAATATGCTAAATTCCAATAGAACAACCACGTCATTGCACCCAGAAAATCTATTTCACTCCGTCTGAAAACTGCCTCAGACAGTGGGAAGTTCAGCACATTAATTCCTAGCCGTTATGTCCTCGGTAGAAGTGATACCTTTTAGGGAACTGGCAAGCGTTCATTGTAAATCTGATGGAAATGTATGATATGGAACGTAAATGCAAACACATAAGGCTTCATGTTTTCCCATTTCCTTTTTCGTATGCGACACTCCGATACTGTAAGGACTCTATACCCATTACCCAACTTCCAAGATCGTATTAATTATAAGTTGTATTTTACCTTGTTTTCTCTTTTAATCCTTCTTCGATGAACTGTTTTTTTTAATGTTCATTGTTTGAAATTTTGTAGTTTTTAATCTATTTTTCCTGTGCAATTAGTACAAGATAGAAGACTCGTCAGTTTAGTAACAAAATTCATTTGGATTCCTTTTTTTGTCATAACTCTTTATGCGGCTAGAAGTCTTCATTGCATACGTCATAGTGCGGGAAAAATTACATACAATGCATATAATATAGAGGATTGCGTAGTGACTAAAAGTTGATAAGAGGAGGATATCAGTTTTCTTAGGCTGCATATACATAGGCCCATGGTTCAGGTTTTGAGGGCATGTTAAGTGATATTTCGATAAGCTTGGTTTTAGTATAGTAAGTCCACTTGATACCTGCCACTCAGCACCAGCTACTTCCTGCTTTCAAAATAGCATGTCGTCCTGGGGTATCACACATGTATTATTGTATTGTGATAAGGAATTCATGTGGGCGCACTTCGGTTAGCTTCCTTGTCACAAGCATTGATCCACTACTACCAGGGGTCGACAAGTTTACCCATGTCCATTATATGCCAAGAGCAAATGTGCATAGTTGGATTTTATTGTTATACGTATTTCCTTGCTCAGTCTATGCTGACGGACTACAGAATTATGCACAAAACCACACACATTTCGAGTCAAACATGCGCAGCTGACTTAGTCGATTGCGCATAATGTGTCAAACTGCTGAAGACGTCGAGAAATTGAAATCATAATAACAGCCTCTAGTAAAAAAGGAACTCGCTCGCGCTGATTTTTTTACAGTTGTATCTGAAGGTGACTGAAATTCAACCATGGCTTATAATTTTGATGAAGAAAATTTTACCACGGTCCCTGCAAGCGAAACACTGAATTTTGAGGATGGAAATATCACTATAGATGTTACCACTAGCGAAACGTTGGAAGAACTTCACCCATACGGTGTGCTGGTTTTTGTAGCTTGCGTATGGATCATCGTAGCTGTGCTGGGCATAATAGGCAACAGTATGGTTATTCTTGCTGCTGTTCTAAGCAAGCATGTCCGATCCACTACCAACGTTCTGGTGGTCAATCTCAGCGTGGCTGATCTATGGACCTGTTTGTCCCTACCATGGAGTAGCGTGGCAATGCTGGTTAATGGCCCTTGGCCCCTGGCCTCTGAGTTCCCCTGTCAAGTAGCGGCGTTCATGTGGCACACCGGTCTTGGTGCTAGCCTGTACAGTTTGGCCTTAATAGCAGTGAACCGTCTGGTGCGGATAACCCGTCCCTTGGCTACCTATAACATGATCTTCTCTCCCCGCAAGATGGTCTTTATCGTGGCCATATCCTGGCTTATTCCCATCTTCGTCATTGTCTTTCCGCTCACAATCGGTGTGGGTGCTTTGGGTCATGATCTCTTGCACGACACGTGTACAGACGATGAATTGCATCCCCGTGCTGGTGATTACAACCTTGCTCAGACCATCGGATTCTACCCTATCCCGATGACAACTGTCGTCATCAGCTATGCGGTCATCTATGTCCATGTCAGACAGCATTTCGGAAAGCGACTCTCTACTGAGAAGAACCATGACAGAGTGACCTTCGGCGTAGACACCACTGAGCCCAGCGGGACAAGCATTACATCTTCTGCAGACGTTATCGAGGAACACGAAGAAGGGAATGAAAAAACACGCCACTTTTGCCAAATCAGTCGCCAGCAGCTTCAGATCACCAAGAATCTGTTCTTCGTCTTCTGTGCATTCACTCTTTGTATCTCGCCATACTTCATCTCACTTTTCATTCCAACCAGTGAGAAGTTTGCCCTATTCGGAGCCACCATCTTAATCTTCAACAGTGTCGTCAACCCGATCATCTACGCAGCCAAACACCCTCAGTTCAAGAAGGTACTGCGACCGATGTTACGATGCAAGTTGGATAAAATACCAGAGCCATCTAAGACGCTGCGAGCGATTCAATCTGTGCGTCATAGGGAGGACAAAATGTGAATTGATGCGATTTTGTGATGGCACTTAAAATCGGAATGACAATAAGCGCCGTGTACTTGTGCAGGGCTATGAACTGTTCATAAATTACTTCAGACACATTATTAGATTTCTAGTTGTAAACCAGTAGTTTATTGTATCTTACTTCTGTATATATACAATGATTTGATTGAATATTGAAATATTAATGTAGTTCTTTACTTCTAGCACAATTTTCTATCAAAGCATATATTATAACCGAAACAGCGGTAACTCCATCCTAGTGGTGTTTGAGAGTCATAAAATTTGCATTGCTTAAGGTAGCTCTGAAATGCTCCATGGATTCTCCATAGTTTAGTTTTGTTAACAAGATCTTTAAGATTTTTGGGGGGCTGAGTGTTTGTCATACATTCGGTAGCCGAAGTAACTTGTCTTTGTGTTTTTTCGATAATACACATTTTACCTAGTGTGGGAGAAACTGCGTTTTAACAGCTATTGCAATATTTAGTTTTAGTTTCATAAGTATGAAGAGAGCAATTTCATTCATTTACTGAGTAGCGTGGAGTTTCATTACTTGTCATCATCTGCTACAGGCAGGATTCGTATTATTATTTTCATTCCTTTCTCATGCCTGACGTTTAAATTTCGTATGGAAAAAACACGTTACAGCATGGGCAAAAATCTATTTAAGTCTTTGAAACTAAGTGACACTGAGGTGATACCCATTTGCGCACAGACTGGTCTTAAACACTGACGGAAATGTATACCGATTGTAAACAGAAAAATTTAAGGCTTTACATATCCCCCTTTCATTTTGGCCAACAACATAAGGATTCATCCATTCAAATAATTACATGTATGTACACCAATTCAAAATCATTCGCGTTCTTGTATTCGTTTTTCTATTTCTCTTCTTTTACAATAAAATAATTTCAAATGTTTCTCATTATGAATGCTAACTGTTTGAAATCGTGTCGATTCTAGATTTTATTTTTCCTCTGTCATTATAACAAGACTTAATCCTCATTAAGTTAGTAACAAAACTCATTTCGATTGAAATTTCGGTTTCCTCTTTGTTGACATAGCTCTTTAAAATGAGACTATTAATTTTAAGCCTTAACTGCATATGTCACAGTGCAACAAATAATTATTACATACAATGCAGATAATATAGAGGATTGTTTAGTAAAGGACTCGAAAGGAGAAAATCGGTTTTAGATGATTAACTGTTTGGTTCTAGTTTTGAGAGCAAGCCATACCACCTGCCAACGGCACCAGCTGCTTCCTGCTTTCAAAAAATGATAGCATTCTGACCTAGTCTATTGTTCTAGCGGATCGAAATTCATATGGGAACTCCGCTTTGAGAGATGGAAGAATGGTTAACATTGATCGTTAGTTTCCTTGTCAAACGCGCCAGTACTAAAGGATATTAATTATATCTACCAAAAGCTCCGGGGAGGGGGAGATCAAATTAATATGGATCCCTGTCCGTTATCCAAATTGCAAATGTGATGGTTGTCTGTTACGGGACTCAGTTCCCCGTTTTGTCCGAACTGACCCAGAGTGCAGTGCATGGGTGCCAAGATCAGGTAAAAGGCACATCATTCTGAGTCAAGCAGTGACTTCCGTGCTTCTATTTATATTGGCAATGAACTTCCCGCAAGCGGTCTGTAGACAGCACATACAAATTGCCGACGAACATTGAAATATTGACCTATAACAAAACCTTTGTCGATGCCAATTTCTAAAATCGTATCTCAAGGTTATTCAAATTAGACGATTGTTTGTACTTTTGATGATGAAAATACAACCATGGACATCACCACAAGGGAAATACCGGCTAACTTCACTCGTACGGTGTTTTGTGGCCTGCATTTGGATCACTGTCTATGCTGGGCGGTACAGTCAACGTTATGGTCATTCTTCCTGCAATCCCAAGCAACCATGTCCGATCCACTCCCAACGTTCTGGTGGCCAATCTGAGCGTGGCTGATCTGTGGCCCTTTTGTCCATACCTTGGAGTATAGCGTGGCAATGCTGGCCATCCGCAACGGCCCTTGGCCTCTGGCTACCGAGTTCTCTTGTCAGGTGGTGGCGTTCACGTGGCACACTGGTCTTGGTGCTTGCCTGTACAACCGGCCTTAATAGCACTGAACCATCTGGTGCGGTAACCCGCCCCTTGGCTACCCATAACATGAGCTTCCACGGTCCCCGCAAGATGGTCTTTATCGTGGCCATATCCTGGCTTATTCCCATCTTTCGTCATTGTATTTCTCCTCACAATCAGTGAGGATGCTTTGGGTCATGATCGTTTGCACGACTCCTGAACAGACGATAAATTGCATCCCTGTGCCAATAATGACAATCTTGCTCAAACTATATCGGATTCTATCTTCTCAATTACGACCACTAGTCGTCATCAACTATGTGGTCATGTATTATGTCTATGTCTAGCAGCATTTCAGAAACATGTCTTTAAAGAACGGGAAAATATCACATGGAAACACCATGCCCTACGGAGCTAGCCTGACATTTCTTTCAAATGTTTCGGTAGAGAATATCGAGGAACACGTGTATGAAAGAATACGGCAAAACAGTCGTCAGTAGCTTCAGATCACTAAGAATCTTCGTCTTCTATGTATTCACTCTTTGTATATCGCCATACTTAGTAACTTTTCACCCCAACCAGTGAGAATTTTGCCCTGTTCGGCGCTACCAGTGTTATTAACCCGATCATCCACGCTGCCAAACACCCTCAGTTCAAGAAGGTACTCCGGTCGATGCTGCCAGGCTACAAGTGGGATAAAATACCAGAGCCATCGAAGACGCTGCAAGCGATTCAACCTCTGAGTCATAGAAAGGACAAAATGCGAACTCGTGGGGTATGCATGGCACTTCAAATCGCAGTACACCACTGGTGAATTTTCATTTATAGGGTTACACGAAATTTGAAATTGAGCCTCTTGCTTTAAAATTACCAAATTAAATCTTGTGAAACTTCCGGTAGGAAAGTAGGATTTCATAACGGGTATCTTTTTGCACCAAAAACTGGGTATGTGCTGTTAAATAACATGCATAAGTTAAAAAATTACGAGGTTTTTTCAGAAGACTGCAGGAAAGTCGACGTAAAAACCTTTGTATTCTGGACAAAGATGGAAATCTTGGTCAGTAACATGTTAACAGTCATCTTTTTAAGGGAAACTCCCTCAGAGTTCCTTATCCGAACTGCTTACAAAAAGCCACGCTTACAAAAAGGGTATTTTTGAAGTCAGAAACGAATAGTGCAGTGGGCAGGTCATGTTCGTAAGCTGATAGCTTTGAAATAAATGTAGCTATTCATAAATGACACAATTTTTCCTTTTGTTGTTTGACATGGTTCCATTCTTCTGACTTTTTTACTCGAAAGAGTTTATTTTCTTCTGTGTTTTACAAACAAAAATAACAAAATTGGTTGGAAGCCACTGTCTGAAACCAACCTACATTGTCGAAAAAAATTGAAATTTAAAAAGAAATACTGAAGATTTTGAATGAATGGCTCCTTAAGTTGATTTAATTAATTGCAATGGTCCAAGCGCAAAAGCATAACCCGCAAACTCACAATATTTGCTTCTTGATTCAATAATATCAGTTTTGTAAGCATGTCATTGTTCCGCTGAGAGGAAACGTGTGGGAATTCCCCTTTTTTGTTCCATTGACCTGTTGCTTCATGCTTTCGTGCGCTGTTAAACAAGGATAATATGTACCCTGCACTAGAAACTTTGCTAGAAAAAAAGAGAGAATGTACTCCTGCCTATTATCCTGGGGGCACGTTGCCTGTTCAATAAATGTTACTGCGACTTCTTTCCTTCTCCAGTCCAGATGCGAGCGCTTGGTGTAGAAAGCTAGTGATATTATTTGCTGATAAATCTACACAGAGACAGTCTTGTCGACGGAAGGGGTGCGGCGATCCCCGGATTGGCTTTTAATAACGCTCCTTTTGTGCAAAATTTCACAATAATTATGGCACTCGATGGCTATAATTGGACCGCTGATGACAATTTTGATGATGAAAATACCACCACGGATGTCACTACGAGTGAATCACCAGTTGAACTTCATTCGTACAGTGTTCTGGTTTTTATAGCTTGCGTATGGATCATCGTAGCTGTTCTGGGCATAATAGGCAACAGTATGGTTATTCTTGCTGCTGTTCTAAGCAAGCATGTCCGATCCACTACCAACGTTCTGGTGGTCAATCTCAGCGTGGCTGATCTGTGGACCTGTTTGTCCCTACCTTGGAGTAGCGTGGCAATGCTGGTTAATGGCCCTTGGCCCTTGGCCTCTGAGTTCCCTTGTCAAGTGGCGGCGTTCATGTGGCACACCGGTCTTGGTGCTAGCCTGTACAACTTGGCTTTAATATCACTGAACCGTCTGGTACGGATAACCCGCCCCTTGGCTACCTACAACATGATTTTCTCTCCCCGCAAGATGGTCTTTATCGTGGCCATATCCTGGCTTATTCCCATCTTCGTCATTGTCTTTCCGCTCACAATCGGTGTGGGTGCTTTGGGTCATGATCTCTTGCACGACACGTGTACAGACGATGATCTGCATCCCCGTGCTAACAGTTACAACCTTGCCCAGACCATCGGATTCTATCCTATCCCCATGACCACTGTCGTCGTCAGCTATGTGGTCATCTATGTCCATGTCAGACGACATTTCAGAAAACGGCTCTCCAAGAAGACCAAAGCAACAACTTCGAGCACCGACATCACTGAGGCCAGCGGGACTAGCGTAACATCTTTGTCAAATACTTCTAGTACAGATGTCATCGAGGAGCAGGAAAAATGCAAACAAAGTAAACGGAAAATCAGTCGTCAGCAGCTTCAGATCACCAAGAATCTGTTCTTCGTCTTCTGTGCATTCACTCTTTGTATCTCGCCATACTTCATCTCACTTTTCATTCCAACCAGTGAGAAGTTTGCCCTATTCGGAGCCACCATCTTAATCTTCAACAGCGTCGTCAACCCGATCATCTACGCAGCCAAACACCCTCAGTTCAAGAAGGTACTGCGACCGATGTTACGATGCAAGTTGGATAAAATACCAGAGCCATCTAAGACGCTGCGAGCGATTCAATCTGTGCGTCATAGGGAGGACAAAATGTAAACTTGCGCATGATGGTTAACACCACGAACTTACAAAAAAGCTTCTCTGCGTGGAACTTCCATTTTAACTTACCATATTACTTACTTATATTTTATGAGCAAAACTTAGAGAAATGCCTTTAACCAGTCATAAGAGTGTCTGATTGCCAAATTGTGAGTTTGAATCGATTTAGAGACACAGTGTAACTCAAAGATAGGATTTCTAAAAACAAGGAAAAAGCCAGAAGTGCATGATATAAAATCGTTGCTTCCATTTTGATATTATGCAGGAGTAACACAAAGATATAGAAATTCAACTAAGCCTCATAATTTTTCAATTTCTTGAGCAATCGTATATATAGTCTGTGTAATGTTATTCTCGATATATGCTCAATGTGCGCATATCTATATGTATTTTGTTCCTTTGATGTATTAATGTTGGCGTTTTATTATCTTTCATTAGCATTACTCACTTCCTGTGTAGTTTGATGTCAACTTCGCATACCCAGTGTGGACCTGTGAACAATAAAAAGAGCTCCACATAACACAGGTTGCGCGAACCTTGTGTGGATTAAGCCAGGTCCACGCAAGGGTAAAATTACCCCCAGCTGGAAAACAGTTGTAGAGCCGACAACACGATTAAGGGTGTGTCCGCACAAAGTAGATATACCGGAGAACATTAATTTTTGTGTGTTAATGTGTTGATTGGTGGTTTTTAAAAGGTACTTTATTTC